TTCCAGGTCTCCCACATGGGTGCAGGGGCCCAAGGACTTGAACCATCTAATACTGATTTCCAAGGCCACAGCAGAGAGCTGGATCAGAAGTGGAGCAGCCGGGCCTTGAACTGGTGCTCATATGGGATGCCGGTGCCTCAGGCCAAGGCTTTAACCTGATTCGCCACAGTGCCAGCTTCAGATGATTTTCTTAACTAGTATTAGTTAATCTTCAGCATTCTTAAAAGAATTCTGAGCCGGCGCCAAGGCTCACTAGGCTAATCCTCCGCCTGCGGTGCCGACACCTGGATTCTAGTCCCGGTTGGGGCGCCAGATTCTGTCCCGGTTGCTCCTCTTCCAGTCCAGCTCTCTGCTGTAGCTAGGAAAAGCAGTAGAGGATCGCTCAGGCACTTGGGCCCCTGAACCCGTGTGGGAGACCCGGAAGAAGCTCCTCTCTCCTGGCTTCAGATCAGCGCAGCTCCGGCCGTTGTGGCATCTGGGGAGTGAACCATCGGGTTGAGGACCTCTCTCTCTGTCTCTACCTCTCTCTGTAACTCTCTTTCAAAATAAATAAAATAAATCTTTACAAAAAAAAGAATGATAAAGATAAGCATAGTATTTGAATTTAACAAAATTATAGTGTATAGTGTATGATTATTAATTGTAAAGGATTTTATCAAATAGTTGTCTTAGAGAAACTAGACATCATCAAGTGCTACTTTGATTATCAACGGAGGACTTCAGATGGTGCTTTTCTGGCATTTCTACTAAGGAAGCTAAAGTTTTATGCAGAGTGTTTAGTAATTACTTCATAAAGATGTGTACGTGAGACCAATATTCACATGAAAATCTATCCAGCTTCATTACGTATCAGAATTCCCAGTTAAAACCATGATGAGCCATAACTTTATGTCGGGTACAATGAAGAGAATGAACGTTAGTTGAAAAACCAACTGTTAGCAGGAATGTAGACCAACTGGAACTCTTATACCCTTGTTAGTGGCAATTTAAGATGGTGTTAGTGCTTTGGGAAGCAGTTTTGTATGGCTTTCTAAACAGTTTGGCAGTTTCTTCCAACTCTCATCTTTTAACCCATCTGTTTCACTTCTATGAATTTATATTTGACAAATGTAAACATATTTACAAAAGCCTCATGTAAGACTGTTCATAGCAGGGACCTGCTTTGTGGTATAGCGGGTAAGGCCTCTCTCCTAAACTATAATTGCAACTCTTTAAATAGTTCTTCTGATTGCTAATATCGTTTCCTCTCAAGATATCCTCCAAGTGAATGCCAGAGTGAACCTTTCTGAAACACAAATCTCACATTAGTCTGGTTTAAAATCTTTCAGTGGGAGCCGGTGTTGTATAGTGGGTAAAGCCACTGCTTGTGCCGCCAGCATCCCACGTGGGTGGTGGTGGTTCAGGTCTCAGCTGCTCCACTTATGATCCAGCTCCCTGCTAATGGCCTGGGAAAAGCAGCAATAGATATCCCAAGTGCTTGGGCTCCTGCACCCACATGGGAAACCCAGATGAAGCTCCTGGTTTTGGCCTCCCCTAGCCATGCCATTGTGGCCATCTGGGGAATGAACCAGCAGATGTAAGATCTTTCTTACTCACTCTTGCTCTCTTTGTAACTGTGACTATCAAATAAACAATTTTTAAAAGATTTATTTATTTATTTATTTGAAAGTCAGAGTTGCACAGAGAGAGGAGAGGCAGAGGGAAAGAGAGAGAGGTCTTCCATCACTGGTTCACTCCCCAGTTGGCCGCAGTGACCCAAGCTGCACCAATCCGAAGCCAGAAGCCTGGAGCTTCTTCTGGGTCTCCCACGTAGGTGCAGGGCCCAAGGACTTCGGGGCCATCCTCCACTGCTCTCCCAGGCCATAGCAGAGAGCTGGATCGGAAGTGGAGTAGCTAGACCCATACCGGCACCCATGTAGCTTTACCTGCTATGCCACAGCATTGGCCCCAACAAATCTTTTTTTTTTAACACTGAAAAACTGCTATTTATTTAAAAGAAAACTTTTCAATATAATAAAGAAATGGCAATAACTGGTACATACATTCGTTCAAAATATTTTCATTAAGCACCAACTAGCATCATTCTCAAATCTTTTCATCAGGAGCACCTTTGTTATTAAAGCACTAATACTTTAAGTTTTTAATCAAGAAATTTAACGCTGCTAGTCAGAGTTCCTAATTAATTTTGAGATGGCCAGGTTAACCCTGTTATAGTGTAAGCAAAAATGACTTGTAAAAGCTTTGTTTATAACTGAAGGGATTCACTGGCTTCAGCTGGGTATCAGGGCCAAGGGCTAAACATCACACACACCAGAAAAATAAGTAGTGAGTATCATGTGTCAGTGATAAATAATACATAGTCTCTGCCTGCTCAAGGGACTAATACCTAACTGCAACAGGTCTCAGAGGATCGACCCACAGAGACTGATTCAAATCCCTAACCTCCCAGAGTGAACCAGGCAAGGGTAAGGGAAGAGCTTAAAGTCCTGTGCCTTGGGCTGCAGGACAGGGCACCAAGGCCAGGTTGGAAACATCAACGAGCCTTCCGGGCCAGGGAAACAAAATAGCCAAGACTCATAGCCACACAAGTATCAACTGCCCAGAACACTGTGCAGTACATGTTTTGGGAGGAGGGACATAAGCCACTAAGAGATTGTATACATCAGGGAAAGGAAAAGCCCATTCAGCAAGAGAGGAAAATGTCTCCCCTAGCACAGACGCTCCACAGCTCTTTGGGGAGCCTCAGAGGCTGAGGATCACCCTGGGGCCCAGCCCTCAGTCCAAAGCCTGTCCCCTTAAAATTAAATTCACAAGCCAAAAGCTTTCTTGGAACTGTCTGCTCCAAAAAAGTAAAACACAAACACAAGCGAACAAAACTCAAACGACAAGGCTATCAGAGTAAGCTTTAACCCCTGCTACTTCCCCTGCAAAAATAAATCTTAAAAAGGGGGGGGGGGGCTGGCACTGCTGCTCACTAGGCTAATCCTCTGCCTGTGGTGCCGGCACCCCGGGTTCTAGTCCCAGTTGGGGCGCCGGATTCTATCCCGATTGCTCCTCTTCCAGTCCAGCTCTCTGCTGTGGCCCAGGAGTGCAGTGGAGGATGGCCCAAGTGCTCGGGCCCTCCACCCGCGTGGGAGACCAGGAGGAAGCACCTGGCTCCTGGCTTCAGATTGGCACAGTGTACCAGCTGTAGCGGCCATTTGGGTGGTGAACCAACAAAAGGAAGACCTTTCTGTCTCTCTCTCTCTCACTGTCTAACTCTGCCTTTCAAAAAAAAAAGGCGGGGGGCAGTGCTGTGGCACAGCAGGCTAAAGCCCTGGCCTGAAGCACCGGCATCTGTATGGGTGCTGGTTCTAGAAGAGGGATTCAATAGGAAGGGATAGGACAGAGTTTTCTCTGTTAACAATGTTCCTGATCTTGATAGTGATGTGTAGATTACATTTGTCAAAATTGGTTAATTGAATCTTTAACATATGTTCATTTCACCATATAGCCATCCATGGTTTTTTTTTTTAAAGATTTGTAGTGTCTTGGTGGTTATTTTCGACAACCTGATTTCTAAATAGTGTTTATATTTTTCCTATATGCATAATTACAAGCCCTGTAACGAAATTTCTAAAGTATATGCTCCTAATATAGCACAGTGATTAACATGTCTGACTCTGGAGTCAGAGTATCTGGAATTCAGCCTGCTAAATTACACTCCAGGTGAACCTTAGGAACTTCCCCTGCCTTTCTGTGTGACCTCAACCTCCCCATCAGATGGTGGTAGTTATATCAGGTTATATTGGTTTTATGGACTATTCCATGTAAAGCTCCTAGAGTAATACCCAAAACCTATTACTCACCAACTGATGTTAACTTCTTATCAGTTAACACTGCAGTTGATATTATTAATTAATGCTTAGCTTCAGTTTTTTTGGCATCCATAAAAAATATGATGTCCCTCTCAGTTTTCTTTTTTGTGAATTCAGTCATTTGGAATTCATTCAGAAAACAGAATAATGTGGCTGAACTCTGGAACCATATAAGTATTTATAAAATATTTGCTGTATTTATACTGTGGTCTGCTGTGTAGCTGTAAAGACTTAGTACTGTTTCTTAAGGAACTGTGCTTCTGGGAGAAAAAAATAGGCAATGTGACGTGATCTGTGATGGAGATTGTACTGTGGAAGACCAGGTACTTAGCCCATACTTGGCAATAGATGATATCTACACTTGACTTTGTTTTATTTGTTTGTGTTTATGATTTTTTTATTGAATTGAAGTTTAGCACCTAACCCATATTATAACCCTTAGACCAGGAGGAAACATGTTCGACAATGCATTGGTTCGGACAATGTGTTGCCTTCCCAGGTGCATTAGTAGGGAGTTGTGTCAGATGGGACCAGCCGAGCTTGAACCTGCACTCCCTCCTACGTGGGATACTGGTATTTCTGTGGCAACTTAAATGCTCTGCCACAATGCCAGCCCCATCATAATGTTTCTAGACATGTTTATTAGAGCTTACTTTTGCCATGATTACTCAAAGTTCTGGATCATAATTTTACAACATCAAATGCTATTATAGTATTATTATAATATATATATTATATTATATATACTATATTATTATAGTAGAAACAAATTCGTATTTCTCAAATAATCAAGAACTTGAATCATTTTGTTATAAAAGACTTCTTAAATCAAGTTTCACATTAATTCCATTTCCTTGAAGATTATATAATACTTAAAAAGTGATCAAGCATTTACTTTGTGTTTTTGTTTTCTTTTCAACCAAAGAGATTGAATCGCCATTCTAATCAGAAGGGAGAATAGCAATTTCTCTTTGAACTATATATTTAAAATATATATTCTTTCTTAGTAAAATTCACCTAGGGCTACTTTAGCAGTGTTTGGGGTGTTTTTTGGATTTTTGTTTTTCTGATAAGTATTATTCATTCAGAAAGTTCTTTAGAACAGAAGAAAGATGTTTATGATATATTTTTTCCCTTGTTTAGAAATCGAAACGAGTTGGCTGAGACCCTTGCACTCCTGAAAGCACAGATTGATCCTGTACTGTTGAAAAACTCTAGCCAACAGGACAACTCTTCCCGGGAGAGTCCCAGCCTCGAGGATGAAGAGACTAAAAAGGAGGAAGAAACACCTAAACAAGGTTTTTTTTGTGTGTTTTATTTTGCTTTGTTTTGTAATCTCTTCTGTTTTCTTACACTCCGCTACCTAAGCATATAATTCTGTATATCCCCGTTTGAAACATCGAGAACTTTCCCATATAAGGATGTACAGTGGGTGGTCTGTGCAACTGACAGTGCTGCTTGGGACCCTGACATCACATATCAGAGTGCCTGGGTTCAAGTACTCGTTCCACTTGTTTACATGATTCAAATATTTGTTGTGGATTTGTTTGTAATACAGTTTTATTATTTGAAAGTTTATTTCTTTCTAAGATTAAATTTGTAGGCTACTCCACTAACTGTAGTAAATTTAGGAAATCTGATCATCTGCTGAATTTTATATTTTTAGTTCTCCAAGGACTAGTTCTGGATTTATACTATTTTTTTGGTTATACAGTTTGGTCATATTGATTTATTCTCTTATTCCCATACATTATTAAAATGAAGATCAGAGAGAATGTGAACCTGAAACGATGGTCAGGATAATACTATTACTCCTATTAGGAGGATTTAAAATTGACACTGGTGTTGATGGGAGATGCATTTTAAAACTTATTTATTTTCATTTGAAAGGCAGAGAGAAGAGACCAACATAGAAATCTTCCATTTTCTGGTTCACTTCCCAAATGCCCACAACAGCCAGGCCTGTTCCAGGCTAATGCCAAGAACCCAGATCTCAGTCCGGGTCTCCTGTGTGGGTGGCAGGGACCCACTTGAGCCAATACTTGCTGCCTCCCTGGGTGTGCATTAGCAGGAAGCTGGGTCAGACGTGGAGGTGGGACTCAAACCCAGCTACTCCAATATGGGATGTGGATGTCCCAAGCAGCCAACCCCTTGTTGTGTATTCTAAAGAAGAAATCAAAACAAAACAAACTATTTTCTTAGTACAGTAAAGCTCTTACTAATTTGTTATTCTAAAATTTCTCTGTGGGGTCTCAGAGTAGCTGAGGGGGGATTGCTACAGACAGTAACGACAGCTACCATCTGTTGAGCACATTCTGTGTTCTTTGTAGTCTACCAAATGCTGCATATGAATTTACATTGAATCCTCTTAGCAATACTTTGAGGGAGCTTCTAGTAGTACTACAGTTTTTCTTTTATTTTTTATTTTTATTTTTGGACAGGAAGAGTGAGAGAGAGAGAGAGAAAGGTCTTCTTTATGTTGTTTCTCCCCCCAAATGGCCACTACAGCTGGTGCACTATCTTATTATAATATACTGACTTTTTTTTTTTTTTAAGATTTGTTTATTTGAAAGGCAGAGTTAGAGAGAGAGGTGGAGACAGAGAGATCTTCCATCCACTGGAAGATGACCACAATGGCCAGAACTGGGCCCATCGGAATCCAGGAGCCAGGACATCCTTCCAGTTCTCCCACATGGGTGCAGGGGCCCAAGGACTTGGGCCATCTTTAACTGCTTTCTCAGTCCATTAGCAGAGTGCTGTGTGGGAACTGGAGCAGCCAGGACTCGAACTTGTACTCATATGGGATGCTGGCACTACAGGCCGGCGCTTTTAACCCGCTGCGCCATAGCACCCACCCCTCACTTTTCTTGTTTCAGACTGTACTTTCACTGTGGTTAACTGAAACCTCAGAAAGTAAAACCATCTAAAAAATGACATAAATAAGGGTGGGGATGATTATACATTATCATTTCCTGTTCTCAGACAAGGGAGGTGAAACAAAGTGATTTAAATAACTTCCTCTAGGTCACACAGTCTATTGTTAGATTCAGTATTAAAACCTAGGGAGTCTGTCTGCAGAGCCCCTGTGCACTCTCAGTGCTGCACTTGTATGTAATTGGTAGGAGTGGATCACATTATTTAGCCCCAAAGCTCTCTCACTGCATCCTCTTGGGATACTTATTGTGGTCTGTTCCATGGCAGGATCAAAGAAATATGATTCTTGTTTACTATTTGCTTTACTTTCAGATATAAGCAAACATAGCCACTGGATGCAGTTGGGGAGTGATATGACTTGGGAAGAATAGCTTGAAGGTTGGCAACATTGTTAAGGATTGTCTAACATACTTAGAACAGTAAAGCAAAAATGTGCCCATCCCATCCTTGGTATAAAAATTTAAAGATATATTTATTGAAAAGCAGTATCTCTCTCTCTTTCTCTTTCTCTCTCTCTCTCTCTCTCACACACACACATACAAATACACACACACAGTGAAGAGAAGAGAGTTCTATCTGCTGGTTCACTCCCCAAATAACCACAACAGTCAGGGCTGGGCCAGGCCCAAGCCATGAGCCTGAAACTTTATCCAGGTCTCCCATGTGGCTGGCAGGGACCCAGGCACTTGAGCCATCTTCCTCTGCCTTCCCTGGGCACTAGCTAGGAGCTGGGTCAGAAGCAGAGCCGCTGGGTCTTGAAACTGCATTTGGACATGGGAAGCTTGGCGTTGGTTGCAAACTTCACCATAACCTGCGATGTGACAACACCAGCAACCAGTGTAAAATTTGATTATACCTCAAAAGCCATCTGAAATCCCACCTTCTTTAGGCTTTTTCCGAGATTTTCTGGGAGTTTTTACTTTCATCCCATTTATATTAGGATCAATCACAACACAAAACTTAAAACTTTTATATACTTGTTGAGTTGTAATTTCAGATTGTGGTAGATGTTCAAGTTAATGTTAGGTGTCATTTAGTGTGGTCTAGTATGTGTAGAACTGAAAGCTATTGGGCTTAGTGAACACCTTGAAATTTATTTCACTCAATATTCGATACCATATTTTAAATTAGAAGGAACCAAAAGTTAAAAATAATCTTTGCTGGGGAAAGAAAGCAATGTTAAGGGAAACTCAACTAACCTTTAATTTATCTTCATTGTTTTTGTTGTGGTTTAACGCATTGGAAAAAGACTGTTCTTTTGTTACTTCTTGCAGTCATATACTTCTGACTACATGTAAACAGATAAGGGAGTATCATTTGAGAGTCTCTAGTATAGAATAGAATTCTCAGCTGGAAGTTTACAGGCTAAAGTTGGTCCAAAATAATGTTTATCTTGCTTTATATAGTGCAGCTTTAAAGAGGCTAAGATAAAAGTTACTATTTTGAAGTATGTAATTCAGTGGTTTTCATGATTTACTCTGTTGTGCCACCATAACCACTGTCTAATTCCAGTTCTAAATCTAATTTCATCAGCCTACAAAGAAATTTTGTATCCATTTGACACTCAGTTGCCATTTCTCCCCACTCTCATCCCCTGGAAACCGTTAATCTTTCCATCTCCATGTATTTGTGTCTTTTGGACTATTAATGTAAATAGAATAATACAATATGTGGCCTTTTGTGTCTGCTTTCATTGACTTGCATTAATGTTTTCAAAGTTTCTTTGTTTTGTAGCATATGTCAATACATACTCCTTTTTATGGATGAGCAGTATTCCTCTCTGTGAATATACCACGTTTGGTATCCATCACTTGATGGACATTTCAGTTGTCTTCACTTTTTGGCTATATGTATAATGCAGCATTGAGGGAATACAGGTTTTCATAAGTGTACTTTTTAAGAATTTGAGTTGCTGTCACATCCAAAATTGAAATTTTTTTTTAATTATTTATTTGAGAAGTAGAGTTACAGAGAGAGGAAGGTTTTCCATTTGCTGGTTCACTCCCCAAATGGCAGCAACAGCCAGAGCTGAGTCTATCTGAAGCCAAGAGCCAGGATCTTCTTCTAGGTCTCCCACACAGGTAAAGGGACCCCAGCACTTGGGCCATCTTCCACTGCTTTCCCAGGCCATAAGCAGGATTGGAAGAGAAGCAGCCAGTGTCCTGGCAACCAGATGGGATGCCAGTACCTCAGGTGGAGATCTAGCCTACTATGCCACAGCGCCAGCCCCCAAAAATTGAAAATTTGAAGAGTTGACAGCTACAGACCATCAGAACTGTGCTTTGGCCAAGTAATAGTTGCTCCCTCTAAGATGGGATTCACAGTCTGTAGTTCACCATATTTCTTTTTTTTTTTTTTTTACCCTCCAAAAATTGGACTTAGTGTTTACTCTTAAATTTTGTTTTTCTTGTAGCATAGTTAATGTGAAAGTAAAATATTTGTTCTCACCTCTTTATCAATATTAAATAATCAAAGTTAGATTGAAAATTCCATATGTCAGTATAAATAGAAGAGAGATGGTGATTGTTTGCAGAAAGATAGACTATGATTGTAAGTAAAATAACCACAGATGATCTGCCTTTGCTCATTATAAGCATGGTATCTGATATAAAGTTTAAATTCAACATGGCAAAGTACACTTTACAGTGTGAGTCTGCTTGGACTGCCATAACTAAGTGCCATGGACTGGGTGATTTAAACAGTGGAAATTTTCTCACAGTTCTGGAGCTTGAAGTAGCAGATTCGGTTTCTGATGAGGACTCTGGCTTGCAGATGATCACTTTATCACTGTATCCTCTGTTTCTTTGTACAGAGACAAAGTGATCTGGTGGCTCTTGCACTAATTATATATGAGAGCACCGTGTCAGTCATCTTGTGGCCCAATCTTTCTGACCTCATTTAACCATCATTCCTTCCCAGATTACCTCTCCTGGCCTCTGCTTATAGGTACATTGGAGGTTAGGGCTTCAACTTATAAATCTGGGGAGAAGAGACACAATTAGTCCATAACATATATTGTAAAACAGTCCATACTGAGAACTGTGACAGGTAATGGAAAAAGTTCCAATGAAGAAATTGAGAGGGGTCAGGGAGTACTGAAATCTTAAATTTTGTTTTTAATGCTATGGTATGTAGCTTATTTATTCCAAAGAGAAAAATAGTGCATGCTTATCTATATCTTTCTTTTATGTGGAGTTTGTAGACAGTAAAAAATTATTTGTATGAAACTAGAATGAACATTTCAACATGTCAGCGTAATTGGAAATACTCTTATGGGTAGTGAATGAATTACTGGAAACACACAGGAGATGTTAAGTCAGTTTTTATATTTTCTATCGTAGTTAATATCTTTACTTCTTTTAATTTTTGAAAGGCAGAGTAACAGAAACAGAGTGAGATGTTCCATCTGCTGATTCACTCCCCAAATGCCTGCAGTAGCCAGGGCTGGGCCAGGTAAAGTCCATCTGGGTCTCCCTTGTGGGTGGCAGGAACCCAAGTACTTGGACTATCATTTGCTGCCTTCCTAGGCACATTTAAAGGAAGCTGGGTAGGAAGCAGAGTAGTTAGAACTCAAACTAGCACTGGGAAGCTGGATTCAAGCACAGGTGGGACTCAGTCTGAGGCACTCTGGTACAGAATGTAGTGTCCCAACCTAGCTGTATTTGTAACACTGATGAGAATCTTAATATGACTGTAGATAATGTGGATGTGGGGCCAGCGCCACAGCTCAATAGGCTAATCCTCCGCCTGCAGCGTCAGCACCCTGGGTTCTAGCCCTGGTTAGGGTGCCAGATTCTGTCCTGGTTGCTCCTCTTCTAGTCCAGCTCTCTGCTGTGGCCCGGGAGTGCAGTGGAGGATGGCCCAAGTGCTTGGGCCCTGCACTCGCATGGGAGACCAGGAGAAACACCTGGCTCCTGCCTTCAGATCAGCGCGGTGCGCCGGCCGCAGCGCGCCAGCTACAGCGGCCATTGGGGGGTGACCCAACAGTAAAGGAAGACCTTTCTCTCTCTCTCACTGTCCACTCTGCCTGTCAAAAAAAAAAAATAATAATAATGTGGATGTGATTCTTTAATGAGCCCATCTTCAGGAAATGGCTTTTTTAATCTGTTGAAGAGGAAAATTTTTCAAAATAAATGTAGATGGCTCAAATTTAGAAAATGTAATCTACATGTATTCTTCTTTTGGTCATTGTGAACATAATTCCTGACAATGGAGCCTAAATTCAAAATGACGGTGTTTTGGAAAGAAATGACTTTTTTCTTGACATTTGTTTATTTGAAAGGCAGAGCAACAGAAAAAAGAGCTTCCATCTGCTGGTTCATTCCCCAGATGGCCACAATAGGCTGGGCCGAGCTTAAGTCAAGAGCCATAATCTCCATCCAAGTCCCCCACATGGGTGGCAGGATCCCAAGTACTAAGGCCATCTTCCGCTGCCTTCCCAGGCATGTTAACAGGAAGCTGGATTGGAAGCAGAATAAATGAAACTCAAAATGACACTCCAACATGGGATATGCCACAATGCCTGCCCAAAACATGAGATTTTTAAACATAAAACAACTTCACAGGGCTGACACTGTGGCACAGCAGGTAAGGCCACTACCTGCAGTGCCAGCATCCTGTATGGGCACCAGTTCGAATCCCAGCTGCTCCACTTCTGACCCAGCTATCCGCTATGACCTGGGAAAGCACTAGAAGATGACCCAAGTCCTTGGGCCCCTGTACCCATGTGGGAGACCCAGAAGAAGCTCCTGACTCCTGGCTTTGGATTGGTGCAGCTCCAGCTGTTGCACCTGTCTGGGGAGCAAACCATCGATGGACTAGCTCTCTCTTTCTCTGCCTCTCCTCTCTCTGTGTAACTATGACTTTCAAATAAATAAATTAATTAAAAGAAAAAGATAAAGAACTTCGGTCACTTTACTGTATCATTATCTGGGCTATTTTTTGCATAAAAACAGTGAAAGTAGAATATGGCATAGTGCGGAAACTCAGCTTGTGAACTGGATAAGCTCACAGCTTGACCTTAAATGAATCAAAGTTTTAGCTAATGAATAGTTTGCACAATAGAGTATTTCTGTGTACAATGTGATTTCATGTTCTCCTGTATGCATCAGGAATCTTCTTAGATTCCTCTTAAGTAATAGATTCATAAGAATACTACAGGCCACACTTGGTATCAGTCCAAGATCATTCTGGGATAGGGTTCACAGCTTGCCATCCACATGCAGTGCTGAGTAGTAGTCCCTTTAGTCATTCGTGCAGTGGTTCATATTGCTATCTAAGAACTGACTTATCCCAGAGCAAGTAGATGGGATCCACTTTGAGTAGATACAGAAATACAGTGTCTTAAAAGCCTCATGTTCTATGGAACCCAGTATCTCATAAGAATTCAGCAATCAGAAGTTCCAGGAGTCTCACTGTGATCAGGAGAGCCCAGGGTGTCAAATTGCAGGGTTTAAAAATTCATGTCCTTGTTTTTAGTTGACCAAATATTGTATATATTTATAGTCTACAACATGATGTTTTGTGTGTGGAATAGCTAAATAAAGCTGATCAGTATATATATTACCTCACATACTTACTGTTTCACTGTAAGAACATTCAAAGTCTACTCTTCTAGCAGCTTTCAATATAGCCACCATGTTGTACAGTATATCTTGAACTCATTCCTCCTTACCGAAACGTATCTGTTGACCAGCTTCTCCCAAGCCCCACCACGTCCTTAGCCACAGGTAACCATCATTCTCCTCAAAGCTTCTGTCAGTTTGACTCATCAAAATGATAGAATTTTCTTTTTAAAGGCTCAGGGACAGATTTTGTCCTTGTGATGCCTGTGTCCCATTTGGGAGTGCCTGGGTTTAATACCTGTTCCTGCCCCAGACTTCACTTTTGGCTGATGTAGACCCTAGGAGGCAGCGGTGGTGGCTCAAGTAATGGAGTTCCTCACTCCCCAGCCTCAACCCCACCTAGTACTGGCCATTGCAGGCATTTGGGAATGAACCAGGGATAAGAGCCCTTTGTCTCTCTGCCTCTCAAGTAATTAATTTAATGATAAATAAAAAATAGAATGGATACACTAAAGATATTAAAGCTGAGTAGTATTTCATTATGTGTGTGTGTGTGTGTGCACTGCTTTCTTTATCCATTCATGCATCAATGGATGTGGTTAATCCTACAGTGAATGTAATGTGCAGATAGCTCTTCAACAAGCTGATTTTATTTCCTTTGGGTAAAGACCCAAATAGTGGGATCACTGGGCCACATGGTAGTTCTGTTTTTATTTTAATTTATTTTTAACTTACATTTATTTATTTGAGAGGGAGAAAGCTCCCACTCGCTGATTTCCTCTCTGAATGCCCACAGTAGCTGGAACCAAAGCCAATAGCCAGGAATTCAGTCTGCACTCTCACATGGGTAGCAAGAACCCAGTTACTTCAACCATCTTCACTGCCACCTAGGTCTGCATTAGCAGGAACCTGGAGAGGGAAAGCGGAGAAAGAGATCTTTCATTGGCTGGTTCACTCCCCAAATGGCACCAGTGGCCTGAGCTGGGAGATAGGAACCCCAGTCTCCCATGTGAGTGACAGGAACCCAGTCATTTGAGCTATCACTTGTGCATCCTAGAATCTGTATTAGCAGGAACCTGGAGTCAGGAGGCACTCTATTAAAGAACATGAGCATCTTAACCTGGTTCCAACCAAATCACCTCTGATCTGACATTTTAAAAAATTAGGTTTGTATGAAAATACTCATTTTAAATATTACATTCTCATTTTTAAATAACATACCCTACTTCATCTCCTATGTAGTTTCTCTGGTTGACCAACAATGATCTGTTCATAATTTTTAAAGAAGTTGCTCTCTTGGTAAAACTTTTTAGAATTAGAGTTTCTTAGTTGTGATGGTGAGGCAAAGTGATGAAGAATGTGCTAAAATTACTAGTCAATCAATTCTGAAAACACTGTGCTCACATTCTTTGGGCACCAGATTAGGGCATCTGTGCACTCTGTGTAGCCCTTTTCAGAGCTGATATGATTCACCTAAGATTAGTTTTGTTAGGCTTCAGTCTGTTCCATAAAAGTTGAAAATTTAGAAGCCAGCACTGTGGTTGTAGTAGGCTAAGCTTTTGCCTGCAGCACTGGCAACCTATAAGGATACCAGTTCAAGTCCTGGCTGGTCCTCTTACTGATCCAGCTCTCTGCTATTAATGCTTCTGGGAAGGCAGTAGAGGGTGGCCCAGTTGCTTGGGACCCTGCACCCACGTGGGAGACCTGGAAGAATTACGTGGCTCCTGGCTTTGGATAGTCCCAGCTCTGGCCATTGTGGTCATTTGAGGAGAGAACCAACAGATGGAAGGTCTTTATCACTGTTTCTCTCTTTCTGTTTAACTCTACCTCTCAAAAAAAAAAAAAAAAAAAGATTGAAAAATTTAAACCCAAAAAGGCAAAAGGGGAATTGACAGATTAGCCTTAGTAGTTTCTTTATAAAGTATTAACTCTGAAATGTTGAGCAATGTCAGATGATAAAGTAATTTGTTGCATAACCACATTATAGAATGTATAGAAGTATAGGGTTTAGTATTGTAAAAGTGTTAATGTTTGAAGGTAAGAATTGATCCCAACTATGTGAAGGAAATAACCTAAAATGTTACTAGTGATTGCCTCTGGATAGTAGGGTTAGGTCTTTTTATTTTATTTTTTTTTTCCTTTTCTCTGGTTTTCATTTTCCCACTTACATGCTGACGTTATCTTAGTGAAATGACGTGTCAGTGGTTTGCCATCAAGAATATCAAACAAATATGATATTTTAAAAATGTTGCATGTACTATTTTCAGTTTTGTATTTTTGAGCCATCTTTTGAGTGTGAATAGATTATTTGAGTTGTGCAGATATCTCATTGCATTCCACTGAGAACTCCATAGCTAAAAGTAAAAAGCAGAAACATGAGTCTTTCTAGTTTTTTTGATATCTACAAGTTGTGGTTGAGAATTTTTTTTTTTTTTGATTGTCAGATTGTTTATCATCAAATAGCCAATGACAAAAGCTACCTGTTTTAGGAGAGAAACTGTGAATGAAAATGTACAGGAAGCCTTTTATATTGTATATCCTTGGAAGCTTCTGTTTATCTAATTAAACTGTTTTGATTTGTAGAGGAGCAGAAGGATGATGAAAAGATGAAAGGCAAAGAGCAGCCAGTAGATGCAGAAAACCATTCTGCGGCCAGCGCTGTAGAGGGCACCACTGTGAAAGTAGAAAAGGAGGAGGAAAAGGAACTTGTGAAGCTGCCAGTCATCGTCAAGCTAGAAAAATCTTTGCCAGAAATTGAGGAAAAAAAGATTATCAAAGAAGAAAGTGATTCTTTCAAGGAAAACGTCAAACCCATTAAAGTGGAAATAAAGGAATGTAGAGCAGATCCTAGAGATCCCAAAGGTAACACGGACAGGCTTGTGCAGGAGCCGGAGAGACTGGAGTTCAGTGGCAGCGTTAAGACTTCTCAAGACATCACGGAGAAATCTACTGAGGAAACAGAAAAACTTAAAAATGACCAGCAGGCAAAGATACCACTAAAAAAGAGAGAAATTAAACTGAGCGATGATTTTGACAGTCCAGTGAAAGGACCTTTGTGTAAGTCTGTTACTCCAACAAAAGAGTTTTTGAAAGATGAAATCAAACAAGAGGAGGAGACTTGTAAAAGGGTTTCTACAATCACTGCTCTGAGCCACGAAGGGAAGCAGATGGTAAATGGAGAAGTTAGTGATGACAAGGTAACTCCAAATTTTAAGACTGAACCAATCGAGACAAAGTTTTACGAAGCAAAAGAAGATGCATACAATAGCCCCTGTAAGGACAGAAGTGTCATCGTGGAGGGAAATGGAGCAGAGGCCCTGAATTCTGTCATAACAAATATGAAAACAGGTGAGCATGAGAGAGAAGTGGTCCCTGCAGGGAAAGAGACAGGTAGCTCAGTGTCAGCCCCAGAGACCCAGAATCTAAAAGGGCAGATAGAAGAACCTGATCTTGTAGAAATGGAAACCTCTCTTGAGTCTTCTGAGATGGCAAAGGATCTCTCTTTAAAAGCTGCTTTATCTACCACTGACACCTGCACCATGAAAATTGAGGACAGGTCTCCCAAAGGTAAGAAGGATAAGCGTCTACCAGTCCTAGAATGTCTTGAAAAGCCAGAGAAGTCCAAAAAGATTCTTCATGATAAGGATCCGCAAAGGTTGAGTCCAATACCAGAAGAAGTTCCAAGGAGTGCTCTTGAATCAGAAAAGCTAGGTGCTCCTGGGACAGCTGAATTTTCTCAGCCGCCTACAATGACTTCCCACTATGAAAAACTGGCCTCAGAAAATGAAGGCGTTGAAAATAAGAGTACAAGTCATGTTGGTCACTCCCTGGAAAAAACAGATCCAGATATCCAGAAAGAGGACTCTGAGTCCATGAAGGTAGAAATGGATAATCCCAGCAATGCCCAGCCCTCTGGCATAGAGGAGCCTTCTGAAACAAAGGGTTCTGTGCAAAAAAGCAAATTTAAGTATAAGCTGATTCCTGACGAAGAAACTGCTACCACAGAAAATACAGAGATAACTTCTGAAAGGCAAAAAGAGGGCATCAAGTTAACAATTAGGATATCAAGTCGGAAAAAGAAGACAGATTCTCCTCCCAAAATTCTAGAACTAGAACACAAGCAAGAGAAGACAGAAAAAGAAGAAGAGAAAGCAAATATGGGCCGTACGTTAAGGAGGTCTCCAAGAATATCTAGGCCCACAGCAAAAGTGGCTGAGATCAGAGACCAGAAAGCTGATAAAAAAAAGGGGGAAGGAGAAGATGAAGTGGAAGAAGAGTCAGCAGCTTCGCAAAAAACAGAAAAAAAAGAAAGTTTGAAAAAAGTGGAGAAAGATACAAATTCTAAAATAAGCAAGGTAAAATTCATTCTACTGTGACACTTAAGTTTTATCAGAAACTTTTGGATTTAAAGTTTTATTAAGTCATTCTCTTTAGCTGAAATACAGTCATTCAAAGACAACTAAAAATGTATCTTTCTCTGAGATATTTTTCTCTGTTGTTATCTGCACATATAAAGTTGCAGACTCTATAATCTTTTAAGCTTTCCTTTCTAATATAAATAGAATAGGAAAATATTCTTTTTGTAAGCCAGTCAAATTAACAGCCAAAGAGTATAAAATAGAAATTCCCCACAAGCATTACTAACATTTGGGGGTCCATATCTTTCCATTCCGTTCTATATGCATTCTAGTGTATGGTCATGAATATTTGCCCACTCATTTAAAAAAATAAACTGGATCAAGTGTGCTCATTTTTCTGTGAGCTTTTCCCTTAGCAGCGTGTCTCTGAACTCTTCATGTCAGGACACAGTCCACACTTTGTTTATTAACCACTACATAGTACTCCATAGTGTGGCTGTGCCTCAGTTTATTTACTACTCCCTCACTGATTGACATTTAGGTTGTTTCCAATTTCTCACTATTACAGGCAGTGCTGCATTGAAGATCCTTTTGGACTTAGTGAGTATTTCTTTAGAATAGACTCCTGGAATTGGAATCACTGGGTCAAGGGGCATGTGTACTTTAAATGCTGAGGGTTACTGCTACATTGCCTTCCAAAAATGTCCTATTAATGTGCCATCTCATTACCATTGTATGAGAGTACCTATTTCAGTTGTTAGTTTTAGAAGCAAGAAATCTATCTGGCGCTCTTATTCTAAGCAGAATCTTTTACAAGTTGTTGATTAGTCTATAGGAGAATAATTAAAAGCATTACTTTTGTTTTTAGTTTATTTAAATAATTAAGCTATTCATAATAAGTAATTCTTTATTCCCTGAAATACTGAACTTTTAATTCTTTACTTTTAGAAAAAAGTTTCCTTATTTCTGCTGTTAGAATATTTTTATTCTTTACTGGAGTCCTATAATGTAGGGATGAACAGAAATAAGCAGTTGTTAAAAGATAGTACAGTCAAGTAATAACTTTTAACAAAATTGTGAACCTATTTTTTAAAGTTTCTCAGGGTTTTTATATGTAAAAGGTCTGACCTTTGAAAATTTAGCTTTAACATGGAATTTAAATTTTGCATAATACAGTGCGTATATAGTCATCTTTCCATTATACGGGCTTTAGAATGTGCATGGCCCTTAACCCAGAATCCTTTTCAAGGAATTTATCCTAACCATAAACATGTGTAAAATCTTGTGAAGATATATTGTTCATAGAAGTGAAAAAATGGGAAACACCTACCTAAATGTCTAATGGGGGTTAGATAAATTACACTTGTGTGGTGGCATATTATACAGACTAGGGAAAAGACATAATGGTCATTATAATTACATTTCTAAAACCCAAAAATACAGAAAAACTTGAAATAATACACCAAAATTTAATAGCTGGTATATCTGATGATAAGGATATAGTAATTTACATTTTTTCTTTGTATATTGACTAAATATCCCACAATGGACATGTACCAGAAGTTTTGTATTTCTAAAATTTGTTACATCAAATTATCCCAACATTTTATTTTACACAAAGGTAAAACCCAAAGGCAAAGTTCGATGGACTGGTTCTCGAACACGTGGCAGGTGGAAATATTCCAGCAATGATGAAAGTGAAGGATCTGACAGTGAAAAATCATCTGCAGCTTCAGAAGAGGAAGAAGAAAAGGAAAGTGAAGAAGCCGTCCTAGCAGATGATGATGAACCATGCAAGAAATGTGGCCTTCCAAACCATCCCGAACTCGTATGTGCCAATGTAAATTAGCAGTGTTCATATTACAGGCGCGCAGTGATTGCCCGGAGCAGCTACGTCTTCTGTGTTGAATCATGACTTGAATTTTTGAATGCTGTGGAGATTGTGTGCTACAAAGTCACCTTTATGTTTCTGAAAGTAATAACCCAGTTTTAGGGAGACCAAGGATCAGGATTCTGCTTTCATTCTACCTGATTTAGCTATGGATGTTTTCTCGGCTAGCAGTGATATACCCACCTAAGTCAAGAAGTAACCTAGTAGGGTTTTACAGTTTTTTAAATAGAGCAGTCCTTACAAATCTTTTAAGAGAATAAATCACAGACCAGATACATTCAGAAGAATAGTACCAGATTTATATGGAGCTTTGTTACTTAGAAAGTAAGCTCTTCAAAAATGGCCTGCATCAGAAGAACCAATTCCTAATCTATATAGCTTGCAGTTCATAAGTGAGGCTGTTGAAGAAACACTGATGCTACACCCAGTTCTGAGCAACTGTGCTCTTTCAATAAAACTGCGTTTGAACGCAATTTCTCTTTAAATGAGTAGAAATGTAAAGAAAGCTCCTTCTGTGTGACTAGAATATACTGAGGAAAAATGTTGTGAGATCACAGAGTTTTGAAAAATTAAGATGTGGTTCTCTACTTCTTCCCTAGAAAGTTATGGGATATGTCGGGAAAAGTGTGGGATTGAGACATAAATTCAGATCTTAAATTTGTTTTGTTTTGTTTTGTTTTAAGATTTATTTTATTATTTATTTGAAAGAGTTACATAGAGAGGTAGAGACAGAAAGAGGTCTTCCATCTGTTGGTTCACTCCCCAAATGGCTTCAACAGCCAGAGCTAAACCTATCCTAAGCCAGGAGCCAGGAGCTTATTGCGGGTCTCCCACATGAGTGCGGGGTCCCAGGACTTGGGCCATCCTCTGCTGCTTTCCCAGGAGCATTAGTGGGGAGCTAGATTAGAAGTGGAGCAGCCAGACTTGCACTGGCGCCCATATGGGATGCTGTCTCCAGATCCTGCTGTAATTACCTCCCTCTCTTTATCTTGAATTTTTCATTGAAAAGTGAGACTGATACCACGTAGTTCTGACAGGTTTGTTTTTGTTTCCTTATTTTAAGAGTTTATTTGAAAGGCAAAGTTACAGAGATGGAGAAACAGAGGAGAAAGATCTTCCAACTGCTGGTTCACTAGCAAAATGGCCACAAAATCTGGGGCAAGGCCAAGCCAAAGCCAGGAGCCTCCAACTCCATCTGGGTCTCCCACATAGGTGGCAGGGGCCCAAGTACTTGAACCATCTTCCACTGCTTCCCCAGGCACAGTATCAGGGAGCTGAATTAGAAGTGTAGCAGCGTGGATTCAAACTAGTGCTCATATGGCATGCTGATACTACAGTCAGCAACTCAACCTGCTGTGTCACACGATGGCCCCTGACAGTACTTTTATAACTCATGGAAAGGGATGGATCTTTTATGTGCTGGGTTAAAATTAATTCTGGTTTACTTGTTCTTTTCTTGCTTACCACTGAAACCGTATCTGGAAACTAAACTCATCAGTGAAGTTTCTCATGTCCCAGTGGTTTCTGTGAGTTCAAGTAAAAGATATAATTTAGAACCAGATAATAACTTTAGCTCTGAGAAGAATGCATTTTTACTAAGACAGCAAGAGCTATTAGGGACAAAGGGATATGAGAAAATAATAAATGGTGAGTAGAATTGACATTGAGAAAGAGGAAAAAGTTGAGCCCTTTTTGGAACAGATAGGATTTTTATTTATTTGACTATTTTAATGACTACTTAGACAATCTCACTACTGTTTACTGTGCCAGAGAATGACACTGAAAACTGAAGATCTCAGATGTGCTGACTTTCCTTTGGTAAGTGGCTAAGGATAATCTCAAAGTCAAAATACCAAGGGGCTACTATGTTGTAGAGAAATGATGCTGAGCTAGAAAGACATGGTCCTTGGCTTCATTGAACCTACAACAGAAAGCAATGTATTCTTTCATAAATGTAGAACTGTAAAAGACTTTCAAGATGCTTTAGACAAAATGAATGAATTATTACTTGGAAATCTCAGATGGTAGTATTTATTTAGTGGAGTTTTGACTTTATTGCAAAGTAGAGACTGCCTTCATTTTAGAAATACAGTACTTCCTAAAAGTTAACTTGTACTTTTATTATTTGAAATTTAGATTACATCTTACCATAGAAACAATTGAGAAATGAAATTGGTGCCCTGGTTCATACTGTCTGCCACAGGGGAGAGAATCAATGCTGGTTCTTGTCCTACCCCGAAGAAGACAATGATGGTGAACAAAGCAGAAGTTTTATTGAAAGCAGAGAGCCTCCTGATGGACCCAGTTGGGGTTGGGGACTCCAAGTAGCTTTCAAGTGAGGGCTCTTTTATCACACAAAATGGTGCCAAAGAGAGTGTCTTATTCTTTGATTGACAAGTTTAAAGGATTGAAACTGTGTCCAATCAGTGGGGCAGAAAGAGTCATGGAAATTTATTTATTTTTTTAAAGATTTATTTTATTTATTTGAAAGGCAGAGAGACAGAAAAAGAGAGAAATTCTGTCCATTGGTTCACTCCCCAAATGGCCACAACTCCCTTAGTTGGGGCAGGCAGTAGCCAGGGGCCAGGAGCTTCATCAGGAGTTACGGTGTAGCAGGTTAAGCTACTACCTGCAACGCCAGCATCCCATAGGCTGCTGGTTCATGTCCCGGCTGCTCCACTTCCAACCCAGCTTCTTGCTAATGTGCCTGGGAAAGCAGTGGAAGATGGCCCAAATGCCTGGGCCTCTGCACCCTCGTGGGAGACTTGGTTGAAGCTCCAGGCCCCTGCCTTCAATCTGGCCCAGCCCCAGCATCGTGGCCATTTGGGGAGAACCAGCAGATGTGAAACCTCTTTCTGTCTTCTCTTTGTAATGCTGCCATTCAAATACATAAATATTTAAAAAAAAAAAAAAAGAGCTTTAACAAATTGTCAGAGGTTTAAGCCATTTGATCAAAATAAAGTAATATTTAACCCGATGGAGGCAAAGCTATGGAATAGATATAATCAGTTAAGATAATCACTGAAGTATTTTAAAATAGACAGATCATGTTAACTCCTTTGACACATTGCTCTGAAGCAATCAATACAATAAAAAACATGAGAAATCTTCCCAAGATGCATAAAACTCTTGTTCCCTAGGTCAGCTACAAAAACACAAAAAAGGCTTAATTAAAAGGATTAGCACATGGGGCCGTCACCCTGGCGCACTAGGTTAATCCTCCGCCTGTGGCGCGGGCATCCCATATGGGCGCCAATTCTAGTCCTGGTTGCTTGTCTTCCAGTCCAGCCCTCTGCTGTGGCCCAGGAAGGCAGTGGAGGATGGCCCAAGTGTTTGGGGCCCTGTACCCGCATGGGAGACCAGGAGGAAGCACCTGGCTCCTGGCTTCTGATCAGCACAGCTCCGGCAGCTCCGGCCATTGCCGCCATTTTGGGAGTGAACCAACGGAAGCAAGACCTTTCTCTCTGTCTCTCTCTCTCACTGTCTTTAACTCTACCTGTTAAATAAATAAATAAAAAATATTTTTAAAAAGGATTAGCACATGACATCAGCATATGAACCCCTTACTTGGCACTTAAATACGTCATGGAACACACAGGTAGAGAATCAGGTGATCCTGTTACCTGGACTTACTTAAAATATCAGCTAGTGTATTTTATTTTCCCCGGAAGAAACCATTTATGTAATTAATACAAATTTCATAAATACAATTTTAGGAATATATTTATTCTTCCCACCATACCTGCCCTCCCACCCATACTCTCACCCTTCCTCCTCTTCCCTCTCTCCTTCCCCGTCCCATTCTCCATTAAGATTCATTTTCAGTTAACTTTGTACACAGAAGCCAACTCTATACTAAGTAAAGATTTCAACAGTTTACACACACACACACACAAAATGTATGAAAAAACTGTTTGATAACATGCTTTTTCATTAACTCTCATAATGCAACTCATAAAGGACAGAGGTCCTGCATGGGAAGTTAGTGCACAGTGACTCCTATTGTCAGTTTAACAATTAACACTCTCATGTTTGACATCAGTGACTACCTGAGGCTCTTGACATGAGCTGCCTATGCTGTGGAAGCCTTTTAAATCCACAAACTCTGTCAGTATTTAGACAAGGCCATGAGCAAAGTAGAAGTTATCTCCTCCTTTCAGAGAAAGGTACATCCTTCTTTGATGGCCACTTCTTTCTGCTGGGGTCTCACTCACAGAGATCCTTCATGTAGAACATTTTTTGCCAGTGTCTTGGCTTTCCATGTCTAGAATGGTTTCATGAGCTTTTCAGCCAGACCAGGATGACTTAAGGGCTGATTCTGAGGTCAGAGTGCTACTTAAAGCAATTATGATTCTATGAGTGGACTGCTTCCCATATTGGAACTTTCTCCTTTTAATTTCATCTATTATTATTGCCAGACACTTGATCCTATTTATATTATTACTTTAACAGTCCTATTTATATGTTCAATTTAACACTTAATATGATCACTTTAACACCTAAGATAGCATTTTTATCACCCAGCTTAATGAGATTTGGGGTCCCATGGCAAGTTTTCAAACTGCACCCTTAGAAGTAAGGCTATAGTAATGTATGCAGAACTATACAGATTTACAGTTACAAACTTCCTCCTCCGTCTCTTATTCCCACTCTTTTTTTTTTTTTTTTTTGACAGGCAGAGTGGACAGTGAGAGAGACAGAGAGAAAGGTCTTCCTTTACCGTTGGGTCACCCTCCAATGGCCGCTGCAGCCGGCGCACCGCGCTGATCCGAAGCTAGGAGCCAGGTTCTTCTCCTGGTCTCCCATGCGGGTGCAGGGCCCAAGGCCTTGGGCCATCCTCCACTGCACTCCCGGGCCACAGCAGAGAGCTGGCCTAGAAGAGGGGCAACCGGGACAGAATCCGGCGCCCCGACCAGGACTAGAACCCAGGGTGCCGGCCCCGCAGGTGGAGGATTAGCCTATTGAGCCGCAGCGCCAGATCCATCCTCAGTTGACTATATACATATGAGTAACTCTATATTAAGTAAAGAGTTCAACAAATATTATGAAGAAAAAACTGTTGCTTGATATTCAAGACAAGGGCCATTCAAGTCATCTCTTCTTGAAATATCGGTTTCACTTCTACAGACTTCATTTTTGGTGCTATATCAGTTCTCACAGATCAGGGAGATCATATGGTATTTGTCCCTTTGGGACTGGCTTATTTCACTACATATGATGTTTCAGCTAGCTTTAAAATAATTTCCTTCTAATCTTAACCAACCTGATCTCTTCTACAAAGTACTTTTTCCTTCAGTTTCTCCTTCTATCAAGAAATCCTTAACCTTTGTCACCAGGAATACATTCTCATCCTCATATTGTTAAGACAACTGGGTAAATAACTCAGGTTCATAGAAACCCCAATCTAAATACAGATTGGGATTCAGTCTCTTCTGCTACACCTGCCTGGTCTGTTTTCTTATCTGTTCATTCATTGGCCTCATACTTTATGTTCAGATCAGTGGTGACAATAGCTTCCTCCACATCTTTCTTTCCAACCTACTTTTTCGTTCAGTTCACATCCTGAAACAATCCTTAGCACCTCTAAATTAAGAGAAAACCACCTTTTAATAAAAAGAACACACAATGTTTACCAGTTTCACTTTATCTTTTCTTACACAATTGCACGTTACCAAAGTTGCTAGCCCTAGAAATCTCAAGAAACTTTTCACTAGAAAACAAAGCACTTCCATATAGAAGCGACATGTTTTCTTAAAAGACAGAGCTCCATAAACTTAATTGCTAATGTTTTCAGAGAATCACAGCTCGATGACAAAAATCAAAAATAGCTGGTCACAATAACAACTCAGCCGCTTACAGTGGTTCAGAAAGGACAGCAGCATTCACAGCCTGTGTTATCCTGTCAGGCCTCAGGACTAATTGGAGAGACAGTGGCAACTGTAGAGTTCTGTGACTTTAAGGAGTCGTTATTGCCCTCAGCCAGAGAACAGAGGCATCTTCAATAGGCGGACAGAGAAACTTTGATAATTTAGTGAGGAAAAGCCCAAGAGGCTCGCTCTTGCTAATCTAGAAACCACTTAAGAGGGAGTTAGAAAACATGACTATGTCAGGACCTGGTTGATGGTAAAAGATAGCAAGAGAAACTGTCTTAAGACTAGTTCTTGGTGCCACCACATGTGACAGACACCAGCATCCCCTGTGGATCCAGTCCAAGTCCTAACTGCTCCATTTCCAATCCAATTCCCTGCTAGTCTATCTGGGAAAGCAGCAGAGGATGGCCCAAGTGCTTGGGCCCCTTACCTATGTGGAAGACTGGAAGAAACTCCTGACTCCTGGGTTCTGTCTAGCCCAGCCCTAGCCATTGCAATGATCTGGGGAGTGGGCCGGCGCCGCGGCTCACTAGGCTAATCCTCCGCCTAGCGGCGCCGGCACACCGGGTTCTAGTCCCGGTTGGGGCGCCGGATTCTGTCCCGGTTGCCCCTCTTCCAGGCCAGCCCTCTGCTGTGGCCAGGGAGTGCAGTGGAGGATGGCCCAGGTGCTTGGGCCCTGCACCCCATGGGAGACCAGGAAAAGCACCTGGCTCCTGGCTCCTGCCATCGGATCAGCGTGGTGCGCCGGTCGCAGCGCGCCGGCCGTGGCGGCCATTGGAGGGTGAACCAACGGCAAAGGAAGACCTTTCTCTCTGTCTCTCTCTCTCACTGTCCACTCTGCCTGTCAAAAAAAATTAAAAAAAAAAAAAATGATCTGGGGAGTGAACCAGCAGATAGAAGATCCCTCTCTGTCTAATTCTGCCTTTGAAATAAATAAATTTTTTAAAAGGGGGTTGGGGGGAGAGCCATGCTGTGGCCTAGTGGGTAAAGCCGTCACCTACAGTGCCAAAGCTGTAAAATCAACCTCTTGGGCCAATGCTGTGGTATAGCAGGTTAAAGCCCTGGCCTGAAGCACCAGCATCCTGTGTGGGTGCCAGTTCAAGTCCCGGCTGCTCCAATTCTGATTCAGCTCTCTGCTATGGCCTGGGGAAGCAGTAGAAGATGGTCTAAGTCTTTGGGCCCCGGAGGAAGCTCCTGGCTCCTGGCATTAGATCAGCACAGCTCTGGCCATTGGAGGCCACCTGAGGAGTGAATCGGTACATGGAAGACCTCTCTCTCTCTCTCTATGCCTCTGCCTCTCTCTAACTCTGCATTTCAAATAAATAAATAAATAAATCTTAAAGAAAAAAGACCACCAGTTCTCGCTAGAGCTTTTAAAAACGGTGGCAAAGGAGATGGGAATTCCTTGGCATTCTTCAGTAGTAGGGAGGGCTGACTGAAACCAGGCCCTTGGGCCCCTGCACCCACACAGGAGACTTGGAAAAAACTCCACAGCCTGGGCTGTTGCAGCTATTTGGAGAGTGAACCAGCAGATAGAAGATCTCTATATCTTTCCCTCTCTTTCTTTCTCTATAACTCTGCCTTTTAAATAAAGAAATCTTTATTAAAAAAAAAAAAGTGGCAAGTCTCTGTCTCCATGAAATATTGGCTTTCATCGCCAGTATAGAAGGGTAGACAAGGCAGGGAGAAACAGAAGGCAGCTAGACATGGAGCGTGCCACAGAGCGATGCTGCTCAGAACTTACTGCTATGCTCAGTCTCTCCTGGCTGCCTCTAGAAGTTATGGAGATGGCTGCTCAGAGGATCTTGCCTTCAAACCAAAAGGAATTCAAATGTGAGACAGAGTAGTGAAAAGCGAGGTAATGAAATTTATTGAAAAGAAATACACCTGATAGAGCATGCTGGCATCTTGGGAAAGAGCTGAGGGCCCAGTCTTGGACTGTGAGCCCTCCCTATCTGAGGTATTGCTGGGTGGGGGGCTTCCTGGGCATGGAATTCCTGAAATTCCTCCCAGAACATTGTCAGCTAAGTGTCATTGGACCAGTACTCGACTTGGTGCCAGCTGGGGATGCTTCCCCTAAGCTGCTCCGGGAGAGAGCTGGGGCCTACCTAACTAGGTTGTTTTGATGTCAAGACTTTTCGTGCAAGTGCTGGTCTGCTTCAGGGCGTGCTTCTACATTTGTTTCCTTATTCAGCCATACAAATATTCCCAGTTTAGTTCTTTAGCCTCTCACATACATAGACTCATGTCCACCTTGCTACCTAAAACACTTTCAAAATATTTGTTAATTTAATTTATATCTACAAATTCTTCAATATTTTTATATACAGAAAACTTAATTTTCCTCCCTTTAAGCATGAGTAAGACTTACGAGAATAGAGTATGGAAAATGAAAAGTAGTAACTGTGCATTGGGGAAAGCCAACAGATGCTAATTTAATGAAGTGATCAAGGTTAATATTACCAGTAATAAGTTGTATTGTTATTATGAGCCTCATGATATGTTCCAGTGAGCAGAATACTTCCCCTCTGTGTTACTCTTCTCCAAAAACTATAACCCCCATCTAATGAGAAAATAATGAACAAACCCAAACTCGAGGACAGTCTAGTATCTGACTAATCTTTAAACTCGAAGTTATGGAAAACAGACTAAGAAACTGTTACGTATCAGATGAGACTAATGAAACATGACTAAATACAAAATAGTGTCTTGGATTCAGAATCGGAAAAAGAACAATAGTGGAAATTAGTGAAACATGGTATTATAGCTTTGATGAATGTCTTGTAGTTACTGAAAACTTAATGAAGGGCATATGGGAACTCCACTATCTTCACAACTCTTCTATGAGTCTAAAATTATTTTAAAATAAAAAAATTTTTAAGTTAAACATTCAGGAATATACTATTAAATTTTATAGAGCTGGTCACCTTATATTCAAGTAGCCGTAAAAATAACAATTTTATGACCATTTATTAGCCTTTGTATTTGAACTTGAGGGTTCTGAATAGAGCTCCATCCTTTTCTATACCTCATCTCTTCCCTCCTTGAATTTTCATGAGAAAGGGAACCATAAGTGTTTCTTAAGAGATAACTCAGATGCTATTTAAAGTGGAAAGTTTTTATATTTTTAAAATTCTGTATATTGTGGACAAGTTTGTGATACTTGAGCTTGAAAACTTTGTTGTAAGGAATGTGTTCCTGTCTCACGGCTCACTATAAAATTATCCTAACTCTTAATTTAGAAAGGTTCTCATTATTTTTCATTTGATTTTATAGCTTAACATTTTCTTAGAAAGCAGGTGCCTCTTGGGTACCTGCATCCCATATCCATCAGCCTGCGCTTCCAGTCCAGCTTCCTGCAAATGCCGACCCTGGGAGGCTGCAGCATGTGAACCTTCAAGTACTTGGGTCCCTGCCACCCATATGGGAGACCTGGATTTAATTCTTTTAAGGAAATAAGATTTATTTATTTAATTTGAAAGAGTTACAGAGAGGCAGAGAGAGAGAGGGAGAGAGGAGAGGTCTTCCACCTACTGGTTCACTTCCCAGAAGGCTGCTGTGGCCAGAGCTGCGCCGATCTGAAGCCAGGAGCTTCTTCTGGGTCTCCCATGCGGTGCAACGGCCCAAGGACTTGGGCCATCCTCTACTGCTTTCCCAGGCCATAGCAGAGAGCTGGATCAGAAGTGGAGCAGCCGGGACACAAACCGGCGCCCATATGATATGGATACTTGTACTGCAGCTGGCAGCTTTACCCAGTATGCAACAGCGCCAGCCCTGGATTTAATTACTAACCCCTGTCTCCATCCTTGCTCAGCCCTGGCTGTTGTGGGCAAGTAAAGTAGTGGAAGGAAGATGTCTCTTTTTCTCTCTCTGTTGCTCTGCCTTTCAAGTAAACAAAAACAAATAAATAAAACTAAGAAAAAAATGGTTTCTTAGTTTTTAAGAATTTTGTTTTTATATATTTTTTTAAAATTGACATCAGATCTGTTATTATCAGCACTTTTTTATTCATTAACTTTGCAGTAGAGTACTAAGAAATATTGAAATGTTTTTCTCTTAATAAGAATCACTGAATTTTAGTCATAGAGTTAGGTTGACTTTATTGTGGTTTGTTTCAGATTCTTCTGTGTGACTCCTGTGACAGTGGCTACCACACCGCTTGCCTCCGCCCACCCCTGATGATCATCCCTGATGGAGAATGGTTCTGCCCCCCTTGCCAACATGTATGCCTCCCGCTCACCTCTGTTTTTCCAGTACTTGGTTTTGCATTCAAAATAATGAGACCTTGTAATCATCACTAAACAACTTGACTCTTCAAAGGAACTTTTAAAAAATGTCTACCACTTTTTTAGGTTTTTACCTTTTATAAACATCTTTTAGGTCTTCCATTTGTTTTTTTTTTTTTTTTCCTAAATCAATTCTCAAAAGCCTTCTATATTCATAAAAATATCTTTTTTTTTTTTTTTTTTTTTTTTGACAGGCAAAGTGGACAGTGAGAGAGAGAGAGAGACAGAAAGGTCTTCTTTTGCCGTTGGTTCACCCTCCAATGGCCGCTGCGGCCGTCGCACCGCGCTGATCCGAAGGCGGGAGCCAGGTACTTATCCTGGTCTCCCATGGGGTGCAGGGCCCAAGCACTTGGGCCATCCTCCACTGCACTCCCTGGCCACAGCAGAGAGCTGGCCTGGAAGAGGGGCAACCGGGACAGAATTCGGTGCCCCGACCGGGACTAGAACCCGGTGTGCTGGCGCTGCAAGGCGGAGGATTAGCCTATTGAGCCGTGGCGCCAGCCCCATAAAAATATCTTTATTTCTTGATTGTTACAAGCACAAAGAAGACCAAATTTAGATATATACAAAGAAAGAAATTAGCTTCTTCCTTTTGTTTTTTACTTTGTTTCATCCTCCATTTTCATTTCTCCCTACTTTTTGTCAGTAGTTGTTTTAGACATTTTCAGGGTTAGCAGAAACATGGATTGTCTTTCTCTTTTATCTTGATTCAGGTGAATTTCTTCTGGAAGCTAAGGGACAGGATATTTTCTGTACTACCGTGTCCACTGTCTTGCCAGCCCAGTCTCATTCTGTTTTTAAAAACTATGAGGGGCAGACATTTGGCACAGTGGTCAGTGCTGTTTGGAACTCGTACATCCTGGATTGCAGTGCCTGGATCTGAGTCCTTGTTCTGCTTCTGATCCATGCTTCCTGCCAATGCTGACACTGGGAGATGTAGGTGATGGCTCAAGTATTGAGTCCCTGCCACCCATGAGGGAGACCCAGATTGAGTTCCCAGCTTCTGTCTTTGTACTGGTCCAGCCTCCAGTGTTATAGACATTTGAGGATTCAAACAGCAGATGGGAGATCTCTGTCTCTAACTCCCTTTCTCTGTCTCTCTGCTTTCAAATAAATAAAAGGTAAAGAATAATAAAATTTTTAAAACTACATAAAAAGTAGAGATTTTATACATTTCTCAGTGAAAGAGACATCTGCGACTTAGCAGAGTACTGTTAGTTAACATTTGTCAACTCTATTTGAACCAAATAACCATGTGGCTTTTTTTTATACATTATTTTCCATCCTCACTCCTTAAAAATAGTGACTAGTGCTACTATATTTTATGTATATATAAGCTTCACCCTTAATGTTTTTTAAATTTAAAAAAATTATAGTCACTGTTATATATACTGTTGAACCACATGCTATTTTCAGCATTGGTTACTGCCATTAGTATAGCCTTAAGAATATGGTTTTTCTGTGTTTTGGCAAAGCTATAAGCTTCTCTGATGCATGCTTTATTTCAAAAATACTGTGCTCATCTTTGTTCAATGGCAGTTGAAACACCTGCTCATTTGTTTTTCAAAGATTTATTTATTTAAAAGACAGAGAGAGAGGTCTTCTATCCTCTAGTTCACTCCCTAAATGGTCACGACGGCCGGAGCTGCAGCGATCTGAAGCCAGGAGCCAGGAACAACTTCTGCGTCTCCCATGCAGGTGCAGGGGTCCAAAGACTTGGGCCATCTTCTGCTTTCCCAGGCCATAGCAGAGAGCTGGATCAGAAGTGGAGCCGCCAGGACTCAAACCGGCACTCATATGGGATGCCGGCGCTGCAGGTGGCGGTTCTACCTGCTGTGCCACAATGCCAACCCAAAGCACCTCTTTATTAAACCCAGGGAAAGTTTCATTGTTTACTAACTGTTCAGCATGGTACTCATGAGCTTAATGTGTACATGATAGATGATCATGGAAATGTATTAAAAATGACACACATATTTTGCTCCTTCAGAAACTACTATGTGAAAAATTAGAGGAACAGCTGCAAGATCTGGATGTTGCCTTAAAGAAGAAGGAGCGTGCTGAACGAAGGTATTTCAGAATGTGTGTTAACGTTTTATTTGGAAAGACGTCAGCAGAGTCATCTTGCAATATAGGTGAATGCACCCATTTAAAGCAGGGATCAGAAAAACCAGCCTCTTGGCAAACTTTGCCTACTTGTTTTTTATACTAAGAATGGTTTGTATGTTTCTCAAGGGTTGGAAAAAAATAAACATTAGATACCTATTTCATGGCACATGAAAGTCATATGCCATGTATGCCATAGTATGTTCCAGTTTCACTACCCCATAAAATGACTTTTTACTGGAACACAGCTCTGTCCCTTTTGTTTCTGTGCTATCTGTGTTTGCTTTTGCCTTACAGCAACAGAGTTGGGTGTTAGGAGGAGACCCCATGACCTGCCAAGGCTGCATTATTTTTTATCTGTCCTTTACAGAAAACTTTGCCATCCCCTGCTGTGAATTAATATTGGCACGTGTTATCATAGAGACTTCCACCTAAGTGCTGTAGTAAATACAAGAAAACTATGAGAACTGATCTATGGTTTGGTTACCCAATAATCATTTCTTTGGGTGGGTAGAATTAACACTGATGAAATAGAGTAGTTTAAGGCTGGCTTATATCCTGCTAACTGTAAGAGATGCCTCCCTCTTCAATATGCCACAGCAGTGTGGTCTAAAGCAGTTGAGAAGGCTCCTAGGAGAAAGTCAGACTGCATGTAAGCCTTATCCTCAGAAGTTGGTTCAGTATCGGGATAGTAAGTTTGTGTTTATTATGTGCCTTACTATAATGAGTCTATTTTTAAACATTCATTTGCGCCTACTTTGTATCAAATTGGAAAAAATGTAAGAGTTCTTGCTTACATGATACTCAGCACTCTACCATGGAATACAGACACATGAATCAATGATAAAATAAAATAGAAAAATCAAGGCAGATTCACAGCCATGTAAGAACATTGTATAGGAGCTTTTGGGTTCTCATAGGAGTGAGGGTTATTCAGGTGCAAATGAAAAGAAAGGGCCTTCCCAGCAAATGTGAGCAACAGCAAAGTGTAGCAGAGGAGGAGACTGGTAGGAGATGTACCACTTCAAAAGCAGAGTGAGTCCAGATTGTGAATAGCTTACAAACCTGGCTAGGGTATTTGAGTTATTGCCTGCAAGCTGTGAAGGAGACATCGGAGTATTGCTATGCATAATCAGGTCTTTATATCAGAAAAAAATGTTCCAATAACAGTAAGAAGAAGCAATTAGAGTTGGGAATGTTGCAGTAATCTAGGAGGCCTTAACAAGTGCAGGCTTTGTGACAATAAGATGGTAACGATTAGGGGATTAATATGTAGGACTTAATTGTATGGGAAATTGTAAGCAGTGTTTCCTAATTGGCCTTATTACTTTCACTTGCTACACTTCTTTAATTCTTTGGTTCAGGGTCTGCTTCTACTCAGTTTACCCTGTGCAAAGGTGAACCTTAAAAATGACTGCAGCCTCCAGAATGTAGGATGAGTTGGGTTCGGTTTTGTTTTTTACTATTTTGTTTGAGCTATCTATCACATAATCGATGTATTTAACTTAAAGCCAGGCTAATCAGTAAAGTTGACTTTTTTTTTTCTTAAATCAGTTGTCTAAATATTTTTGCATTTAGCAATCCTGGGTTGCTTTTGACAGATAACTGGGTTTAAAGTATTTGCAATATCTTCTAAAGATATTTTCAAAAATAATCCTATATACAATTATTAGAACTATTTGGATATGCGGAGTTTTGACAGTGGGAAAGCTCTAACTAAATGTACTTCAAATGAAATCATAAATATTTAGATTTTCCATTTCCTTGGTCTTTGTCAAATCTACCTGTCCTTCTGACAACTAAACAGTTTTAAAGCTGATCTGATTCATCAATGAAAATAGTTAACAGACTCATCTAGTAGGAGCTTGAGAGAGAATATATGTTTTAAGAGTCAAGAATATGAACTACTAGAAATTCAGGAGGCAGGCAGTTAGCCAGCAGTTAAGACACCAGTTGAGACACTCACATCCTGATGTGGTTCCATTCTCAGCTCTGGCTCCTGAATCTTTGTTAATATGGACCCTGGGAGGCAGTGGTGATGGTTTCAACAATTGGGTTCCTACCTCCCAGATAAGAGACTTGGATTGGCTTCCTAGCTCCTGTTGTAAGCCACCCAGTCTCAGCCATTGTGGGCCTTTGGGGGTGAACCAGCAGATGAGAGCTCATTCTCTGTTTCTCTTTACCTTTCAAATAAATAAATAAAATTTTTATGCAAAAAAAGAATTTTGTCTAATGTTCAGGTTATATGTGCTTGTTCTTTGGAGCTCTATTGTGTTTATACCATCTATACATGGAAAAGGTTAGTGGAAAATGCTGGTTGTGGTTAATATTGGTTATTTTCCCTTATTTACAAGTTGCTTTGCTTTTTTCTCCTGTTTTTAATTCTCTTTACTTAAATGTCATCCTTTAGGAGGACATCTGTGATTATGTCTTTAGATCATACACTGAGTTCTAAGTGAGACTGGGTCATAAAAAGGAGAATGAAGTCATTGTAACATTAAGACCAGAATAGCACAAAGCCAGTAGTTAATGAATTGTTGCTGCTGTTTGCAGATTCTCACTAATAATGTGGTTAACAAGGTTTTTGTTATGTATAGCTCCAAGAATACCTGAATAGTCTAAATTCTAAATGAAGTCATCTATATTTCTAAATAGGCATTTTCTTTTTTTTTTTTTTAAGATTTATTTATTTATTTGAAAGTTACACAGAGAGAGGAGGAGAGGCAGAGAGAGAGATCTTCCATCCACTGGTTCACTCCCCAATCGGCCTCAATAGCTGGAGCTGTGCCAATCTGAAGCTAGGAGCCAGGAGCTTCTTCCAGGTCTCCCATCTGGGTGCAGAGGCCCAAGGACTTGGGCCATCTTCTACTGCTTTCCCAGGCCACAGTGGAGAGCTGGATTGGGACTTGAACCGATGCCCATATGAGATGCAGGCACTGCAGGTGGCAGCCGCTTACCTGCTTCACCATTGTGCCGGCCCCAATAGGCATTTTCATTCTTTTTTCTTTTTTTTTTTAATTTGTGAAATCACTTGTCTGCCTCTCATCCTAATAGTGTAAGGCCTTATTTACTCCATATGTCATAGTACAAGAACATATTTTCCTTGTTGCCATTGTTTTCCCTTATTGCATTTATTCAACATTTAAACATTTATTGGGTACCTCCTTAATGCTAGATTATGTTTTTAACATAAGGATTATATTGAGAACTGCAAACAAATTTCTGAAATGCATGCATCATTTTTTTCAAGGTTAACTTTTTGAAGACCCCTCATATGCAAGGATTTCAAAATTTTTTGCATAACAAATTTATCTTTAAATTTCATTTTCCACATCTTTTTGAAGTTGTCTCCTCCAGTGTGGTTGCTACTTTAGAGGGCTTTACAGTTTGATGGGAAAGAAGAGTGTATCAGTGAGCACTTAGTTTAGTAGCCGGCAAGCGTCCATGGCCAGGGAGTTGCTCTGTGAAATCTGATGTTTTTGAAGTCTACTCAGTGGATCTGGTGCCAGAAATTAGCTGGGAATTCAAAGCTCTGTAAGTCCAGAGTACTATTACTAGTGCTTTGTTAGCAGAGAGTTGGATTTAATCAGGGTTGGAATTTTCCAGGTAATATAACAGAGGGAAGGAGAGAAAGAGACAAGGAGTTTGAAAGTGTATGCAAAGGAGTATTTATAATGATGGACCATGGAGTCTAAGCCAGGTAAGGGGGAGAGTAAGGATGTGAAGGGAGTGATGGACAGTGTTAAAGGAGGGTAGAGTCACTGGTAGATGTCTTGCTGGAGTCAAAGAATTGAAATCAATACATTATAGGGAGTGAGCTGACAAGTGAACTTCTAAGTCGAGTAGAAGTCAGAGAATAGCCTGAACTTAAAATTTTGGAAGGAGTGTGGTTGTTGGTACTGATAAGGTTTGGGCCAAAGACGATCCTTGAACTCCGTAGTAAGATGGGACAGAAGGTTACCTTTCCCTAGGACTAGACAAGAAATTGTATCTACCTTTAAGATCCTGTTCAAATGCTACTATCTGTTTAAAACCTTCCCAAATTTCTCAACTCTTTAGACAAAATTAATCTGTACATTTTTCATGTTTCAGTTACAACTGTTCACAAGTCTAGAGTCAGTTGTTAAATAATTGTGAGGCAGTAACCGTATCTTATTTACTTATGGAGTCCCAAGCTGACATAATTTCTGAACTAATGTAAACAAATGTCTTTTTAGTTGAGTTGAGAAGAACAGTGACGAAGCGAAAGTAGAGATTTTTGAGGTATAGAGGAGGAAAAGGGTATCTCATAAATGGGACTATTGTAAGGACAGATGTATGCCGAACGTTTTTGTTTTTGTTTTTGACAGGCAGAGTTAGACAGTGAGAGAGAGAGAGAGAGAGAAAGGTCTTCCTTCCATTGGTTCACCCCCCAAATGGCCACCACGGCCGGTGCACTGCACTGATCCGGAGCCAGGAGCCAGGTGCCCCCCCTCTTCCCCCTCCCCCCCCGGTCTCCTATGTGGGTGCAGGGCCCGAGCACTTGGGCCATCCTCCACTGCCTTCCCGGGCCACAGCAGAGAGCTGGACTGGAAGAGGAGCAACCAGGACAGAATCTGGTACCCTGACTAGGACTAGAACCCGGAGTGCCAGCGCCGTAGGCGGAGGATTAGCCAAGTGAGCCACGGCACCGTCCTGCCAAACGTTTTTAACAACATATAACTCAAGCCAAGAAGTCTTCTAAAGTATTCCCTGTTTATTTCAGTTAATATTGTTCTTGCCTCTCTTAGTTATTGATTCATTAATTATGTAATACTTTTATTGAATTTTGATGAAAATCATTTTATCATTTTCATACATGGAAGTTTTTGTTAAATAGCTTCATGACCTGTCTCTGTGAAATACCTGTGTACAGGGCCAAGACTTCATAGGACAGCAAAAGTGACACTCTGAAGGATCTAGCCAACAGAATATATTAATTTCCTTGTGTAAGAAACATTACAAGTGAGAGGGGAAAGAGCAGTTAGCATTTCAGTTCAGTTTTACTTATACTGACTTGTCAGAATTTTGTTTAATTAAAGGTATTTCCATCTGACCACAACACCGCTGAGTCACAGGAAGACTCTTCATGATGTTTCCTTGTCCATTTCAGGGACAGGTTTTATTTCACCAGTATAAGTCTCTTCTAAAGGTGTAGTTTTCATATTGTGTGGAAATGTGCCTGCTGCATATGGGTAGCAGCTGACATGTCTGTGAATTAGGCTCTGCTCTTACCATGAAATTATATTTTAGTCTTCTCTGCATTAGTAGTATTTTTGTAACAATTTTGTGTTAACACATCTCATTTTCTGCTTGTTTTTTACTTAAAGGAAAGAACGTTTGGTGTATGTTGGTATCAGTATTGAAAACATCATTCCTCCACAGGTAAGTTCTTGATTTGTAGTATTTTTAAATGGGATACTGCAATAATTATTCTAAAATTTAACCTACATTATATAATGTGAGTACTTAAAAGAATATTAATACAATAAAATTATTATTTTATTAAAATAGAAATTTAAAGCCTTAGAAAAATCACCCTCTTAATTGAAAGTATATATATGCCAATAAATCTCAGCCCTCCCAAAATGATCTCATTTATGGACTGTAAATTTATAGCTGATCTCTTTGGAATATATGTTCCCTTGTTTTTACCCTAAACTGGATAATTTAGTTTTGGGTTTTTGAATTGCTATTTATATAACATCACTGAAGAATAGTTCAAGATTTGATTTTTAATTCTTTGGGATTGCTAAAATTTTCAATTTGTATTTTTAAAGTTGGGTTTGTTTCACATCTGTTAGTCTAATGATAATTAAGGGTCTCATGATTGAAAGTACTTGTAACATGATTTTTCATTGGAGAAGAAATTTCTTCCATGTCATAAGTAGTTTCATTCAGACTTAATTAAATACTAGCCTTACCTGTCAGTTAATTGCCTTAAGCATCCTGTACCCCTTTTTAAAAGTCATTTTATTCATTCAGCAAGCGTAATATCTTCTGTGTCAGATTTAATTATTGATTTGAAAATTCTATCTAAGGAAGAATTTCATCTTGATTTAAAGCAGATAATTGTAAATTCACAAAAGTGTCAAGAATTTTAATACAGAAGTATTTCATCTATCTATCACAAACATTTTTTTTTCTAATGTGTGTATTAGAATTTCCATGTTTTTTAAGTTTGGGGGTTCATCTCAAACTTCTCCAGTTTTCACATGTGCTACCTAGATAGAGACTACCAGACTATAAATTCCAAGAAATTTTGTTCTGTCATACCTATTTACTTACTATATTTTTAAAGGAGCCAGATTTTTCTGAAGATCAAGAAGAAAAGAAAAAAGATTCCAAAAAGTCCAAAGTTAACTTACTGGAAAGGAGATCAACAAGAACGCGAAAATGTATAAGTTACAGGTATGCCAAATGTAGAAAAGGCTACATGTTAAGGACTATAGAATGCTTCTGTAATGAGACAGCATGGCCCAGAGGTATATGCTTTCCCATCATGGTGCTTATTAGCTACTGGATACACAGTTGTCCTTTGGTGTCCCAGGGAAATTCGGTATAGGCGCTCCCGCAGATAGCAAAATCCACAGATACTCAAATCCATATATAAAATGGTATAGTGTGGGGCCAGTGCTGTGGCACAGCAGGCATGCCAGCATCCCATGTGGGTGCCAGTTTGATCCCGGCTGCTCCACTTCCATTCCAGCTCCCTGCTGATACATCTGGGAGGGCAGCGGGGAATGGCTCAGGTCCTTGGGTGCCTGCATCTGAGTGAGAGACCCAGATGAGGTCCCTGGCTCCTGGCTTTGGATAGGCTCAGCTCTGGCCATTGTGGCTGTTTGGGGAGTGAGCCAGCACATGGAAGACCTCTCTGTTTCTACCTCTCTTTAACTCTTTCAAATAAATAATAAAATAAATCTTTCCCAAAAAATGGTATAGTGTTTGCATATAACCTAGACACATCCTCCTACATTCTTTAAGTCATTTCTAGATGGCTTACAATACCAATGAAATGTAAATGCCATGTCAGTGATTGTTATACTGTACTGTTCAAGAAAGGAAAAAATCTGTATGTGTTTTCAGACATAATTTTTTTCTTTAGCCAATTAGACTCTGTTGATGTGGAACCCAGGGATACAGAACCTATGGGTAATGATGTTGGCCATACATTTCTTGCCCCTTACCATTAGAATTAAAAAAATTGTTCTTTAGATTTATTTGTTTATTTATTTTTATATATATATATATTTTTTTTTTGACAGAGTGGATAGTGAGAGAGAGAGAGAGACAGAGAGAAAGGTCTTCCTTTGCCGTTGGTTCACCCTCCAATGGCCGCCGTGGCAGGTGCGCTGCAGCCGGCGCACCGCGCTGATCCGATGGCAGGAGCCAGGTGCTTCTCCTGGTTTCCCATGGGTTGCAGGGCCCAAGCACCTGGGCCATCCTCCACTGCACTCCCGGGCCACAGCAGAGAGCTGGCCTGGAAGAGGGGCAACCGGACAGAATCCCGCGCCCCGACCGGGACTAGAACCCGGCGTGCCGGCGCCGCAAGGTGGAGGATTAGCCTAGTGAGCCGCGGCGCCGGCCTAGATTTATTTATTTGCTTCAAAGTCAGAGTTACACAGAGGGAGGAGAGAGAGAGAGAGAGAGGTCTTCCCATCCGCTGATTCACTCCCCAAATGGCCGAAATGGCTGGAGTTGCGCTGATCCAAAGCCAGAAGCCAGGAGCTTCTTCCGGGTCTCCCACATGGGTGCAGGGGCCCAAGGACTTGGGCCATCTTCTACTGCTTTCCCAGGCCACATCAGAGAGCTGGATTAGAAGAGGAGCAGCCGGGACTCAAACCGGCGCCCACATGGGATGCCGGCGCTTCAGGCTAGGGCTTTAACCTGCTGTGCCACAGCACCGGCCCCTAGAATTAAAAATTTTCAATTTTTGTTTATTTATTGTGAGGCAAGGAGGGAGAGAGTACACGTGAAAGCAAGCAAGTGTGCTGCTACCTGCCTGCTGGTTTACTTCCCAGGTGCCTGCAGCAGCCAGAGCTGGTTAGAGCAGAGACTGGGAGCCAGAAATGCAATCCAGGTGTCCCACTTGAATGGCCAGGGCCCAACTATTTGAGCTCTCACTGCTTACTCCCACAGTCTGCAATGGCAGGCAGCTGTAGTCAGGAGCTGAATCACATACTGAACACAGGATGTGAGGGTCTTCTTTTTTAAAAAGATTATTATTTATTTATTTGAAAGGCAGAGTTATAGAGAAAAAGGGAGAAACAGAGCAAGAGAAGTCTATCATCCACTGGTTTACTCCCCAAATAGCCACGATGGCTGAAGCTGGGCCAGGCTTAAGTCAGGAGCCTAGAACTCCATCTGGGTCTCCTATGTGAGTGGCAGGTTCCAAGCAATCAGACCATCTTCAGCTGCTTTCCCAGGCACATGAACAGGGAGCTGGATCAGAAATGGAGTAGAAAGGAGTCAAACCTACTCTCATGTGGAATGCCAATATTGCAGGCTTCAGCCTAACCCGCTGTGGCACAACGCTGTCCCCAGATGTGAGTGTCTTAACCACGAGGTAAATTTCCATTCCTAGAATCATAGAATTTTAGGGTAGACAGTGTGATCATTTCTTAACATAAATCTGCTCATGTCATCGTTTTCTTGTCAGAATTTGTCAGATGTTTACAGCTCTTGAGTTGAGGAGCTGTGCTTTATTTCATTTTATTTTTTAAATATTTATTTGAAAGGCAAAATTACAGAGATAGGAAGATTGTGTGTGTGTGTGTGTGTGTGTGTGTGTGTGTGTGTGTGAGTGAGAGAGAGAGAGAGATCTCCCATCCTCTGGTTCACTCTCCAAATGGCTGTAACAGCCAAGGCTAAGGCAGGCTAAAGCCAGGAGCTTCATCTAGGTATGCTTCGTGGGTGGCAGGGGCCCAAGCACTTTTCAGCTGCTTTTCCCAGGTTGTTAGCAGAGAGCTGAATCAAAAGTGGAGCAGCCAGGACAGGAACTGGCACCCATTTGGAATGCTGGCGTTGCGGGCAGAAGTTTAACATGCTGTGCCAAGCTGGCCCCAGGATATGTGCATTCATTTGTTTGACAGGCAGAGTTAGGCAGTGAGAGAGACAGAAAGAAGAGTCTTCCTTCCGTTGGTTCACCCCCCAAATGGCCGCTGTGGCTCGCGCACTGCGCCGATCTGAAGCCAGGAGCCAGGTGCTTCCTCCTGGTCTCCCATGGGGTGCAGGGCCCAAGCACTTGGGCCATCCTCCACTGCCCTCCCTGGCCACAGCAGAGAGCTAGCCTGGAAGAGGAGCAACCGGGACAGAATCCGGCACCCCAACCAGGACTAGAACCCGGTGTGCCGGCACCACAGGCGGAGGATTATTAGCCTAGTGAGCCGCAGCGCCGGCTCCAGGAGATGTGCTTTTAACAAGCTGTAAAAGGCACTGCTTAGGCTCATCCCTACTGACCTCTCCAGCTGCATCCCATCTTCCCTTTCTCTACTTTACATTTTCCACAGTACATTCTTTTAGCCCCTTTACACATCATTTCCCTTCTATTTTTATCTTGTTAACCTTCCCTAGATCAAATCCTCTCACTGGAACCACTCTCATAGGAACCAGTTCTTCAGCGTGAAAGCACTTAACAGTTGTTAATATTTGTGATTATAGTTATCTGATTAATGTGTCTCTCCCCTACTAGAGTGTTAGCATGAAAGGTAGGGACTCCATTTCATGCATCCTTTGTCCCTTAACATCTAGTATGCTGCTGACAAATCATAAAGGCTCCATGAACACCTAGTGATAGAATCAATAAATATAACTTGGTTTACCACTTGCCACCAGCAATGCCAGACAGAGAAATAGGTCCATCGTCATTCTGTTAGTAGCTTAGCCTAGACTAAAACTTTATCTTCTGATGGGTTGATAGTCTAGTGTTCTTGCTATTAAATGACATTGTTTGCCCAAATAATAAATTATGTCTTAATTATTTTAGACCATTTGTTGGCTTCTGGCTGCTAAACTGTTTTGGAATAACACCAAAACAGTTTTTTAACTTGAAAAATTGGAAACAAAAAAAATAAAACAAAGTGGACTTTACAAATATATACGCGGCCCCAGCCCTGTATATATTTTTAAAAGATTTATTTATTTGGGGCCAGCGCCATGGCTCACTTGGTTAATCCTCTACTTGAGGTGCTGGCATCCCATATGGGCACTGGGTTCTGGTCCCAGCTGCTCCTCTTCCAGTCCAGCTCTCTGCTGTGGCCCGGGAGGGCAGTGGAGGATCACCTGGGTCCTTGGGCCCCTGCACGCGCATAGGAGACCAGGAGGAGGCACCTGGCTCCTGGCTTCAGATCAGCATAGCTCCGGCCCTGGCGGCCATTTTGGGTGTGGACCAACGGAAGGAAGACCTTGCTCTCTCTCTCTCTCTTTCTCTCTCTCTCTCACTGTCTGTAACTCTGTCAAATAAATTAAAAAAAAAAAAAAATCACCAGTGATAGATAAAGGGCGGGGGGGGTGCGGCTGGAGTGTAGTCTAATCATTAAGATGCCCACATTTGGTTCCTACATTTGGTTCCCAACACTGGCTCCGGTTCCAGACTCCAGCTTACTGCTAATACATACTTTGGGATGCAACGGTGTATACTTAAGTATTTGGGTTCCAGCCAGTCCTGGGAAACTTGACTGAGTTCTCAGTCCTCAGCCCAGTCCTAGTCTTTGCTTGCATCTAGGGAGCTAACCAGCAGGATAGGTGTGCTCTGAGTATCCGTCTTCTGTCTCTTGCTCTTCGTCTGTCTTGCTCTCGCTCTCAAATAAATAAATATTTTAAGACAAAACATGTTCCAACAGTATGTACAGTTTGATTTATTTAAAAAGAAATCCAGGCTGGCGCTGTAGCTCACTAGGCTAATCTCCGCCTGTGGAGCCGGCACACTGGGTTCTAATCCCGGTTGGGGTGCCAGTTCTGTCCCGGTTGCTCCTCTTTCAGTCCAGCTCTCTGCTGTGGCCCAGGAAGGCAGTGGAGGATGGCCCAAGTGCTTGGGCCCTGCACCCACATGGGAGACCAGGAGGAAGCACCTGGCTCCTGGCTTTGGATCGGTGCAGCGCACCAGCCGTGGCGGCCATTTTGGGGGTGAACCAACGGAAGGAAGACCTTTCTCTCTGTCTCTCTCACTGTCTAACTCTGCCTGTCCAGAAAAAAAAAAAAAGAAATCCAATAAAAATGCTAATGCCATTTCACATATGTTAAATAATTAAGAAATAAATAAATACTACAACAAATGTGCTATTTAAGAAAAGACTTGTTTATGTGTGCAATTTGTAAATTATGGTCTGGTAGTAAAATGCAGATAACTGTACCTTATAACATGTGATACACGAGGTAGGTGGTAAATGTTTTAAGAGTATATGTTATATGAATGCCTGTGCAGTTTGGTTGCGCTCCATAGTTTTCTGCATCCACTTAGTGTTTCTCCCAAATGAAAGTGTACATACTAATATAAAATACACATTACACTTGAATTGTTTATAGTATATCATTCACAATGGAACAAATTTAATTACAAAAAAACAAGCACTTTAGCAGAACTGAATATGTTGTCTTTCAATCTTGATATAATTAAAAGAAGCAGAGATTTGTTTTATTGGAATTTCTTCACTACTATCATTTAGTAATTATTTATCATTTAATAATTATTGCTTCTAACCAAGAGGATGACTTCACAATGGACTGGAAGGAACATTGGATTGAGGATGAGAAGGCTAAGAAAGTAGTCCTCACTGTACCACTTACTTGCCATGTGTCTTTGAGTGATCCATTCCCATTGGTTTTGGTTCCTCATCTGTGATGATGGCTTAATCCAGATGATTACTTTCAGCTCTCAACTTATATAACAGTAATATAGGAACTTATAGTAAGTAAATTACGTTTTATAGCATAAAGTGTTTTATATGATGCATTTCTTCATACTCTATCTAGTTCCCAAAAAAGATATAAGGAAGACACATCATTTTTTTTTTTTTAAGTTTTATTTATTTTAAAGGCATAGTTACAGAGAGAAAGAGTGATAGAGATATCTTCTATCTGCTGGTTCATTCCTCAAATGGCCACAACAACCAAGGCTGAGGCAGGCTGAAGCCAGGAGCCAGGAGCTTCTTCCAGGTCTCCCACATGGGTGCAGGAGCCCAATTCCTTGGGCCATCTTCTACTGCTTTCCCAGATGCATTAGCAGTGAGCTGGATTGGAAGTGGAGCAGCCTAAACTTGAACTGACACCCATATGGGATGCTGGCACTATGGGCCATGGCTTAATCTGCTATGCTACAGTGCTGGCCCTCTTTATGTGTTTTTCTTTTCTTTCTTTTCTTTTTCTTTTTTTTTTGGACAGGCAGAGTGGACAGTGAGAGAGAGAGAATGACAGAGAGAAAGGTCTTCCTATGCCATTGGTTCACCCTCCAATGGCCGCCGCGGCTGGCGCACCGCGCTGATCCGATGACAGGAGCCAGGTGCTTCTCCTGGTCTCCCATAGGGTGCAGGGCCCAAGTACCTGGGCCATCCTCCACTGCACTCCCGGGCCACAGCAGAGAGCTGGCCTGGAAGAGGGGCAACCGGGACAGAATCCAGCGCCCCGAACAGGACTGGAACCCGGTGTGCCGGCGCCGGAAGGCGGAGGATTAGCCTAGTGAGCCGCAGCGCCAGCCTTTATGTGTTTTTCAAAAATTGTAGGAACAAGTTCTTACATCTAACACCAAAGACAAACAATGGGACTGAAATCTGATTACATAAAATTGAAAAACTAAGAAAGCCTCAGACAAAAGCATTTATCAAAGAGAATGCTTACAAAAGAGAATTTAAAATGAAAGTCTTATTAATAAGATGCAACAAGTACATTTTTTTCCATGGTGGAAATATAGTAGGTTTGTTTTAAAGATTTATTTATTTATCTGAAAGTCATTGCTAGGATAGATAGTAAGAGGTCTTCTATCCACTCGTTTACTCCACAAATGGCTGCAACGGCCAGGGCTGGGCCAGGCCAAAGCCAGGAGCTTCATCCCTGTCTTGACATTGGTTCAAGGGCTCAAGGACTTGGGCCATCTTCCCCCTACTTTCCCAGTTGCATTAGCAGGGAGCTGGCTTGGAAGTGGAGCAGCTGGGTCATGAACCAGCACCCATATGAGATGTTGGCAGTGCAGGCAGCAACTTTATCCCAAAATAGAGTAGTTTTTTAACATTGTATGTAGAAAAGTTGTTGCTTATCTTCAGACATTATTACTTAAGGATAAAGCTTTTTTTGTTAGGGAATAAATTACTTTTTAAAATTTTGGGGGGAATAAGTTACTGAGTCAAGGAACCCCACAGGGTGGTAGGAGCCCATTTATTTGAGTCATCTACCTGCCGGCCTCTAGGGTCTGCATTGGTAGGAAGCTGGAATTGGAACTTGAAACTGGAGCCAGAAGTCAACCCAAGCATTTCAGTATGAGACACAGATGTCTGAACTGCTAGGCCAAATGTTTTCCCCCTAAGAATAATGTTTACATTTATAAATGGTTCAAAAAAAGAGTCAAAAGAATAATATTCCCTGAAGATTATATGCAAATTACATGTAATTCAAATTTCAGCATCTTTAAAGTTTTACTGGAACACAGCCGTATTCATTTACTTACCTACCATCTGTAGCTGCTTTTGTATTACAGTGTCAGAGTGTGTAGTTGCAGCAGAGACTATACACTCTGAAAAGCCTAAAATACTTACTATCGGGCCCTTTTAAAAACTTTCCCTGACATTATCTCTAATGTTTGCAGCTACTATAACAAAATACAGTGAACTGGGGACTTATAAACAGCATAATTTTATTTCTCATAGTTTTGGAGGCTGAAAAGTCAAAGCTCAAAGCCCTGATCGGTTTGGAATCCGGTGAGCACTGCTTTCCGGCTCATGGCTGGCGTATTCTCTGTGTTCACATGGTGGAAGGCACAAGGGGACTTACTAGTGCAGATCCAGTATCTGAGGAGCACGGTGCTTCCTCACATGTGACAGTCTTCACTGTAAGAAATGAGTAAAAGGCCTCTCTCTGGCCTCTGTTATAAGGTCATTAATCTTTTTTTAAAAAAATGATTTATTTATTTATTTGAAAGGCAGAGAGAGAGAGGTCTTCTCTTCACTGGTTCACTCCCCAGATGGCTGCAAGGAAAGAGCTGCACCAATCCGAAGCCAGGAGCCAGGAGCTTTCTTCTGTGTCTCCCATGTAACTGCAGGGGCCCAAGCACTTGGGTCATCTTCCACTGTTTTCCTAGGCCATAGCAGAGAACTGGATGGGAAGTGGAGCAGCTAGTATTTGAACCAGCAAAGGGCATTACTCTTATTCAGCAGTGTCCCATTCCTTGAAAGGGATTTCTATGTGTAATTTGCTTTTAATAATTTTTTAATTTGTTTATTTTTATTTATGTGTAAGACTTAGAGATCATCTGTATGCTAATTCATTCCCTGAATGCCCACAACAGCCAGGGGAGGGCCAGGCCAAACCTAGGAACCTGGAACTCAACTACTGCCACACAGGTGGCAGGGAACTCAACTACTTGAACCATCACATTCTGCCTCTAAGGGTACACATTACTAGGACGTTGGCTTGGAAGTAAAGCTAGGTCTCAAAGCCAAGCACTCCAGTAGGGGAGGCAGGCACATCAAGCAGAGAGTGTATTAACCACTATAACAAGCACTTGCCCCTCAGTGTGAGTTTTGAGAGAACACAACAGTCAGACCATAGCAAGCACCTATTGTAGATGACCTTTAAAAATAAAAAAATGGGAGCAGGTATGTGATGCAACAGTTAAGTCACCACTTGGGCTGCTGGCTTCCCATATCTGAGTGCCTGGTTGAAGTCGCAGATATTTCACTTCCAGTGCTGCTTCCTACTAATGCACACACTGGGAGGCAGTGAATGAAGGTTCAAGTGCTTAGGACGCTGCCACCCTTGTCAGATACCCTGATGAATTCTGGGCTTCTGACCCAGCCCAGATGTTGTGGGCATTTGGAGAGTGAACCAGCAGGTGGACGATTTCTCTCCATTTGTCTATCTTTCTGCCTTTGAAACAAATCAAGAACAAGCAACAAAAACTGAGAACAGGCTATAATAAGATCATTGTGTGCTATAATAAGGTCACTGTGTATGTTTTAGATTTGATGAGTTTGATGAAGCAATTGATGAAGCTATAGAAGATGATATCAAAGAGGCTGATGGAGGAGGTATGTGTTTGTCATTCTTCTTCTTGCACCTTTACTGGCAAGTTAATCCAGATGCCCAAGTAAGGGCAATGAGCATATTTTTTAGACTTTTCTCCAATGTATATCTGTCTAGTCTCAGATATTGATTATCTTTAAGATAGTTTTATTTTATGACCTGCTATAAAATGTTAGTATTTCTCATTAGATTAAAAAGTATGTATTTCTGGTCCCAAATAGAAAAATGAGGAAACTTTCCTGTAATCTTTGAGCCTACAAAGTCTCAAATTTTATGGATAATAAGAACTTCAGTGATTGGTTTGACTAACCTATTAAAATTAATTTATTAATTTCATGGTCATGAACAGGGGCCATTAACATAGAAGACTTTGGTGGTAATGAATTAAAGCACTATATAGCCAATTACTAGTGCTCTACTAGAATATTCTGGTTTCTACTTAGTTACTGTGAAAATTCTAGAAAGATTCCTGAGTAACTCTTAATAGGTAGAAAGTTTCTTTTTTGGGTGATGAATAGTTTCTGGAATTAATGGTTACAGTTGCGCAACTGTATGATATAAAAAAAATCCTGAATTAAATACTTTATATGGGTGAATTTTATATGTGAATTATATCAAAATTAAGAAAGAGGTTGTCTACTTTGTGAACTTCAGTAGGATAAACAATTAAGTGTCTCTTGTCAGTTGATGTGTTGAGAGAACTACATATTTGTAAGAAGAAAAAAATCAGGTAAAGAATTGCTCTACACAAATTTAAGAACAGTAGTCTGCAATTTAAGGGACACGTTCGTAAACTTTTCCTCCCTCTCCCCAAACTCAGGAGTTGGCCGAGGAAAAGATATATCCACTATCACAGGTCACCGTGGAAAAGACATCTCTACGATTTTGGATGAAGAAAGAAAAGAAAATAAACGACCCCAGAGGGCGGCTGCTGCTCGGCGGAAGAAACGCCGGCGACTGAATGATCTAGACAGCGATAGCAACCTGGATGAAGAAGAGAGTGAAGAGGAATTCAAGATCAGTGATGGGTGTGTGGTCTGCCCATAGACCCCATTCCCTAGATGCCAGTTTCAACAGGCTGAGAGAGCAGAGAGGCGTGGCCATCTTCTGATGGGTTCTTTTGTTATTTATGCGCAGACACAATTTCTGTTTATTTTCAGGATACTTAAAGCAGATTCAGGAAAGCTGATTTTGGTTCTTTTTAGATTAAAATATAAAACAGTTTTACGGCTGATTATTTAATATTCCAAGTGGCATTTAAATTTGAGTAACTGCAGTTGAACTCTGATTTGTTGTTGGCTTTCTCTGTACTATCTATGCTATCGTGGCCCAGTCACGTATGAAAGAAGGAATTAGTTTACATTTTTTGATGTCCCACAGAGGTTGGGGTTTGGGGCATGGCATCAGTAGGGAAGTCAGGGAAGGGAGATATTTCAGCAAAACCCTTCAGACTGTTAGTGAAAGAAATCAGCATATAAACAACAAAAACACTTTCTACATGACTGCTACTAAGATAGCAGCAATAAAACATAAATTAGAGTACAGAGGAGGCCAGCGCCGCGGCTCACTAGGCTAATCCTCCGCCTGCGGTGCCGGCACACCGGGTTCTAGTCCCAGTCGGGGCGCTAGATTCTGTCCTGGTTGCTCCTCTTCCAGTCCAGCTCTCTGCTGTGGCCTGGGAGTGCAATGGAGGATGGCCCAGGTCCTCCTCCCGCATGGGAGACCAGGAGGAAGCACCTGGCTCCTGGCTTCGGATCAGCACAGTGTGCCGGCCGCAGTGGCCATTGGGGGGTGAACCAACGGAAAAACGAAGACCTTTCTCTCTCTCTCTCTCTCTCTCTCTCTCTCTCTCTCTCTCTCCCTCCCTCCCTCCCTCCCCCTCACTGTCCACTCTGCCTGTCAAAAATTTAAAAAAGAGTACAGTTGGTTCAGTCCATGGAGATCGGGGAAAATCCTCACATAGAAGTGAAGCTTACTCTAAAATTTGAAGATTGAATTATTTGGGTATATCAGTGAATTTGGGATTTCGAGTCAGGGTGAAAAGATAAGACATTCCAAGCAGAGAAGTTGCATGTGTTATGCCTGCAGTCCGTGGTCCCCCGAAAATCACACCACCAGAGACCGAAGTTGAAGCCAATAAGCAGGGTTGTTTTTATTACGAGTTCGAACCCGGGCCTCTCAGTGCCTCCAGGAGAGGAAGCCCACCGAGAAGCCCCGAACCCAATTCTTACAGAGCTTTTATTATCATGTCCAAGCAGGCTTTAGGGGAATGCTATAGATCAAGCTGACACTTCTGGTAAATCCCGAGACACCTGCCGCAGACTCCAGGGTAGGGGCTGGTTGTTATCTCAAGCTTTATACCTCCCTTTCATATTCCTGGACCTGGGTCAGGGTTGGGTCACATCTAGCCAGGTGGAGGGAAGGGGGAAGTGTAATCAACTTAATGTAGTTACTGGATTACTTAGCTCAGCATCTAACATAATACATATATAAAGTCAAAGACACTTTGCATTGCTTATTAGCCTAATAAGCTAATGTGATTACACTTTAGGTTACATTAAAATAATGATAATATTTTCTAGCACTATTATAATGGATAATAAGGGCATAGTAAAAGCTGGTTGTGCAGGTGTCTTCTCACATGTCCAAGCCAGCAAGCCATAAGGTGTTTTAGAATATTTAGGAAACTTAGGCTGGCTCCGGATAGCAAGAATATGAGGATGAAGCAGATGGTGCCCTGCTAGAGATGAGGCCAAAAAATAAAAAGGAACCAAAATGTGGTGTGTTTTGCTAGTCTTGCATAGTAGTTTGGACTTTATCCTGAAAGTGATTTAAAAAAAAAAAAAACCTGGGGCCAGCACCGTGGCTCACTTGGTTAATCCTCCGCCTGCGTCACCAGCATCCTTTATGGGCGCCGGGTTCTAGTTCCAGTTGCTCCTCTTCCAGTCCAGCTCTCTGCTGTGGCCCGGGAGGGCAGTGGAGGATGGCCAAAGTGCTTGGGTCCTGCACCCGCGTGGGAGACCAGGAGAAGTACCTGGCTCCTGGCTTTGGATCAGCACAGCTCCGGCCATCTGGGAAGTGAACCAGCAGAGGGAAAACCTTTCTCTCTGTCTCTCTCTCTCACTGTCTATAACTCTACCTGTCAAAAAAAAGAAAAAACCTGCAATTTTTTTTTAAGATTTATTTATTGTGAAAGCCAGAGTTATATATATATAGAGAGAGATCTTCCATCCACTGGTTCACTCCCCAAATGGCTGCAATGGCCAGTACTGGGCCAGACTGGAGCCAGGAGCCAAGAGCTTCATCTGGGTCTCCCACAAGGGGGCCCAAACACTTGGGTCCTCTGCTGCTGCTTTTCCCAGGCCATTTGCATGGAGCTGGATTGAAAGTGGAATAGCTGGGACATGCCAGATTCATATGGGATGCTGGTATCACAGGTAGTGGCTTTAACCATTACACCACAACGCTGGCCCCCACTGAAAGATTTTAAATCAGACTGATATAAGATTGGTGCTCAGAGAGCTTCATCTTGACATTCATTTGGAGGACATCTTGAGGGGAGATGGTACGAGTGATCAGAGGAACTATTTGGGGAGTTGATACTATAGGTGAGAGAGGAAAGCCTTAAGATGTCAAAAGAGTTTAGGTTTCAGAGACTCTTTTAAGAGGTAAGCTCTGAACGTATTAGTAATTGATTAGACGTGAGAAATGAAATGGGAAAAACCAGGTTAGATACCAGAGTTCTGATTTGAGTTACTAGATAGAAGATAGTACCAAATACTAGGCTGGGGACAGAAGAAAGAAATACTGCCGGTGCCACGGCTCACTAGGCTAATCCTCCGCCTTGCAGCGCCGGCACACCAGGTTCTAGTCCTGTTCGGGGCGCCAGATTCTGTCCCAGTTGCCCCTCTTCCAGGCCAGCTCTCTGCTGTGCCCAGGGAGTGCAGTGGAGGATGGCCCAAGTCCTTGGGCCCTGCACCCCATGGGAGACCAGGATAAGTACCTGGCTCCTGCCTTCAGATCAGCACAGCGCGCCGTCCGCAGCGGCCATTGGAGGGTGAACCAACGGCAAAGGAAGACCTCTCTCTCTGTCTCTCTCTCTCACTGTCCACTCTGCCTGTCGGAAAAAAAAAAAAAAGAAAAAAAAAAAAAAAGAAATACTGAGCTCACTTTTAAACATGTTGAATTTAAAGTATGGGGGACATACCTATGCCATAAGGCCAAAGCATTATATTTATATATATATATATATATATATATATATATATATATATATATATAAAATCAACCTCTTGGGCCAGCGCTGTGGCATGGCAAGTTAAAGCCCTGGCCTGACGCACCAGCATCCCAAATGGGTGCCGGTTCTAGTCCTGGCTGCTCTTCTTCTGATCCAGTTCTCTGCTATGGTCTGGGAAAGCAGCAGAAGGTGGCTCAAGTCCTTGGGCTCCTGCACCCACACATGGGAGACCTGGGGAAGCTCCTTGCTCCTGACTTTGGATCGGCGCAGCTCTGGTTTTGTGGCCCTCTGGGTATTGAACCAGCAGATGGAAGACCTCTCTCTGTCTCTACCTCTCTGTGTAACTCTGTCTTTCAAATAAATAAATCCTTAAAAAAAAAATCAACCTCTGTTGTATTAACAACTCCTCCTAAGAAAAGGACAGGAAGCACGTCTCTATTTTATATGCAAGGAGATAACATTGTACTTAACATTGCTTAATGTTTCACTGTTCTTGCTAGAATTTGAACTCAACTATAAATGGATTCACGATTCCAAGTGTACCATCATAATCAATCTGATTTTTCTTGGACAGATCTCAAGATGAGTTTGTTGTGTCTGATGAAAACCCAGATGAAAGTGAAGAAGATCCACCATCTAATGACGACAGCGACACTGATTTCTGTAGCCGCAGACTGAGGAGACATCCCTCCCGGCCAATGAGGCAAAGTAGGCGCTTGCGGAGAAAGGTCCCAAAGAAAAAATACTCTGATGATGATGAAGAAGAGGAGTCTGAAGAGAACAGTAGAGACTCTGGTAAAAATAACCTGTTCTGTATCATATCAACCATACCAGCTCAGTACATTCATATGACTTCAGGAGTTCCAGAAGTTATGAGGGTTTTTTTTCTTTCTTTTATGTTTTAAGATTTATTTATATACTTTAAAGAGGGACAGAGATACTCATCTACTGGCTCACTCCACAAATGGCCACAAAATCCAGGTCTGGGCCATGCCAAAGCCAGGAATTCCATCTGGGTCTTCCACATGGGTGGCAGGGGCCCCACTTCCTTTGGCCGTCTGCTGCCTTCCCAGGCATATTAGCAGGAAACTGAATGGGAAGTGGAACATCCAGGACTCAAACTGGCACTCCAATATAGGATGCCAGTATTGCTATGCCACAACACCTGTCCCAAGTTATTATTAATACTTAAAATTCCATTCAGTTATACCACAAGATTTCTGATAAAACTTTCAGTCCTTTTCTTATTCTGTTCAAAACACATCTGAGAAAATACATACAGATCAATTTTTAACTTCATACCCAATTCATTTAGGATTATGATGAATCATTTTCGTGACAGGTGTTTCCATGCCTAACCTTTATCTTCATAGTGTTTCTTGGGATTCATTCTCAATAAACTGAGAATATTTTCCTCAGATACATAGCTACTAAAAAGACAATACAAATTTTCTCTAATATTTAGGCCATAATCAGTAAGTCAGTAACTTTTACAAATTAGAAACAGTTAATATCAGTATAGCTTTTTCATTTAACTCAATAAATAGTGAGAGGCCCAACAGCTAAAAGGAAAGAAATGATTGCTTTATGGAATTGGTAGGTAAGTAGCTGTTATCTCCTGGGAGAGTGCCACAGGCTCACGAGTATGGTGCCCCTGACTGTGGCCATTCTTGTGGTGTTCTCTATTTATCTAAGTTACATCATTCTCTTTATCAATGATTATCATCAGAGAATAAGGACATTGTCTTAGCTAACCCCCATATAATTCCCATAGTCAGAAATTTTAACAGTGATATACTACTACCATCTAATCAACAGTACACGTTTGATATCAAGTATCCCAATATTGTCCTTTTATAATTTTTTCTAGTCTAGAATCCAGTCCAGAATTACGTGTTATATTTCTTCGCATCTCTTTTAATCTGAAATGTTCCTCAAATTTTGTCTATACTGTGACATTTTTAAAGAATATATATTATTTTGGAAAATATCCCTCAATTTGGGTTTTTTAACTACATCACTGCTATTATGGTTATTACTCAGTGCTCTATAAGGAGGAACTTTGCCTTCTCCATATATTTATTCATGTGTATCAGTATGTGCTGTGGATTTTTATTTTAGTCAATGAATATACTATACTAACATCACTATTTAGGTTTAGCATGTCCCACATTTTGTTAGTGAGGATCACTTGAAACTAGTGACTAGTTATGTTGAAGTGTTTGAAATCCATTAAAGAACAACAGGGTTGAATGTGCTGATTCAGTGGAATTTGTTGGCACTACTGATAAACATCTCTGGCATGATGCCATAATCTCACTCTGGTTTACTGGTCAGAGATAAGAACAAGGCTACTTAGCAATGCTGTACAAGGTTAAGTAGTCTCATATGCTTCATTAGCAGATTTTCATTCCATGTGGAAAAAAGCCAAAAATGCAACTCTTAATTCTGTCCCTCTTTGAGACACGTATATGAGTTTTCCTCAGTTAAGAGGGCTACAGTATGACTAACCATAGACACAGTAGGAACAGCAGCTCATCAGGTGGTGGATTCTGGTAACTGTCCACCAAGAAGAGCAGTCACATGGTAGATGTGCACATGTCCAGGTAGCTGTTGGGTGAATTCAGTAAGGATTATAATAAATACATTTAAGTATTTTCTTTAAAAAAATATATATTCTGGTCTTGAGGATTAATTGTTGATACTATACATTTGTGATCTGAACATAAAAGACTCAAAGATAGACTCCTATTATTAAAAGAAAATAGACACTTATAAAAGTTATTGTTCATTTAAAAAATTTTATTACTGAACTTTGCCTAGTAGCTTCAAATTTTTGTAACCTAAGCTAGTTAACCTTTCTACTAAATGGACTTCAGTTTTTTAATTGGCTGTTTTCTTTTTTCTTTTTTAAATAGAAAGTGACTTTAGCGATGATTTTAGTGATGATTTTGTAGAAACTCGGCGAAGGCGGTCAAGGAGAAACCAGAAAAGACAAATTAACTACAAAGAAGATTCAGAAAGTGATGGTTCCCAGAAAAGTTTACGACGCGGTAAAGAAATAAGGCGAATTCACAAGCGCAGACTTTCAAGCTCAGAAAGTGAAGGTAAGGAGTAGATCTCCTATTTATAGAAGTTTAGACTAAGTAGGCCTAGACGTTATAAAGTGAGTAAATAGTATCTTTGAGATAACATAATTGGTATCTTTGAGATAAATTATTTTGTTCCAGTCCACTAATTATAAGATGCTGATTTTTAAAAAGATTTATTGATTGATTGAAAGGCAGAGTTAGAGATAGAGAAGAAGAGACAGAGAGAGAGAGAGAGAGAGAGAAATCTGTACTATATCTTCCATGTGCTGTTCACTCCTGGGGCTGGACCAGGCAAAAGCCAGGAGCCTTGAACTCCATCCAAGTCTGCCACATGGGTTGCAGGGGGCCCAAGTCATTGGGCCATTGTCTGCTGCTTTCCCAGGCGCATTGGCAGGGAGCTGCATTGGAACTAGAGCAGCCAGACTCCATCTGATGATGCTCATATGGGATGCCAGAATTGCAGGCAGTAGCTTAACCCACCATGCCCCATGTAGGGCTTCAGATGGTTTTAAGATCTCAGCACTGGCATGCTATATGTGTGCAGTTCTACTCCCAGCTGGTTCACTTCTGATCCAGCTCTTTGCTAATGCACCTTAGAAGGTAGTGTAAGATGGCCCAAGTACTTGGGCCCCTGCACCCACATGAGAGATCTAGCTGGAGTTCTAGCCATTGGGAAGTGAACCAGCACATAGAACATCTCAGTCTTTCTGACTTTCCCTTTTTGTAATTCTGTCTTAAATATAAAAATGAATCTTTAAAAAAAGATCTCAATAGTATTAATTACGTTCTTCATTTATCCTAGAAAATTTATCTCAGAAATTGTGATATGAATAAGATTTACTGTGCTGCTTCTTCCCCACTCCCTATTACTCAGGGACCTTGCTTTGAAATAACCTCCTGTGCTGTTTCAAATTGAAACATCTATTGTCTCTTTGCACCATAACTATGTGGTTCTAGTAGTAACCGGCTTTATAGTTTTGGCTTCTCCTTATATTAGAAGTGCACGAAAAAGGGCCAGCTTTGTGGTATGATGGGTTAAGTCGCCACCTGTAATGCAGCATACCAATGAGTGCCAGTTCATGTCCTGGTTGCTCCACTTCTGATCCAGCTCCCTGCTAATGTGCCTAAGAAAGAAGCAGAGGATAGCTAAAGTGCTTGGGCCCCTATGGGATACCTGGATAAAGCTCCTGGCTTCTAGCTTCTACCTGGCTCAGCTGTGGCCATTGCAGCCATTTGGAGAGTGAACCAGCGGATGGAAGACTTTCTCTCTCTGCCTCTGCCACTGCAATTCTACCTTTCAAATAAATAAATAAACCTTTTAAAAAAATAGTGCATGGCCGGCGCCGCGGCTCACTAGGCTAATCCTCCGCCTTGCGGCGCCGGCACACCGGGTTCTAGTCCCGGTCGGGGCACCGAATTCTGTCCCGGTTGCCCCTCTTCCAGGCCAGCTCTCTGCTGTGGCCCGGGAGTGCAGTGGAGGATGGCCCAAGTGCTTGGGCCCTGCACCCCATGGGAGACCAGGAGAAGGACCTGGCTCCTGCCATCGGATCAGCACGGTGCGCCGGCCGCGGCAGCCATTGGAAGGTGAACCAACGGCATAGGAAGACCTTTCTCTCTGTCTCTCTCACTGTCCACTCTGTCTGTCAAAAAAAAAATAAAAATAAATAAATAAATAAAAATAAAAGAAAGCGTTATGGAGAGAGAGATCCCCCATCCGCTGGCTTGTTTCCCTAGTGGCCTTAACAGCCAGAACTGAGCCAGACAGAAGCCAGGAGCTTCTGGGTCTCCCATGTGGGTGGCAGAGGCTCAAGCGCTTGAGCCATTTTCCACTGTTTTCCCTGGTGCATTAGCAGGGAGCTGAATCGGAAGTGGAGCAGCTGGGACTTGAACCAGAACCCATATGGGATGCTTTCATTGAAGGCAGTGGCTTTTACCCACCATGCCACAACACCAGCCCCTGTTTATGATTTTTTAATATATATTTTAGTTGACATTTAGTAATTACACATTTATAAGGTACAGTGTGACGTATCAGTACACGTACACAGTGTGTTATGATGTTTGTGATCTATTGGAAGAGTGTTCACTTTCACAGATTAAACATGAAATACATTAACTTTGAGCTTAGGCTAGTAGAGAGAGGGAAGTAGGGAGTATTTGGGCATAGAATGTTAAAGAAGGGAGGTGAACATTATTTGGGTGTGCATTTATCTTTCTGTGTCATAAAGACTCACATTCATTAATTCAACCTTAAAATGCAAGTTTTTTTTTAAATGAGGCCCTATTCCAAGCGCTGGAATGTAACAGGGAATAAAACAAGTATTATGTAACTCTTTTTAGTTGGACAGATTTCAGATTCAGTGCTAATGGAAGTCTTCACTAAGAAGAAATGTTGGGTGTGAAACAACAAATTGTGAGGGTCCGGAGGCAGGTTTGTGCCTGGCATGTTCAGAGAACACAAGGGAGTCCAGGGTGAATGGAGCAGAATGAGGGAAAGAATAATGAGGGGCCAGTGCTGTGTTGTAGAAGGTTAAGCCGCCACTTGGAGTGCCGGCATCCCATATGGGCACCCGTTTGAGTCCCGGCTGCACCATTTCCAGTCTAGCTCTCTGCTATGGCCTGGGAAAGCAGTAGGAGATGGCCCAAGTCCTTGGGCCCCTGAACCCACGTGGAGACCCGGAGAAGTCTCCTGGCTCCTTGCTTTTTGGATTGGTGCAGCTTGGACCATTGCAGCCAACTGGGAAGTGAACCAGAGGATGGAAGACCTCTCTCTCTCTCTCTCTCTCTCTCTCTCTCTCTCACCTTTCTCTGTGTAACTTTCAAGTAAATAAATAAATCTTTTTTTAAAAAAAGAATAGTATGAGATGCAGAATAAAATCAGCATGAACCCAGATTGTACAGAGCAAGTCAGCAAGCCATGTAGCCCATCTGTTTGTATAAATAAACTTTACTGAGTAAGTTTTCTTTTTATTTATTTATTTATTTATTTAAAGACTTATTTTATTTGAAAGGAAGAGTTACAGAGAGGGAAAACACAGAGAAAGACATCTCCCATCTGCTGGTTCACTCCCCAACTGACCACCAATGGTCAGGGCTGGGCCACACTAAAGCCAGAAGCCAGGAACTCCACCCAGGTCTCCCATGTTTGTGGCAGGGGCCCAGGCACTTGGCCCATCCTCTGCTGCTTTCCTAGGCTCATTATTATTGTTATTATAGACAGTTACAGAGAGAGAGAGAGACAGAAAGAGAGGTCTTCCATCCACTGGTCCACTCTCCAGGTGGCAGCAGTGGCCAGAGCTGCACCAATCTGAAGCCAGGATCCAGGAGCTTCTTCCAGGTCTCCCACCTGGGTGCAGGGACCCAAACACTTAGGCCATCTTCTACTGCTTTACCAAGCCATAGCAGAGAGCTGGATTGGAAGAGGAGCAGCCAGGATCAGAACCGGCGCCCATATGGGATGCCAGCGCTTTGGGCCAGGGCTTTAACCTGCTGCACCACAGCACCGGCCCCTCCCAGGCTCATTATTAGGGAGCTGGAGTGGAAGTGGAGCAGTCCGGAATCGACCAGCACATGTATGGGACCAGCATCCTAGGTGCAGCTTTACCTCACTGTGCCACAGCACAGGCCCCACTAAACAAGTTTTATTGGAAAATGGCAGTGCCCATTTATTTACATATTGTGTGTGGTCATTTTCAAAAAAGAACATTGAGTAGTTGTGACAGACTCTATATAGGGTCTATGCTTTATTAAAAAATGTTTGCTAACCTCTGATGAAGAGCAATTTTGTCTAATTGAATTTTCTGTAATGATGGAAAAATTTTCCATGCAAACAATATAGTAACTAGTATATATAGTAACTATATATACTAGATTTGTGTGACTATTCAGTTCTTGAAATGTGGTTAGTTTGACAGTAGTATTGACTTTTTCATTTTAATTAGTTTAAAATAATCACAAGACTAGTGTCCACCTTATTGGGTAGCATAGAGCAGGCAATTGAATTGATTTTGGATTTTATTCTGAGTGAGATGAGAAGCATTTGGAGGGTTTTGAGCAAAAGGGTGATATGGTGTGGCTTATGTTTTTCTTTTGTTTTTTTTTAAGATTTATTTATTTATCTGAAAGAGTTATAGAGAATGAGGGAGAAACAGAGATAGAGAGAGAGAGATCTTCCATCTGCTGGTTCACACCCCAGATGGCCATAATGGCCAGGGCTGGGCCAGGCCAATACCAGGAGCCAGGAGCTTCTTCCCAGTCCCCTACGTGGGTAGCAAGGGCCCAAACATTTGGGCCATCTTTCACTGCTTTTCTGAGGCCATTATCAAGGAGCTAGATTGGACGTGGAGCAGCCAGGACATAAACCAGCACCCCTACAGGAAGCTGGTGTCACAGGCAGCAACTTTACCCACTATGCTACAATGTCAGCACCTGGCTTATGTTTTTAATTTGCTAGGATAGCTGTGTTGTGAATAGAATGTAGGGGCAAGGACAAAAGCTAAGAGACCATTTGGGAGCTTACTGTAATAGTCCAGGTAGCAGATGATGGTGTGTGGGAATAGGGCAGTAAAGTGATGAAAAATAGTCTGATTATAGAAATATTTTTATAAAAATAGATGAAAAGATTTACTGTTCAGTTGGATGAGAGAAAGAAATCAAGGATGGAGGAGCAACTGAAAAAACACAGTTACCAAAAACTAAGCTGATGGACACCACAGTGCCACAGGTTAAGGGGCAAGTTTATTAGGAGTTCAGTTTTCCTCACTTTGGCTTTGAGATACCTGTTCAGCTTTCCAAGCATAGATGTCAAGTTTAAAATATATAGAAGAGGCCTCAGCATGTAGATGGTACACAAAACCATGAGACTAGGTGAAGTCACCTAAGATAGAAGCATGGTCATTTAATAATGCGAGATGAGACTTGACACGTTGTTTCAGATGGACAGACTTGATTGCCCATTTTTAGTTTTTTCTTACCACTATGTATACATGATTCCCTAATTAGAGTTTCTTAGTTTGTGACCAGCCTATCTTTGTTTAATTTGAGAATTACCAGATTTCTTGTTCAGGAAACCTGCACTTTCCTAAAATCATACGTAAAGTACACATTGAATCATTTTAGGCAGTGTTATGAGATTGAGAGGAGACAATTTAGGCCAGTTATTGAAGGGACATATTTACAGATAAACAAACCTGAAGGCAGGACATGGGATGAATATGGGGAGGAAAAGAATTACTTAAATCCATTTATGTTTACTTGTGCCAATAGCTTAAATGTACTATTTATTCTAGAGAGCTATATGTCCAAGAACTCTGAAGATGATGAGCTGGCTAAGGGATCAAAGCGGTCAGCTCGAAAACGAGGCCGAAGCACAGATGACTATTCAGAAGCAGATGAAGAGGAGGAAGAGGAAGGCAAACCATCTCGCAAACGGCTACACCGGATTGAGACAGATGAGGAGAGTTGTGACAATGCTCATGGAGATGCCGATCAGCCTGCCCACGATGGCCAGCCCAGGGTCCTGCCCTCAGAGCAAGAAAGCACCAAGAAGCCCTACCGGATAGAAAGTGATGAGGAAGAGGACTTTGAAAATGTAGGCAAAGTGGGGAGTCCATTGGACTATAGCTTAGTGGACTTACCTTCTACCAATGGACAGAGTCCTGGCAAAGCCATTGAGAACTTGATTGGCAAGCCTACTGAGAAGCCTCTGACCCCCAAGGACAGCAGCACAGCCAGTGCGAGCCTGGCTCCCAATGGGACAAGTGGCGGACAGGAGGCAGGGGCACCAGAAGAAGAAGAAGATGAGCTTTTGAGAGTGACTGACCTTGTTGATTATGTCTGTAACAGTGAACAGTTATAAGACTTTTTTTTCCATTTTTATGCTAATTTATTCCACGGTAGCTCTCACACCAGCGGGCCAGTTATTAAAAGCTGTTTAATTTTCCTAGAAAACTACAGAATGACTTTTTAGAAGAAAAGTTTCAACAAACCTTGAAGTCTTTCTGTGAAGTGACCAGTTTCAAACTTTGAAGATAAATAATTGCTGTAAATTCCTTTTGATTTTCTTTTTCCAAGTTCATGGTCCTTGGTAATTTCATTCATGAAAAAAAATCTTATTATAATGACAACAAAGATTTGTATATTTTTGACTTTATATTCCCTGAGCTCTCCTGACTTTGAAAAAGGGTGGATAAGAATGCATTCCAAACCTGTGAGGGCCCAAAACAGAATTTAGGGGTGGGAGAAAGCACTTGTGCTTTAGCTTTTTCATATTAAATATATATTATATTTAAACATTGACAGTGTAGGTGATTAACAGACTGTCTAAAAGTTCAAGTCTGTTCTGTTTCAGTTTGAGAACTATAGGTAACATCATACATAAGTCATTTAGTAACAGCCTTTGTGAAATCAACTTGTTTACTATTGGAGATAACCATGCTTAATAAAGAAGAGACCATGAAAGTACCATCATAAAAAACCTTAACCTAGTTTCTGTTATAATGGAGTTTCTTGTTTAAAAACAAAAACAAAATCATCTGAAAAGCATTTGTACAGTAAAATGTATAAAGAAGCTTTGACAACCACATTGTGCTAGCAACAAATTTTTTAAATAGCTTTATGCAGTGGTTATATAGTGGCCTTTAATATACTGTATCTGATGGAGAGTTATTAGTAAAAGGAATATGGTCATCTTACAACTCAGCTGAAATATAAACTTTGCCTACAGTGTAACTCTTGTCTTCTGGCCACTTGATGTTTAAATACCTGAAAGTGTCATTTTGAAAGAAATACATCTATATATATAACATACATGAAGAGATGCTAAGCTGACAATGGTATTTTAGCACATTTCAAGATGGGGAAGGGATTTTCAGGTGAATTTTAACTGGTCTATTCTTGCCCTTAGTATCTACTTCAAATTGAAGTCTACAAACAAAGCAGTTCCTTTGGGAGGTTTTTAGTTTGTGTGTTTGTGTAAGTATGTGTGTATGTGTGGGTGTATGTGTCTGTGTGTTGGAATTTCCTATCTGCCTGGATATATTAGCAGGGTTTGAATGTAGGTTTTGGCCTTTGGCCATTAGACTTCTATTAAAACTCATTAATAGTCATACAACCAACATAGAGATGAATGAGAACTGCCACTATACTCAATAGGCACCATATCCATTTTAAACATCTCAATAATTTAAAGAAAGAGAAGCCCTTTGTTTCTGTAACTAACTGAATACCTAACATGATAATTGACACTAAAACCTGAACTTTGTCTTATTTAGTTTCTGTTACAGCTGTAAAATTTCAGGCAGAACCATAATATTGTACAGAGTGTAGCACTTGTATTAAACCTTTTCTGTCAAATTCTGAAACCGTCAACCATTACTTCTGTGAATACTTTTGCCCTGGGATTTGGGTTTTTCTGTTCCAGTGTTGTGTCTGTTGCCGGCAATGGACACACTGTATCTGCTGCTGGCCCAAGGAACTTCGTTAATTTTTCTTCCCAAATTATACATTATATGTGCTAGTCAGTGTATAGTAAAGCACTTCTCTTTTTTATTATTAAAAAGCTGGCATTAGATATGCATTATAAATACCTCTCTAAAAACTTTATACTACTCCTTTTCTTTCCTCAACAAGTTTTGCCCTTAAATCTTATCTTTTGGCTTTGAAAGTTTATAGCTGTTGTTTTTCAGTCATTGTTGGGTTTTTTGTTTTGTTTCACTTTAGTTCTGTAGTACCCACCCATTCATATTTTTGCTTCGACTCTAGCAATGTGTATGTATCTGTATAAAAAATAAAATAATGAAAGCAGCCTAAAAACAGGATGCACCAATAGCAAGTTCCAAGCAAGTTGTGATTTTTGTTTTTAGATAATATTCCACTGGAAGGGAGAGAAAAGCTCACATTCAGAAACAGTAAAGCAGGGCTATGACCAGAGCCAAATTAATCCTCCTTTCTAGCTAGATTTATTTATTTTTTTTTGAAAGCTAAAAATTTAACTTTTAATTATCTAAAACAGGCAAACAGTAGAAAGATACCTACTAGTGCAAGGTAAGTGGTTCAAATGTGCAGATGACCTCTCCTGCTACTCAGCCTCCCTCTCCCATTAGCCCTGCAGCCGGGTACAGCCACTATCATGCAGCAGCTCTCCCATGTGCCCTGTCTCTACCTCTGGACACACCAGCTCCTGCTTCCACCTGTTCTACTCTTCACTTAAATAAGTGATCACTAATATTAAATGGTTAGATGACTGACTTTAACAGCACCCATAATATGAAATAAGGAGTTCTTTTTACCCTTCTGCCATAGAAAGCCCAAGATAATTTTTAACACAGTAAATATTGTGTATTCCATTTAGCGAATATCCCACTGACACAAGACACTTGTGCTGCTACTGACCAAACCTGACTAAGTATCATCTTCAGTGGGCATATCCTTTCTAACCTTATATTCTGATTAAACCAGTTAACTGGTTCATATACCACAAATGTAGTTCAAGCAGCTGATACATACACATTATTACTATGCAGATAGATTGATTATAGCTGATTAAACTTTGATAGTTAAATAGTTGTGCTGCTTGGTGTTTAGATCCAGTCCCTCAGAGAGTCTGTGTTCATTGAACTACTCTGAAGAAGTGTAAAAAAATATTAATGTTCTATATCCAAAAGAGAATACAGCCATTAGGAACTGGAGAAAATACAAGAACGTAGTAATCCTAGTGTGTAGACCAACCTGGATGCCTATTAGAGCATTAACCATGGATTTGGACTGACAGTAGCTGTCATAGAGCCCTTTAATAATTTACACTCCCTGTGTTTGAAATACAAGTTAGACTCCCAGTATCAACAAATGTATTGAGGGGAAATGTAGTTTACTATTCATTTGCAATTTCTCTAAAGGTTTGGAAATTTGCCAAATTTTACAGTTTAGAAGCTTTGTATTAAAATATTTGTGAGAAGGACTCGGACTGAAAGTACACATTTTGGTTTTGTGCATTTGTGCTGATGAAAGAATGTTTAGTGTAAAATATTTTCCATTGTTGGCACATTACTGAAAAATGATGACAGAGATTTTCCAAGAATATACATGATATATTGAAGTTGGTTTTCCTTGACATCCTTTTCCAGTTGGTCAAGGCTGCATATTCAGAGGATAAAGTGTTTGTATTTAGAAAAAAATCATGTCTACTGGGAATCTTAACAAAAAAAAGGGGGGGGGGGGACCTGCCAAAGAACCAAGAAGTTCAAATGCTAGTGAAGGTAGAGAAAAAAAGATTTTTTAAAATTAATTTTAAAAGGATATTATGTACTGTCCAGTTTTCACTTTTTCATTGATAGAACCCATGCCATAATAGACATTGGAGTAAAGTACATATATTGTGAAATATGGACATTTACTTATTTAAATTGAGGGTTAAAATGATGGGAAAAGGTAGCTATTTTTAATGGGTATTGATGGAATCTCCTTTGTCTCAGGAATGCTTTTTTAATTCCTTTCTGTGAGCATAAGAGATGTTAACCATTCACTAGCTTGTTCTACCATACAACTATTAAGAATTTAATGAATCTATAAGTTTATATTTAGAAAAAGTTGTGAACTCCATTCTTTACCAGGGGGATAGGTCCATAATGCAAGATGTTGCTTCATATCTATTATTTGATTTCTTAAAAGATAACTTTTAAGTTATTTTTAGATGAGTATTAGAATAATTAAAAATGAAATCCAGTATTGATTGACTATAAAAAGAAACCAGACATTGTAACTGATAAAAAATTATGAACATCATTTAATTAGAGAAAAACAGTTTCTCTTGTTTGACAGTTTTAAAATAAATCTCTGGTTCTCCGAGAAGCAGAAAATACCAAGACTCTATATGCTGTATAATCAACCTCATCCTCACCTGTTTAATGTGATTCATTATTAAACTAACTTAAAATAAAATCCATTCCTGTTGTATCCACCATTCCCAGTGTGTGCCTGTAAACTCACCGTGGAAGTGGCAAGCTGGTATTTTCTTTCATTGTTTTTATACCAATCTCAAAAGGCCTTATGCTATCAATGTATTTAAACTGGGTTATTGTGTTATATGTTCACTTAATGATTTGTTTTCAAAATATTTCGTTCCAACTGAAGATTTTGAACAGTTTTTGAGTGCCAAGAATTGCTAAGTAAGTATGAAAGTAGAGTCATTCCTAAGTAAAGAAGCAGTCGTAAGCCAAAATGTAGGAAGCTTGGTATATAACCACTTCAGATTACACACTCAACACTTTTTTACTCATACATGCCCTCTTAAGAAGGTTAGAATAGGATCTTCTTAGTGGATTTTTAATTTTGGTCATTTAAGCTCGATTTTTTTTCCATTTCATATTTAAACCACTTTGGGAAATGCTATAAACTCAATTATGGCACATTATAATAATGATTTCAGTTAATAAAAGATTTTTATTTTAATAACTTTAAGATATGTCTATCCTATACATAAGTTATATAAGAAGGCATAACAAATTATTAGATGAGTAGGAATTTATTAAACTCTTACTAGACATTTTGAATGAGAAAAAACATTTTTAAAGGAACTACATTTGTGTTTTTTGCCAAATCGGTACAAGCTAGAAAATGTGCTAAGGACTGAATAACCTGCCTTGTTCTTTTTGCCACTGGATGATGTAAGTTGAGAATGGAATTGTTAACCCTAACTATATTTTCTTGACTTTCATCAGTTTCTAAAGAAATCTAATTTATGTGTTTTGGAGTTTTGTTTGATCTGTATTTATTGAGTTCTGGTCACCAACCAGGCGTCTGCATGTTATGCTTATGGACAGCCAGAACACAGTCATTGGGGAACTTAATGGCTCAAGACCTTCTGAATCATTTAACTTATTTTGTATGTTGCAAAAAAAAAAATTTATTTTGCTTGAGAGTCACATTTTTTTATAACTGTACAGCTCTTAAGGGATGGGAGGTGGGGAAATACCCTAAAATAGGATGTAGATTTTTACAATTGTGTTTCTGCTAGAACATCTACAGGTGCATTATGTAATTAAACCTAAAATTGTTTAAAAATTTGTGCCATGGTCTTTTTCATTTTCCTGCCCTTTAGCAGAGTTGGTGCATGTGAATACTACTATATGGACAAGGCTTGGAATTAGACTAAAACTTCTGTCTTGAGAGCTTTAAAACCATTGCATGTAAAGTATACATACATGTAGAAACATACATATACACAGATTTAATTTATATTAATGTAAATGGGTTTTCAGGATTGGAATAGCTATAATAGCCCAAATTTGAGATTTAAAAGCATACTATTTCAGTGCATGATTTTCAAGATACCTAAATAAGGTATTCTCAATGTTGGTCTGGTATTTTGTTCTCCTATCAAAGTAATGTCTTGGTAATAGTATCTGAATTATAGCTTGCCCCAAATTACCATGAGGTTTTATGTGCACTTTGAAAAGGGATGTCAGGTGCTGAGTTGGGGGTGGGGTAGGACAGGGCTTGTCTTGGTTTCTTTTTATCTATAAAAGAAGGAAAAAAAGAATTGTGCCATTTGGTTATTCAATAGACTTAATGCCACGAGAATATTTGCTGAAATAATGGCAGGAAGGGGAATCAGGTTCAAGCTTCAATCCCTTCCTCATCTGATAAATACCTTGTGATCTTGTGGAACTCTGACTCTGGCAGTATTTTTACCTGGCATGTGTTAACCATGTTATATAACCGATAACCTTTGTTTAAATGCCAGTACTTTTTGCCATCTAATGATTTTACCATTCTAATCCCTCACCTTTGTAGCACAAATGTATTCTTGTAAAGAATTCGTCTCAATGTGTCAGTTTCTCTCTGAGCTACCTTCATCTGTTGTCAGCTGATTTAGGAAGGCGGTTGTTACCCATTTTGAGGCAAAGACAGGATCATGAATTTCCATGTGAAGAATACAAATTCCAAATAAGAATTTGTATATGCTATATTTTAGAATTTCATTTTGATTTTAAAGTAATAGCTGGGATTCAATGAGTGTTTGATCACAACATCTCTTGGATTTTCAGACATGCTTATATGAAATGCTTTATTTTCCTATGCATAAAAAGAAATTATTCCTAGAATAGGTTCTCAGAATATTTTGTTTCTAGGAGATAAGAGCTAAAGCAGAAGCTCCAAGATTAGCATAAAACTTACTTTAGAGGTCATCAGGACTATGCTGTTAGTCAAATAGAAGAAGCTGGAGTGCTGTCTGTCACATAATAATGTACTGCATGTATGGGGGGAGGGGAGATCTGAAAACTGGAAATGTGATTCTGGTAACACACAGAGAATTTTGTGCATAGAAAGTATGGAAATTCCTGATAGCTTAAAGCTTCAGGAGTTAACTGCAGTGTATAAACACCTAGTGTGTTAGAATTGCAGTGCATAGTTGTATAAGTACAATATTCCTTGTAAGTGACAACCAAAATATGTTGTGGCTGGTGCCAATATTTTTGTTAATGAAATGTTCAATGTCTCACTACAGTCTGATCAGAACTCTTGATGTTATAAGCCAGGCCTGAAGCCATTTTATAGCTATCGGCCTACTTGTGTAACTTTTTCTTTCAAAATGTTTTATTATACTTCTGTCATTTCTTTCACTTAATATATGTCAATTGTCATAATAAAAAATTTAAATAATTTGATGTATTTAGCATGATGTCTTTGCAAACTTAAGTTTATTTTAAATTTTGTGACATGGAAAGCTAACAATTTGTGTGGCAGGTCATACAGGTCAAAATAATTTTTATCATCTAGGAATATTTTAATTACTCTTTCATTATCTAGGAAGTAATTTGCAAGGGCATCAGTTTCCCCCAAATGATTGTAAGGCTGTTTGCCAACTAGATAAATTAGATAATTAGAAAACTGCTCTTGGTTTCTGTCTTCATCATTGGGAAAAATGACACATGTATGAGGCCATGGGCTGGGAGCGGGGGGAGGGCAGTGCCCCATGGGAGCACACAACTAGATCACAGTACAGTAGGCATATGGCAAAATTTTCCAGTTCATTCTATGGAAAACAGTTTTCTAATAACTTTGTGACTGAATTCCTATGAATAGGGGATGTTTGGGTATAGACTGACCTGTCATTTGGCAACAGTATAATAGACCAACACATTAAAAAAGGAATTAGTTCAGATGATTTTAATGAGTCCCCCAATCCTGAATATGATTCTCATGTAAATGCTTACTTGATAGTTTTTCCTTACTCTTAGATTACTACTGTAAAATTTACCTTGAGCCAAATGTTTTTACCAATAAACTAGCAGAACCTTCATTATTTTTTATTCTGATTGAAAATAAAGATTAAGAGGTTTTAAATCAAAACTTCACTTAACAAGATGAAAGATAGTCTATGCTGGCAAGATAATATCCAGTTACAATTTTTCTCAGTGATCTATTTTAAATTTTTCACCTAAACAGAATCAGTTAATTGGAGGTGACATCAGTGTTGGAAGCCAAAGGTAATAGTGCCATCCTTGGCAGCATCAAATGGCTCAAAGGGGTCCTTTCTGGAGTTGAGAGTAGGGCTTAGGACATGGCTATTGGCCCACATATCTCAGATTTTACAGGATGTACAGATACATATTTTGAAAAAAAAAAAAAACGGGGTTGGTGTAGAATATAGTGATCATTTAGTAGAAGTGGAGTTACTTAAAATATTCTAGTGAAGTTAAATGTTGAGATTGTTTGGGAAGAGATGAATGTGTGTGTCATTTTAATTATTCAATGATTTTGCACTGGTCCTCTTACCTCCTAAAAGTTTACATGGAAATCAAGAGAAAGAACATTCAAAGGCGGTGTCACTAGATGTTTGCAACATTAGTTAGCACCTGGTTAATACCTGAAGTGAAAAGTTAACTTGGACCCTCCTAGTTTACGGTATAGGCCACATGTAGCTTCCTTATCCTTCCTCTTGTGCATTTTAAAGCCACTTTATCCTAGCCTGTCTCCAAAAAGAGGCATCTTCTGCTTTTTTGCAACAACTCATCTGCCTGTGTCTGACCTGGTTGCTTTCCTGTTACCTCCTTTGGGTCTTTCATATCTGTTATCTCCATCTCTGATCGCCATCCCTCTCATCTATACAAAGCTCTCCCTGTTGTAGAAAACAAAATTTTGATCCTGCCTCTGGGTCGGTTTCCCTCCCCAATTATTTTGTGCTTGACTTCTAGTCTTTAAGTAGGCTCTGGATACTAAAGTGTTTTTGGAAATTCTCACTGAAATCTTAGAAGTTCCTGAGAGAAACTCCAGGAAATCAGCAGGCTTCTCAGCCAACATACCTGACTACTGTACAGGAACGAGTGTCACAGAAAGCTGAAACATAGCAGAGAAGCTGCTGCCCTCTTTTCCCTGCACCTGTTTCATGTTTTCCTTTTGAATGTCTATTTTGTTTTCTCTTCTACATTATTACTTGCTAGTGACACCAGTAATTGCACTGTGACTTTATGCAACAAATCAGCTTTTACTAGAGCCTAAAAGTTAGAGAAAGGACTTGATTAAGATAGACGCTGATTTGAACCTATGCTATCTCCAGTTTTCAACCACAAAAGTAGATTTTCTGGATTTCAAATCCAGTTGCTTTGTAATGTTGAGTTTTCAAGGTAAGTAAAGCTAAGTAACAACAAAGGCAGCTCAATGCTAGAAAATCAGAAAGTTGCCATCAGATTCAGAATCATCGAAAAGATAGGGCTGGGATTTTACTGGGAGATGCTGCAAATAGAAGCAGGAGAGTGTTAAAGAGCCAAGGATGCAAGGGTCTACCATCAGGAAGAGTTTATGAGAGGGGAAATAAGATTTCTAGGAAGGAGTCTTTAGCATGATCATCTAGTGACTTACCATTTCCTACTTGTCCTCAATCCTTGGCAACTATTGGACTTTCTGTCTCTAAGAATTTGCCTATTATGGATATTTCATGTAAACAGAATCATACAATACGGACCCTTTTGTGTCTAACTTCCTTTCATTTAGCATGTTTGCAAGACTTACTCATCATTGTCATTCCTTTCTATAGATGAACATTCTTCTGTATAAATACACCACATTTTGTTTATTCATTCATCAGTAGATGAAAATTTGGGCGATTTTCACTTTTGGCTTATTATCAACAATCAGGGCTATCATGAATAATAAACATGCATGTACAACATTTTTTGGATATATTTTCAGTTCTCTTAGAGCAAAATTATTAGTAGTAGAATTCCTTACAGGAAGGTGAGATCAGTGTGTGATATTGACTTCAGTGTGCTCTTTAGGTGTTCTGAACTAAACTAACCTGATGCCTTCTTCCAGGATGAAGTGTCATGATAGCCACTGGTATATACAAGAGGCACGCACATTGTGTCCGCAAAGTTCCTGTGTTGGAAACCTAATCCTCAGTGCAACGTGTTGAGAAGTGGGACCTTTAAGAGGTGATTAGGTCGTGAGAGTCTTTATGACTATCCTAACGCCATTATTGACGGAGCGGGTTTGGCTTTCTCTTTATCCCTTTCTCTTGCATTCTCTTGCCCTTTCACCTTCTGCCTTCCAGCATGGGATGACAGCGAGTAGGCTCTCAGCAGACACAGCCCCTGAATTTGGACTTTCAGCCTCCCTAGCTGTGAGCCAAGTAACTTCTATTCACGATAAGTTTTTCAGTCTGTGGTACTCCATTATGGCCACACAAAGTGCTCTGAGCAGTTCCATTTCGGATGATCTCATGGAGAATAAGCACTTTTCTGGAGATATCAGCAAGTAACCCAGGACAGCAGCCAGCATCTATCAAGTCTTCACAAAGGTCCCCGAGTGGAAGAACTGTTTTTTAGCCTATGTTTGATTTCAGTTCAGCACAGGTCATGTGGAGGCTGAAACAGCCCATGACAGACATTATCTGCATTTAATGTACAGTCAGGTACAGGCAACTAGGATCTGTGAATTGAGGATGACATAAGAGCCACGAATTTTTAAAAATTTATTTTGATTTTTTAAAATTTTTTTTTATTTGAGAGACATAATTAGGGAGACAGAGAGAGAGAGAGAGAGAGAGAGTCTTCCATCCCTGGTTCCCTCCCCAAATGGCCGCAATGGCCTTAGTTGGGCCAATCCAGAGCCAGGAGCCAGGAGCTTCTTCTGGGTCTCCCACGTGGGTGTAGGGACCCAAGCACTTGGGCTATCTTCCATTGCTTTCCCAGACAAATAGGAAGCTGGATCGGAAGTAGAGCAGCCAGCACTCAAACTGGTGCCCATATAGGATGCCAGCGCTGCAGGTGGAGGCCTATGCCACAGCACTGGCCCCTGTTTGTTTATTTTTAAAGTCAGTGTTACAGAGAAAGAGACAGATATTCCATCTGCTTGTTCACTCCCCAGATGGCTACCAACAGTCAGCACTGGCCAGGCAGAAGCCAGCAGCCAGGAGCTTCATCCAGGTCTCCCACGTGGGTGACAGGGACCAAAACACTTGAACCACCTTCTACTGCTTTTCCCAGACTATTAGCAGGGAGTTGGATCAGAAGTGGAGCTGAAGGGACATGAACTGGAACTCATATGGGATGCTGGTGTTGTAGGTGGTGGCTTTATCTGATAGGCCACAATGCCGGCCCCTTTTAATTTTTTTAAAGATTTATTTACTTGTTTTGAAAGAGCAGAAGAAGAGCTCTTCCACCCTAAAAGCCTGGAGTTTGTCTTTAGCACAAAGTCAATATGTGTTATAAGTCTAAGTGAAAAGCAAGACTTCACTGAGCCCTTTTTGTCTTACTAGTCTTCTTAAAACTGAAGGTTCACTCCCTAAATGACTGGGGATGAGCAAGGCCTACGGGGAGCTGGGAACTCATCCGACTCTCCCAGGTGGGAGACTGGAGCTCAATTACTTGAGTCATCACTGCTGCCGCTCTCGGACTGAACTGGCAGGAAGCTCAAGAAAGGAACTGGAACCAGGCGCTGAACACAGGTACTCCTTCAGAGTAATACAGATACCAGAGAATGAGCTGGGATGTGTTCTCTCATTTTCTATTTTGTAGAACAATTTATGAAGTATTGGCATTAATTCTATAAATATTTGGGTTTTTTTAAAGATTTATTTTATTTACTTGAAAAACAAAGTTACAGAGATAAGTAGAGACAGAGAAAGAGGTCTTCTGTTCCACTGGTTCACTCCCCAGATGGCCACAACGGCCAGAGCTGCGCCGATCCAAAGCCAGGAGCCAGGAGCTTCTTCCGCGTCTCCCACACAGGTACAGGGGCCTAAGGACCTAGGCCATCATCTACTGCTTTCCCAGGAAATAGCAGAGAGCTGGATTGGAAGAGGAACAGCCGGGACCAGAAAACCGGTGCCCATGTGGGACACTGGCCAGGGCTTTAACCTGTTGCGCCACAGCGCTAGCCCCTTTCTATAAATATTTGATAGTATTACCACTGAACCATCTAGCTCTAGGCCTTTGATTAATAGTGTAACTACTTTGTTATAGGTCTGTTCAGATATTCTATTTATTCTTGAATTAGATTTTATTCTTTCTGGCTTTCTAGGAATTTGTTAGTTTCTTTTAGGTTATCTAAATTGTTTGCATACAACTGCTATTAATTTGTTCTGAGAATTCTTTATAGGTAATTTTTTTTTTTTTTTGCCTTCAAGATTATCTTTGGCTTTTGACAGTTTATCTATGGTGAGTCAACATGTGGATCTTCAAATTTATTCTGGTTAGAATTTGTTCAGCTTCTTAGATGTACAGATTCATGTATTTTAATCAGATTTGTTAAGTTTTCTGTCATTGTTTTTTCAGATACTCTATTTATTTTTCTTGCACAGCAGAGAGCTGGATGGGAAGTGGAGAGCTGGGACTCAAACCAGCGCCCATATGGGATGCCAGCACTGTAGGCGGTGACTTGACCCACCATGCAACAGTGCTGGCCCCAAAACTACATTTTAAATAACAGAATGTAGCCACTCTTTTTTTAATATTTATTTATTTATTTGAAAGTCAGAGTTACACAGAGAGAGGAGAGGGAGAGAAAGAGAAAAAGAAAGAGAGAGAGAGAGATCGAGAGATCTTCCATCTGCCGGTTCACTCCCCAATTGGCTACAACGGCCGGAGCTGTGCTGATCCAAAGCCAGGAGCCTCCTCCAGGTCTTCCCATGTGGGTGCAGGGGCCCAAGGACTTGGGCCATCTTCTGCTTTCCCAGGCCATAGCAGAGAGCTGAATCAGAAGAGCAGCCGGGACTAGAATCGGCGCCCATATGGGATACCAGCACTGAAGGCAGCAGCCTTACCTGCTACACTACAGCACTGGCCCCTGTAGCCACTCTTAACGAGAGTCTCCCATACACAGAGTTTGATGTTATGGTACTTACAGTGGTTCTTATTTGAGATCTTTTTATAACTAATTTGGTAAATTCTGCAATGTTTTGATCAAATGTGGACATTAAATTTTCACTGATGTTGGTGATCAGCCTGTTTTTGGATATAAGTTTTCTTAAACACTGTAATTTTTCAGTGCTACTGTGAATCTGACTGTGGGGGAGGGACTAGGCCAAATTATAATACCACAAAGGTTGCTGATTTTGCTGATATTCAGCTGTTTTTCTTGAATAAATTCTGTTACAAGTTGGTTTTGCTGGTTTTTTCAAAGCTTGTGTGGAGGACCAAATTTTCAAGTGATCCCATTCTCTGCCACTTTTGCTGACATTGTAGGTCTTTGTTTTTTTTTGTTTTTTTTTTTTTATTCTTTATTTTCATTTTATTTGAAAAGCAGAGAGACAGAAAGATGTTCCATTTACTGTTTCATTCTCCAAATGCCCCCAACAGCTAGAGCTGGGCCAGGTCAAAACCAGGAATCGGCAGCTCTGTCAAGGTCTACCATGTGAGCGGCAGGGACTCCAGTACCCGAGCCATCAGCTGCTGCCTTCCAGCACGCACAGCAGCAGAAAGCTGATCTGCAGCAGAGTAGCTGGGCTCCAGCCAGGCACTCAGATATGGATGCAAGCATCCCAAGCAGCAACCTGACTACTGTGCCACATGCCTGCCTCCAGCCTTTGCTTTTAATAAGTTACATCTGCAATTATCAAGGAAGATTTATCTGATTCACTGCTTCACTTATACAACCAATTCAATCCCTTTTAAACTAATTCAACACTTTGGTCAAACATTTTGGAATGCCTTATGTGTAACAGGACTAAACATTAGCAATGTAACCTCCCAGAGGAGCCCCCAGTCTTTTGGGGGATATGATAAGCTAAGATTTTTTTTCCTTAAGATTTATCTATCTATTTATTTGAAAGGCAGAGTGACACAGAGAGAAGGGAAATAGAGAGAAAGACCTTCTATCCACTGTTTCACTCCCCTAATGGCTGCAAGAGCCAGGACTGGGCCAGGCCAAAGCCAGGACATCCTGGTCTCCCATGTGAATGGCAGGGGCCCAATGTCTACCTTCATTCTGCACTGTCTCTTCTTAGTCCAAGTTTGTATCCTACCTGGCTTGTACTCCGAATGTCTTTAATAAGGAATGGGCCTTTGGCCTAGAGGTTAAGATGCTGATTGGGATATCAATGCCCACATTGTTATCAGAATGCTTGGGTTCTAGTCCCAGCTCCACTCCCAATTCCAGCTTCCTGCTAATGCATACAGTGGGAGGCAGCAGGTGATGGTTCAAGTAGTTGGGTTCCTGCCACCCACATGGGGAACCACATTGCATTCCCGATCCCTGGTTTTGGCCTGGCCCAGTCCTGGTTGTTGCAGCTATTTGGAGAGCAAACCAGCAGATAGGGAGATTTCTCTGCCTCTTAAAAAAATGAAGAAAAAAAATTTAAAGTCTTTAAGTAGTCTTCCTGTCTTCTGTTTCTCCAATTTCAGTCTCAATGAAGACATCAGAGGATCTTTTGAAAGGTATATGTGGTTAGGTAACTTCTGTACCTTTTGGTTTACATGTTTGTATAGTCTATCCCTCACCCATTTCTCATGTCTGGGTAGTCTTACCCTCTCTCAGGAAGCTTCTGCAACATGATGCTTCTTTTAGTTTCTCAAACTGAAATGATCTTAGCAGCTGCTGTAATCTCTAAAATAGTCTCCCTTGGTTCTACCCTACCTTCTGAAATCCTACATAAACATGAACTCAGCTTCTCCTAGCAAAACATGCTCCCTACTTAAGAGTTTCTGATTGTTCCAAAGCACCATTATTTAGCAAGAACTTGAGTGAATCTCAAAAATATAATGCTAATTGAAGGAAGACTCACACAAAAGCATGTATACAGTATAATTCTACTTATATAAAGTTCTAGATTAGACATAACTAATTTATGATGAAAAAATCGGATTAGTAGTCTGAAACGGAGAGTTGCTATAAAGGGGAATGAGGAAACAGGGGTGGTAGAAATGTTCTGTATATTGATGGAATGCATGTATTCATCAAAGATGTATACTTAAGATCTGTGCATTGCAGCAAATAAAATACATCTCATTAAAACATTGTTTGGAAAATAAGAATCCTTATGATAATTTAAATAATACGATTCAGTTTATCATACATATAACACTATTTTTTTCACCTTACTGAGTCTATAAGCTGTCAATCAGGTACCACCTCTTCCAGGAAGCCCCTCTTAAGCCCTAAGACTGTTAGGTGCTCCTGTATCATCCTGCTTAATGAGCTATATATACATATATTTTTAAATTTTATAACCAGAAGCTTCTTCTGGGTCCCCCACATGGGTACAGGAGCCCAAGGACTTGGGCCATCTTCCACTGCTTTCCCAGGCCATAGCAGAGAGCTGGACCGGAAGTGGAGCAGCCAGGTCTTGAACTGGAGCCCATATGGGATGCCGGTGCTTCAGGCCAGGGCATTAACCCACTGCGCCACAGTACTGGCCCCAGTGAGCTATATTATAATCATTTGTCTTTTCCTCCACATTTGAGCTTCTTAAACTATTAGCTCTCTATCATCAATGCCTGTCAAAATGCCTTACATAAAGATACTAGAATAATGGCAAAACTCATTTGCTACTCATCCAATCACATGAGTGAAGTTGGCATTACTGTTCCTGTTTCAGAAATGGAGAAACTGAGGCTCATAGTTTAAGACTTTCTTAGGACTCCAAGTCAATGCTTCTTCCACCCTAGCTGCTGCTGCTTTTTTTTTTTTTTTTTTTTTTTTTTTTTTTGACAGGCAGAGGGGACAGTGAGAGAGAGAGACAGAGAGAAAGGTCTTCCTTTTCTGTTGGTTCACCCTCCCCCCCCACAGTGGCCACTGCGGCTGACGCGCTGCACTGATCGGAATGGGCCAACCTCCACTGCAGTCCCGGGCCACAGCAGACTGCTGGAAAGGAAGAGGAGTGACCGGGACAGAATCCGGCGCCCCGACCGGGACTAGAACCCGGTGTGCCGGTGCCGCAGACGGAGGATTAGCCTATGGCGCCGGCCCACCCTAGCTTCTTCTAACTGAAAAGATATTGCTAAAGACCCCATTAAGTTTGCACACTAAGTAAGCACTCAATCTCAGTATTTCTTGGATAAGAAGGTACCAGCGATTCCAACCAGCCATTTCTAATTTCTATCTGAAAACAATGTTAACAGCAAAGGTAAATTCCTTAAGCCCTGAATTTTCTCCTGTTAAGTTTTTAAAATAAAGCCTTTTCCTTTACTGACAAATTAATATGTGCTTATCATAGAAAAAAAGAAAAAAGTTAAATACCTTGTAGCCTCAACATTCAGAGATAAGCACTCAACATTTTAGGGTATATCCCTTCAGTATTATTTGTACATAAAATTTTTTTGAGATTTAATTATTGGGGCCAGTGCTGTGGTGTAGCAGGTATAGCCACCACCTGCAGTGCTGGGATCTCATATGGGCACTGCTGTACTTTCAATCCAGCTCTCTTCTATGGCTTGGGAAAGCAGTAGAAGATGGCCCAAGTCCTTGGGACCCTGCACCCATGTGGGAGACTTGGAGGAAGCTCCTAGCTCCTGGCTTCAGTCTGGCCTAGCCCTGGCCGTTGCAGCCATTTGAGGAGTGAGCCAGTGGCTGGAAGATCTCTCTCTCTCTCTCTCTTTCTCTCTCTCTCTGCCTCTCTGTAACTCTGCCTTTCAAATATAAATCTTTAATTTAAAAAATATTTATTTAGTTATTTATTTATTTGAAAGGCAGAGCTACAAAAGAGGGAGAGGTAGAGAGAGAGAGAAAGAGAGCAAGCGAGAGATATCTCTTCCATCAGTGATTTACTCCCCAAATGGCCACAATGCCAGGGATAGGCCAGACTGAAGCCAGGAACTCCTTCTGGGTCTCCCACGTGGGTGGCAGGGGCCCAAGCATCTTCTGCTGATTTCCCAGGCACATTAGCAGGGAGCTTGATCAGACATGAAGCAGCCGGGACTCGAACCAGGACCCATATTGGATGCTGGTGTCACAGGCTTTACTTGCTGAGCCACAATGTTGGCCCAGATTCTTCACAGTCAAACTGACAGCTGATAAAACCAAGCCAAGTACTCCATCGTTGTACAAGCCAGATGGCCTGGACACACAAGATCTGAGGAAGAATTAAGAGCCGAATTTTTGCTCAGGAGTCAGCAGTAGCTCCTAGGGGATACTGGAGGTTCTCAGTAGAGAAAGGCAACGGAAGCTGAGGGGGCAGCAGCAGGAGAGTTGGTATTATCCTGGCCCGACACCATAATAGTTAGGCTTTCAGACTCATTGTCTCTCTGATCAAGAAGTCTGTGACATCATAATCGGTAACATAAGACATCTATTTCAGTTTAAATTGCTGTCTTATTCAGACTCTGGAATCTGAGTATCTGCTAATATGGGAAGTTATGACCTACTGAGGACTTCTCTTAACTATAATTTAGAAGAAGGACTCTAATGGTTTGTTAAAACAAGGGTATCACTACCTGTGGATCATCTGCTGGGCCTGTTCCAAGATTCACCATCTTCACTGATCATCCTCGCCCTGTGATTAAAAGACAAAGGAACATGAAATTGAAAGGAATATTACAGTATTAACATTAACTTCTGGGGCTGGCACTGTGGCGCAGCAGGTTAACGCCCTGGCCTGAAGCGCCAGCATCCCATATGGGTGCTGGTTCAAGACCCGGCTGCTCCACTTCCTATCCAGCTCTCTGCTATGGCCTAGGAAAGCAGTAGAAGATGGCCCAAGTCTTTGGGCCCCTGAACCCGCGTGGGAAACCCGGAGGAGGCGCCTGGCTTTGGCTTCAGATCGGCGCAGCTCTGGCCGTTGCGGCCAATTGGGGAGTGAACCAGCGGATGGAAGACCTCTCTCTCCCTCTCTCTCTGCCTCTTGTCTCTCTGTGTAACTCTGACTTTCAAGTAATATAAATAAATCTTTAAAAAAAAAACATTAACTTCTACCTCCTGAAAACCCTGCACACAATGGGAAAACATGCTGCTGGGCATCTTAGTGAGCAAGCTGTTGGAGTTGCCAGACAGTACTAAATGGATTCACCTCTTAACTCCATCTCTCACATGTAACCATGTGGTCTTAAGAGTGCATAGCAAGGGATGGTGCTGTGGCTCAGTGAGTTAAAAGCCCGGCCTGCGTTGTCAGCATCCCATATGGGTGTCAGTTTGAGTCTCGGCTGCTCCACTTCCCATCCAGCTCTCTGCTAGGGCCTGGGAAAGCCGTAGAGATGGCCCAAGTCCTTGGGCCCCTGCACCCACGTGGGAGACCCAGAAGAAGCTCCTGACTCCTGGCTTCAGATCAGCCCAGCTCTGGCCATTGCAGTGATTTGGGGAATGAACCAGCGGATGCAAGAGCCTCCCCCACCCCACCGCTCTGGCTCCACCTCTCCCTGTAACTGTCTTTCAAATAAATAAAATAAATTTTTTTTTTTGACAGGCAGAGTGGACAGTGAGAGAGAGAGACAGAGATAAAGGTTTTCCTTTGCCGTCGGTTCACCCTCCAATGGCCACCGCGGTGGGTGCGCTGCGGCCAGCGCACTGCGCTGATCCGATGGCAGGAGCCAGGTACTTATCCTGGTCTCCCATGGGGTGCAGGGCCCAAGCACTTGGGCCATCCTCCACTGCACTCCCGGGCCACAGCAGAGAGCTGGCCTGGAAGAGGGGCAACCGGGACAGAATCCGGCGCCCTGACCGGGACTAGAACCCGGTGTGCCAGAGCCGCACGGCGGAGGATTAGCCTAGTGAGCCGCGGCACAGGCCTAAAATAAATCTTACAGAGAGAGAGAGAGAGAGTGCATAGCAATAGAGTGATCCAGTAAGAATGGATTTATAAGAAGTTTAATTCTTACTATCCAAAGAGGAATATCTTTGTAATCCTCTGTCAACTGGTTCTAAGAGGTGGTGGTTTATAGTGACAATGCTGGACTTGGAACAAAAAGACAACAATTCTAGCTGAGTACCAGTAATGTGGCCTTCAGCAAAATTACTTCATTTCTCTTATCTTTCATTTTCTCATCTGTAAAGTGGTCATAATAACAGCTACTTTGCCTGCCTCACAGTATTACTATAAAGATTAAAGGAGGTATGGGGGAGAAAAGCTTTTATTTATTTATTTTAAAAATATTTATTTATCTACTTGAAAGAGTTAGGGAGGCCGGCGCCGTGGCTCACTAGGCTAATCCTCCACCTAGCGGCGCCAGCACACCGGGTTCTAGTCCCGGTCAGGGCGCCGGATTCTGTCCCGGTTGCCCCTCTTCCAGGCCAGCTCTCTGCTGTGGCCCGGGAGTGCAGTGGAGGATGGCCCAAGTGCTTGGGCCCTGCACCCCATGGGAGACCAGGAGAAGCACCTGGCTCCTGCCTTTGGATCAGCGTGGTGCGCCGGCCGCAGCGTGCCAGCCGTGGGGGCCATTGGAGGGTGAACCAACGGCAAAAAGGAAAACCTTTCTCTCTGTCTCTCTCTCTCTCTCACTATCCACTCTGCCTGTCAAAAAAAAAAAAAAAAAAAAAAAAGAGTTAGGGAGAGACAGAGAAAAATCTTCCATCTACTGGTTCACTCCCCAAATGGCCACAACAGCCAGAGCTGGGCTGATTGAAAGCCAGGAGCCAGGAGCCTTTTCTGGGCCTTCCAAGTGGTTGCAGGGGTCCATACACTTGGGCCATCCTCTGCTGTTTTCCCAGGTGCATTAACAGGAAGCTGGATTGGAAGTGGAGCGGCTGGGACTCAAACCAGTACCCATATGGCATGCCGATGTCACTGGTGGTAGCTGTAGCTGTTATGCCAGAATTCCAGCCTCAGCAAAGCTTTCTTTTAAAAAGTGAAACACTAGACCAATGTGAGATTTGTCATATACCTGCTGCTTATGCTATTCACAAGGACCCATATAAGAAGCAGAAGGTAGAAATCCTCCCCTTCTTTAAATACTTGGTGATATGCCTCAGTTTGCTTTGACATATATTTACTGCAGAGCCTCATCTAGCACTGTCGTTGTACACTGCCAGCATTCAGCTGGCACTGTCATAGGCGTCTGAAGAGCCCCTTGTCATAGCTGTATCTTTCCTCCAGTTATAAAGTTGGATAAAATGTTTTGCCATTAGGCATTCGCTTTCTAAAAATGACACTATGGAAACTGGGTCATGTTAATATGAAATTATTATACTGGTTTGAGCCAACTTTCCCCCTGTATTATTTAGTGGTTCCATTTCTGAGCAAAGCATTGGCTGTTTCACTAAATACTCAGCCACAAATAAATGTCTTATGGGAAATCTCAAACTTGTCATTTCTCAGATGAGATTTGTTAGCTACTCTCAAAAATCTCCTGAATTCTCCACTTTGATAGAAACAAGCCAGAACCCACTCAATCACTTAAGCTGCAAATTTAGAAAAAGCCTTGACTTTTCCCTCTTCTTCATCCACTGTGGTCTTTACAATCACAAACGTGTTCCCCTCAATCTATTTCCAAATGCTAAGGATTTGACTTTAAAATAGCTCTACCATCTTTAACTATCCCCATCCTTTTTTTTTTTTTACTAATTAAATACTTTATTGAATAAATACAATACCAAACAAAAACGCATTCAAATGCTTTCTTAAAAAAAAATCAATTTTAAAGGCCTTTCTATTCAGGCTAATGACAAACACAATAAAGGCAGATATGCTAATTTAACATAATTGGCTGATTTTATACAGCACTTATACCTTTTAGTCCACAAGTATATTATTAAATGATAGAGAACATCTAATACAACCATTTCTTTTTTATTTTTTTATTTTTTATTTTTTTTTATTTTTGACAGGCAGAGTGGACAGTGAGAGAGACAGAGAGAGAGAGAAAGGTCTTCCTTTGCCGTTGGTTCACCCTCCAATGGCCGCCGCTGCAGCCGGCGCACTGCACTGATCCGATGGCAGGAGCCAGGAGCCAGGTGCTTTTCCTGGTCTCCCATGGGGTGCAGGGCCCAAGCACCTGGGCCATCCTCCACTGCACTCCCTGGCCATAGCAGAGAGCTGGCCTGGAAGAGGGGCAACCGGGACAGAATCCGGCGCCCCGACCGGGACTAGAACCTGGTGTGCCGGCGCCGCAAGGTGGAGGATTAGCCTATTGAGCCACGGAGCCGGCTCTAATATAACCATTTCTACAGAACTAGGAAATAAATGTCTAAGAAAGAAAGATTTTACAGACCCCATCTTTTATACCCACCCCAACAGTCTAACTCTAAAGAGGAATAAGCCAATGACTTTCCTCACAAGAGCTCACGACTAATGTCGCTTTGCTATCAAAATCTGTATTTCTGATCCGTTATGAGCATTGAGACAAGATTCAAATATTCCCAAAGAAAGAAGCACAATGCACATTGTGATCGCCTATTCAGCAACAGCGAGCACTGCATTCAAACTATCTCATCCCAGGAATTAAATAAGGTCAGCCACATTCATGGGCATTTCCTCCACTGTAGTATTGTAGAAAGTCTCAATGTCACGAAGAATCCTCTTGTCTTCTTCAGTAACAAAGTTTATAGCCACACCTTTCCTCCCAAATTGACCCCCTCTGCCAATTCTGTGAATATAGTTTTCACGATTGGTAGGTAGATCGTAGTTTATAACCAAAGACACTTGTTGTACATCAATCCCACGAGCCAACAAGTCAGTAGTGATCAGAACACGGCTTGATCCTGACCGGAATTCTCTCATGATGACATCTCTTTCCTTCTGGTCCATGTCACCATGCAGAGCAGAAACTGTGAAGTCCCTGGCATGCATTTTCTCAGTGAGCCAGTCCACTTTGCGCCTTGTATTGAGAAAAATAACAGCCTGCGTAATGGTCAGTGTTTCATACAAGTCACAAAGTGTATCCAACTTCCATTCCTCTCTTTCAACATTAATATAGAACTGTTTGATTCCTTCAAGGGTCAATTCTTCCTTCTTAACCAGAATTCGAATTGGATCTCTCATGAATTTTTTGGTCACTTCTAACACATCAGTTGGCATCGTGGCAGAAAGCAACACAACCTGAATACTGGTATTTAGTTTTTGAAAAATCTCATAGATTTGATCCTTAAACCCTCTGCTCAACATTTCATCTGCTTCATCCAAAACGAACATTTTGATCCATTTTGGAGAAAGGTATCTTCTGTTTAACATATCAAATACTCTCCCTGGTGTACCAACAACGATATGTGGTGCTTCTGCCTGCAATTTTTGCATTTCATTCCTAACGTTTGTTCCACCAATGCAGGCATGACAAGTTGCTCCCATATAGTCTCCAAGTGCCAGAATTACCTTTTGGATCTGTTGAGCCAGTTCTCTGGTGGGGGCCAATACTAGTGCTTGGGTCTCCTTGAACTCAATCTCCAGCTGTTGCAGGATGGAAATAGCTAGCAAATGTGGCTGTCTTGCCAGTACCTGACTGAGCTTGAGCAATCACATCATACCCTTTAATGCAAGGAATAATAGCTCTTTGCTGAATAGCTGTAGGCTTCTCAAAACCGTAAGCATAGATGCCCCGAAGAAGAGACTCCTTTAAATTCATATCATCAAAGTTATCAACAATCTCATTCCAGTTGCTCTCGATGACACCATCGGGGTCCATTCCCTCTGGGCCGCCATGTTCTCTGTTATAGTCCGCAGAGCCACCAGACATGTCCGAACAGCCACTCAGCGCCCGACTGAAAAGTATCCCCATCCTTTCTGCTACTCTCATCTGTTCTACGGCAACTGCTTCCTAATACTTTGTTCATTTTGCCCCTCCTCCAGCCTCACTACCAACAAACCAATGCAGCTTAAAAACCCAAGACTCCTCTAAATGTGGAGGAGATAGAGTAAATTACCACCACGTGTCCCGTCCTGCAGCTTCAACAATCCAGCATACTGCCTCGTTATTACCAGCGATTTTACAGGCCACAAGAGTGGAGCCTAGAGAGACTGACAAGAGTTCCACTAGGTGTCTCATGATCCAACCCTTGCTCTTGAATTGAATGCCTCAGGTCTCTCAGGTGTAAAATTCAAGGCAGTAGTAACTCCCTATAAATAAGTAATATGGACATAGTGCCTAAAACAGTACCTGGCATGTGTACTCTGCTAACTTTAGCTACATTCATGACTATTCGTAGTCTTCACTGCTGCTAGACGCGTTACTAAGTGACTAAGGAGGAAATACAGCAAGAGTTCCATGTCTGGGGGGTTAGTTCTTTTCCCTTTGGCGCCCCATCTTTACTGCCTAACCTGCTCTTCACCCTGCGTCAATTCTCTCTTCGTCCCCTCGCCCGCCTGACACGTGGGGACACGTGGCTCTCGCGCCAGGTGCATAACTGGACCTGGCTGTGTCCACCTGACCTACGAACAGCCCGGGTGAGGCGGGGGCAGGAAACAGTCGTGAACTGAGCCGGGAGACTTCTGACCTCTAGAGGACGGTGGTCTCCACTTCCTGTGCGTTCTCAGGCCAAGAACTCCGTGTCTCAGGCCCGTTTCCTCTTCTGTAGAAAAAGGACTAATATTGTTCGTCCTTCTGCTCTGATAGGGGTACGGTGACGACCCTGAAGTTCCCAGAGAACCCTCGGCTATTCCAAGGCTACAGCCTCAGAAAGAGAGAAGCAAAGTGAGGGGTGGGGTCGCCTGAGAAACGCGGCCTGGTCTTCATGGACCTCCGAATGTTTTTCCTAGATTGTCTCGTTTCTATGGTCGATGGCCCTCAAATTTCCGCGCAGGCTAAGTTATTCTTCCGGGGTGGCTGCCACTGCTTCCGGGGCGGGTCGGAGCGAGGTGGGGTCGCTGTGCCGCAGCTGCCTGCCGGTGTGCGTTCCGCGTTCGGTGCAGCCATGAGCTTCCTCCGGAGTTTCCTGCCTCCCGGGCCCACGGAAGGGCTGCGGCACCAGCAGCCGGATACCGAGGCAGTCCTGAACGGGAAGGGCCTCGGCACCGGCACCCTCTACATCGCTGAGAGGTAGGGTCCCGGTTCCCCAGCGCTGGCCTCCTGCGCGCCGCCTCCCGCCTTGCTGGCGCCGGCGGTGTAGACGAGCCGGGCGAAATGAGAGCTCGGGCTGCCGGGATCGGCGGCGTTTGCGGCGCGTCGCCTCGAGGGTGCCCGGGCTGGGAGGAAGGCTGGAGTATTCTAGTGGCCTCCCCCTGTGGAGTCTCCCCGCCTGTCTTCTCCAGCCGGAATTTCTCCTCGTGTATTGTGCCCCTAACCGCCTGTGTACCGGCGATCTGGCGTGTGCCTTGCTCGTAACTCATGGTCCCTTTTTAAGGTTTTGAGTTCCAGGCTCTGAGGTAGTTTTTGGTGTGCCCGTGTTTCCGGCTGAACTGGTGCGGGAGATGTGGGTTCCGAACAGATGGTGGAGGATGTTGAGAGTTTGGTTAAGGAATGTAGGTTTTCTTCTGTAGATGTGGAGGGGAGGCAGGAACGTGCTCAACCCCACGCAGGCGGAGGTCACAGCCACAGGGACTTGATTCCCCTGTGGGGGCCCTGGAATCGATCCCCTGTTACGGAAACCTGTCTTAGAGGCTGCAGTTGTGGGACTGAGGTCCCTGTGCCCTTGACACGTGGTCCCCTTCATCTTCAAATCAACAGTGACACATGGAATCTTCCTGATCATTAAACCTCCCCGGCTCCCCCTTTTGCTACATCACATAGCAGCCAGAGAACTCTGCTTTTAAGGACTGATGTAATTACAGTGGACCCATCCGGATCACCCAGGCCAATCTGTTTGTGTTTTATTGTCAGGTTCTTAGTAACCTTACATACATTTATAGAGTCGCTTCTGCCACGTAACATTCACAGGCATGGTACCAGGGGATGAAAGTCATGAGGGCCAGTTTTTTGCCTACTACAGAGTCTTGGGCACAGAAAACTGTAGAAAATTACTGGTGTAGAGGAGAACTTGGGCAAAGCTTGGGCTTTTGGCCAATCAGTGAGATAGTAAACATGGATGGGGAGGAAAGCAAATTTGGGCTGAGGAGCAGATAATGAGTTTGGTTTGAAAGTGGGTGTGGTTCAACATAAGCTCATGTAATTTAGGGAAACACAATTAGAGATTTGGAAGTCGAGGGAATTGATTGGATAACCTGGAAGTGAAGAGGGCCAAGCGTAGAACCGTGGGGAGGCACTTACACTAAGAGATGAGTCATGGAGATGAGGCTTGAGAAAAGAGGAGGAAAGAGCAGTCAAATGAAATAAAACCTGAAAAGCTGCCGTTGAGTTCCACAAGGAAATCTGGTGATCTTGGGAAGAGCATGGAACACAGAGATATTCCCTGCCTCTCTCCAGTCCTTTTTTCTTCGTGGCATCTCTGTATTTGGCTCTTCTTTATACAATTTCATTCTATGGGAAGATATTTACATTATGGAAAGTTTCAAACGTAAAGGAAAATTGCAAGTGTTGTTAATACCTCTATGGTCTCATAATGATTCAATAATTATTTGGCATATTAAATTCTTGAGCTACTTGAGACTTGCAAATATGTTTTTACTTTATTTGTAAATACTTTAAAATCTTCAAAGAACAAAGATATTCTTCTGTATAAGCGCAATATGATTTGCATACTCAAGAAGTATAACTTTTTAACTTCTTACCTGTTTTTTTTTTTTTAAAGATCTATTTTATTTATTTGAAAGACAGTTACAGAGAGAGGTAGAGACAAAGAGAGAGAAAGGTCTTCCATCTGCTGGTTCACTCCCCAAATGACTGCAGTGGCCAGAGCTGAGCCGATTTGAAGCCAAGAGCCAGGAGCCTCTTCTGGGTGGGGGCAGGGGCCCAAGGACTTAGGCCATCTTCCATTTGCTTTCCCAGACCATAGCAGAGAGCTGGATCGGAAGGGGAGCTGCTGGGACTTGAACCCATGCCCATATGAGATGCCAGTGCTAGAGGCCAGGGCTTTAACTTATTGCACCACAGCGCTGGCCCCCGTTCCTGTTTTTTTAAAATATTATTTATTTCACGTTTTCACTAACAAATCTTTTTATTTAAAAAAATGTATTTTGGTAAAATATACATGCAGAAAGAATGTTATAGATGTATGATTTAAAGCATATATACATAAATATACCTGTATATCCTGGTGGGCTCTGTGGCACAGCAGGTTAAACTGCTGCTTGGGACGCCCACACCCTGTATCAGAATGCCAGTTCCTACCTTGGCTCATTTGCTTCTGATTCAGTTTCCTGCTAGTGGCCCTGGGAAAGCAGTGGATGATGGGCCAAGTGCTTTGGTTCCTGCTCTGCATGTGGGAGACCCAGATGGAGTTCCTGGCTGCTGGCTTCAGTGTGGCCCAGCCCTGGCTCTTGTGGGCGTCTGGGGAGTGAACCATTGAATGAGATATCTCTCTCTCACTTTCTTTCTCTCTCTCTCTCTCTCTCTATGTTGCTATGCCTTTAAAGTAGGTGAACATAAACAAATAAGCATTATTTGACAAGGAATACAAGAACAACACTATCAGTACCTTGGATATCTCTGATCATCCTTTTTTACTTGTTAGTCACACCTCCTTGGTCTTGTTCCCCTCATTTTTTTGTTCTTTCCCACTTAGCATTTCCAAGACCTGATGGGTTTTAACAAAGTGGGAAGGCTTCCTGAAAAGTGTGGCCAATGATATTAACAGTTGGCCAGGTGAATGGGGTAGACCCTGGGACATGATCTAATTAGAGGAAACAAGGCTGGTGTTTGGCACAGTGTTAGAGATGGCACTTGGGGTGCCTGCCTCCCATATTAGAGTGCTTGGATTGGCATCCTGGCTCCGTTTCTGATTCTAGCTTTGTTTTGATGGACACCTTGGAAGGCAGCGAGTAATGGTCCAAGTAGTTGGATCTCTGCCACCCACGAGGGAGAACTAAATTGAGTTCCAGGCTCCTGAATTGGGCCTGGCCCAGCGTGACTGTTGTGAGCATTTGGGGAGTGAACACAGTGGGTAGAACCTGTGTGTGTGTGTGTATGTCTATCTGTCTGTCTGTCTCTGTCTCTCCCTCTCCCTCTGCCTTTCAAATAAGCAAATAAATAAATCTTGAAGAAAGATTATGAGCACTTCATGGAAGTGCTGTGCGGTGGCAGCATCTGTGTTCTGTCAGCAGTAAGAAACTACAAAGAAATTATTATGTTCTTTTTAAAGTAAAGTCTATAATTTGGTATACATCAGTTGTATGTTTGGGTTTCAGTTTTTTCATCTCCTGACTGAATCATTAAAGTTTTGTGACTTTATATATTTGAAGTGATTTTGGATACTCAAGTCTAGGACCTTCTTTTCTGAGTTGTGATAATGCTAGGAGATCTTTTTTTTTTTTTTTTTTAAAGATGTATTTATTTACTTGAAAGGCAGAGTTACAGAGAGATTGGCTGATTTGTTCTCAAATGCCCAGGAAAGCTGCAGCTGGGTCCGACCAAAGCCAGGAGCCAGAAGCTCCATCCAGGTCTCCTGGGTAAGAGGCAGAAACCCAAGTTAAGCCGCTTCCTTCCAGGCTCATTAGCGGGAAGCTGGGTCCGGAGCAGAGCAGCTGGGAGTTGAATTGACACTGTTGTGGGGTGCTGTTGTCTCAGTGGCAGCTTAACGTGCTGCCTCACAGTGCTGACTTCCTGCCCCTCTTAGTCAAAGACACAGGGAGAGAAAGAGTTCTTGAATCTGCATGGTCACTCCGCAGATGCCCACAGCAGCTGGGGCTGGGCCAGATCAAACCTGGGAGCCAGGAACACCAGAAAAAAGGCAAAACCAAGTTTGCTGAAAATCTTTTCAAATGACAGGCCTTATTTTCTTGGTTTTGCTGTTTTTAAGTGTACAGTTAAATAGGCTTTAGTATAGAGTTTTACAAATGTTGGGGCAACCTAATATTCTGCCTTTGCTTTTGGTGCTGCTTTTGTTATACATAGATGAACCATTAGCCATAGATTTCCTTCTAGGGGGCTGAGGTATATAGTTCAACCTCCCCTCACTCTGAACACGAATGAATTCACACTGCCACATTGTACACTGTTGCTGCCCAGGGGAGTCCTAGGTTCTCTTATGCTTTTGTTTTTGCTTGGTTAGAAATTAAACTGCCAGATTTGTTGAAGTTGTGTAGAAAATAGGGTGAAATGAGTGTTTTTGCACTAAATTTCTTTTATAATAACAGCTCTATTTAGGTAATTTACATAGCAATTTTGGGGTGGGCATTTTACCTAGACACCTGACACCCAGGGCCCTATTTCAGAATGCTTGGATTTGGCGTCTGTCTCCGGCTCTCAGCTTCCTGCTAATTTGGACTCTGGGAGGCGACAGTGATGGCTCAAGTGATTGGGTTCCTGCCATACAGGAGGAAGCCCGGCTTTGAGTTCCCAGCTCCTGGCTTTGTCCCTGTTCCAGCCTCAGCCTTCACAGGTATTTGGAGAGTGGACTGGTGAATGGGAGTTTTCTCTCTCTTTGTTTCTCAGATAAACTAAAAATAAATAAAGGTACAATTCAGTGACTTTAGTTGACTTACAGAGCCACTTCCTCCCAGGGTCTGCATTGGTAGGAAGCTGGAATCAGGAGTTGGAGTTGGCAGGCAAACTCAGGCATTCTGATGTGGGATGCGGGAGTCTTAACCAGGAAGGTAGAGCCTCATTTTGCATTAACATATTTTATGACTTCCTCAGGAATTTTTGCTTATTACTTTTTTCCCTGCTAAGCAGTACAATTCAAATGGGTGAAGTATTACTAAAATATTCAACAACCCCTATTCAAAACTCAATATGCTGATCTTGGTGATATGTCCTTTTGTTACATCAGTAAGATATTTGTGTTTGATCGTGTTTGAGGACAAACTAAACCTAGCTTATCTGTGACTATCTTTTTTTTTTTTTTTTTAATTTATTTTTTCATTTGGAAGGCAGAGTTACAGACAGGGAAGGGAGGGCAGAAAAGTGAGAGATAGAGAGAGAGAGAGAGAGAGAGAATGAATATCATCCATTTGCTGGTTCACTCCCGAAATGGCTGCAAAAGCTGGGGCTGGGTCAGGCCCAAGCTAGCAGCCAGGAGCTTCACTCAGGTCTCCCACTGCTTTCCCAGGCACCTTAGCAGGGAGCTGGATCTGAAGTGGAGCAGCCGGGACTTGAACTTGTGCCCATGTGGGATGCCAGCGTTGCAGGCAGCAGCTTAATCTGCTGTGCCACAACTCTGGCCCCAGTGACTATCTCTTAAAGCTGCAAAATAAATAAAAGACCTCAACATGAAATTTATCTTTCAAGGTAATAAATTCTTTTCTGACTTGTGATTAAAGCCATTTCATGTATATGTCATGTAATGTAGGATTAGTGGAGAATGGAGAAGTTAGTGATTACCAGATATTTATTGCATACTTTACTGCTGAGTACTATACATATATATATTTATTTTAAATATTTATTTATTTATGTATTTATTTGAAAGCCAGAGTTACAGAGAGAGAGGGAAAGAGAGAGAGAGATAACTTCCATCCACTGGTTCAGTCCCCAAATGGCTGCAGTAGCCAGAGCTGGGCTGATCCAAAGCCAAGAGCCAGAAGCTTCCTCTGGGTTACCCATGTGGTTGTAGGTGCCTAAGTACTTGGACCCTCTTCCACTGCTTTCCCAGGCACATTAGCAGGGAGTTGGAGCTGAAGAAGAGTAGCTGGGACTCGAATCAGTGCCCATATGGGATGCTGGCACTGCAGGTGGTGGCTTTACCCCATACTCTGTTCCAGGCCCCTGTGCTTATGTTTTTTAAGAATATTAAATAAAGGGGCCAGCACTGTGGCACAGCAGGTTAAAGCCCTGGTCTGCAGCACTGGCATCCCAGACAGAACTGGCTGATGGAAGGTGAGCTACTTAACAGCGGGACTGGCCCTATCACATTCTTTTATTTAACATTTTTTAAAAGATTTATTTTATTTATTTGAAAGCGTTAGAGAGAGAGAGGTCTTCCAACTGCTTTAATTATTGATAATTAAATATAAGATTAATTATCATAGAGTTAAATGCTAGGTAGTATATTAGTGTAAGTGCAACTTAGAAGAAAGCATCATGGGCCAGAGTAGTTGCATGGAGGCCTCATGGAGGAGCTGGAGCTTAATTAGATGAGAAGGATTTGCAGAAGCATAGAGGGCACTTGAAGACATTCCAAATAATAAGCATAAAAGGCTTAGAAACACATGTGTGACTTATAAAAATTGCATTTCAAATCTTTTTCAATTTATAGCTAGAGGAAAAGGGATCATTACAGAATTAGTCTTAAAATTCAATTCCAACTGCTGAATTTCTAATTTTAGGAATATTTCTACACAGTATACTTGAATTTATTCAAATGCCTAAGTGTTTCTAAGCTGGACCTGAATAAGCTTTGAGGTTTTAAATTAAGATTTAATCTCTAAAACTAATCTGCTTAAAACATGTTTTTCAGCCGCCTGTCTTGGTTAGATGGTTCTGGATTAGGATTCTCACTGGAATATCCCACCATTAGCTTACACGCGGTATCCAGGGACCCAAATGCCTATCCACAAGAGCATTTGTATGTTATGGTAAATGCCAAATTTGGAGGTAGGTATGCTGTAATTTAATCTAATGCTTTCTTTGGTAGCAGGATATACTTTAAAAAGCATTTTTGATGATATATTCAAGCCATGGGCCCACTTTAGATAACAACTTATTAAGCAAGGTTTTAGCATAGTAAAATAATTTGGACACCTGAAGTCCTATGAGCATTTGTTTTGTGTTTATACCTTTTATGTTCCATATTTTTGCACATACAGTTCTCTTGTTGCTTGGTTATATGTTTTGTGCTTCTTCCTCTGTGTTTTAATGGTTTCTTCTTTTTGTCTTAAAGCAGTATGTTTTTTTTCCTAAGAATTTAGGATAAAACTGTTTTTGTTTTGTTGTAGTGACAGTTTTCAGTGGGGAGTGGAAGGATTTTTCATGTAACTCCACTCACCCTCTGTCTTTACATTTGGTAATGACATTCCCACTGGAGTGGGTCCGAATGCTACTGGCATCTAATAGTTAGATGCCACAGATGCTATTTCAATCCTACAATGTACAGGGAACCTTTCCACAACAAAATTATCCAGTCCAAATGTCAGTAGTGTCAAGATTGAGAAACCCTGGGTTACAAGATTCCCAAGTTTTGCTGCTGGAGATAACTGTAAAGATCAATGAAAATCTGGTGAAGTTGTTTGCTTTTAAAATGATGAGGAGCTTTCCTCCGAAATCATGTAAAAGAAATAATCCCATGAATTTCCCTTGTAAGCTATTGTGCCTTCAAAAGAGGATTTTAATAATCATTCCAGATATAATATGACCATTTATATTCAGCTGTGAAACTAATTATTTACTCATTTTTAGAAGGTTGGCAAGCCCTGCCTCATTAAGTGGTAATGACTTGATGCAGCTATTGGAAAATTTTTTTAAATAAATAAATCTTTTTTTAATTTAATAAATGTGAATTTACAAAGTGCAACTTTTGCATTGTTGTGGCTTCCCTCCTGCAAAATAAATAAATCTTTTAAGAGTTCATGTTCAACCATTTTTGTACACTTTTTTTTTTTTTTTTTTTTGACAGGCAGAGTGGACAGTGTGAGAGAGAGACAGAGAGAGAAGGTCTTCCTTTTGCTGTTGGTTCACCCTCCAATGGCCGCCGCTGCAGCCGGCGCACCGCGCTGATCCGATGGCAGGAGCCAGGATCCAGGTGCTTTTCCTGGTCTCCCATGGGGTGCAGGGCCCAAGCACCTGGGCCATCCTCCACTGCACTCCCTGGCCATAGCAGAGAGCTGGCCTGGAAGAGGGGCAACCGGGACAGAATCCGGCGCCCCAACCGGGACTAGAACCCGGTGTGCCAGCGCCGCATGGTGGAGGATTAGCCTATTGAGCCACGGCGCCGGCCTCACTTTTTTTTTTAAGATTTATTTATTTATTTGAAAGAGTTACACAGAGAGAGAAGGAGAGGCAGAGACAGAGAGAGGTCTTTCATCTGCTGGTTCACTCCCCAGTTGGCAGCAACAGCCGGACCTGCACCGATCCGAAGCCGGGAGCCAGAAGCTTCTTCCGGGTCTCCCACATGGGTACAGGGGCCCAAGCACTTGGGCCATCCTCTACTGCCTTCCCAGGCCACAGCAGAGAGCTGGATTGGAAGAGGGGCACCTGGGACTCAAACAGGTGCCCATACAGGATGCTGGCACCGCAGACAGGGGATTAACCTACTGCGCCACGTTGCCAGCCCTCAAGTATAACATCTAAAGGTGGTCTTGACAGCCAGTTCCTAATGCTTGTGTGGAATGTCCCTAAATAGTCTCCAGCATTGTTACTGGGCAAAAGTGCTTATCAAGTAAAAGACTGAAGAGGTAGGATACTAGCAGAGGAGGAAAAAGCACTGAATAAGAAAACTGCTTAACTTGCTAGACAAGTCATTTTCATCTTTCTCAGCCTCAATTTTCATCTAAAAAATTAGGGGTTTGTGTTAGTATCCGATTCTGAAACCTGGCTGAATGTTAGAAATACCTGGGGAGCTTATTTAAAATGTAGCTACTGCAAGTTCTAAAATACAAACTAATAGTTCAAGTGGTTTGGGGTAGGTATTTTAAATGTATGCTGTATATGATTATTTGCTTGACATTGATGTGATTATGATTATATCCTTATAAAAATATTAGGATTTTCCATTTTACTAGAGTAAGGGGTTCTTCCTTTGTCAGGTTTTTGTTTTTGTTTTTTGAGATTTATTTTGCTTATTTGAAAGGGAGAGAGAGAGAGGGAGAGACAGAGAGAAATGAGAGGTTTCCCATCAGCTGGTTCACAGCCAAGGTTGGGCCAGGCCAGAGCCAGGAGCTTTATCCATGGTTGTCAGGGGTCCAGGGACTTGGGCCATCTTGCACTGCTTTCCCAAATGCATTAGCAGGGAGCTGGATTGGAAGTGGAGCAGCCAGGACTAGAACTGGAACCCATATGGGATGCCAGCACTGCAGATGGCAGCTTAACCCCCTATGTTCAACGCTGGCCCCTCCTGGGTCACGTTTATTTCAGTAGTTCTCCAGTCCTACTTATCTTGAACTTCTCTCATAAGTTACACATGTTAGGATCATGCTTTTGTAGCCTTAGCTCTTCACATTGTGATTCTCCAAGTTCTGCATTTATTTTTCTCTTTGGTCTGCTTTCATTAAGTATCTCTTAAAAAATGACCATCAGAGGCCGGCACTGTGGCATAGTGGGTAAGGCCCACTGCCTGCGATGCCAGAATCCCATATGGGCCCCGGTTTGTGTCCCAGTTGCTCTGCTTCTGATCCAGCTCTCTGATAATGTGCCTGGGAGGGCAGCAGAGGGTGGCACAAGTGCTTGGGCCCCTGTACCTACATGGGAGACTCGGAGGAAGCTCCTGGCTTCTGGCTTTGGATCAGCCCAACCCTGGCCATTTCAGACATTTAGGGGAGTCAACCATTGGATAGAAGACCTCTCTGTTTTTCCCTCTCTCTATAACTCTGCCTCTCAAGTGAATAAATAAGTCTTTAAATAAATAAAAAGTTAAAAAAAAAAAAAGGACTTAGTGATATAACCCTTTAGTTGTTTCGTATGAGTAAAATCGCTGCATTAAGGTAAGAAACATTTTTAAAGCTCTTAACATATTTTGTGACATTGCTTTCCAAAAAGTTTACATCAATTTACACTTTCAGTAGTGGTGTATATAAAGGTACTACCTTGAGGCAAGTGATGTGGCACAGTGGATTAAGCTGCTGCCTGCAGTGCTGGCTTCCAACATGGGTGCTGGTTCGAGTCTTGGCTGCAGAGTCCCAGCTGCCCACTTCTTATCCAGCTCTCTGCTAATGCGCCTGGGAAAGCAGTGGAAGATGGCCCAAGTCCCTGGGCCCCTGCCACCAATGTGGGTGACCTGGAAGAAGCTCCTGGCTCCTGGCTCCTGGCTTTGGCCTGGCCCAGCCATGATTGTTGAGACTATCTGGGGATTGAACCAGCAGATGGAAGATTTCTCTCTGTGTCTCCTTCTCTCTGTAACTTTGGCTTTCAAATAAATAAATAAATCTCTTAAAAAAAATATGTACCACCTTTCCACTTATCTTCATCAGCATGGACAATTAACTTTTTTTTTTTTTTTTTAGATTTATTTATTTATTTGAAAGGCAGAGTTACAGAGAGGCAGCAGGGGGAGGGGGCCTTCCATCACTGGTTCACTCCCCAGGTGGCTGCAACGGCTGGAGCTGTGCCAATCCGAAGCCAGGAGCTTCTTCCGGGTCTCCCATGTGGATATAGGGGCCTAAGGACCTGGGCCATCCTCCACTGCCTCCCCAGGTGATAGCAGAGAGCTGGATGGGAAGTGGAGCAGCTAGGACTCTAACCACTGCCCATGTGGGATTCTGGCACTACAGGCGGTGGCCTTACCCACTACGTCACATGGCTAGCCCAATAATTGACATTTTTGTCAATGGTAACTTTAATATAGTAAATTTTAATTTTTTATGTAAATTTATAATTTATAGTAATTTTTAATTTATTTTTTATTTTTTTTATTTTATTTTTTTTATTTTTTTGACAGGCAAAGTGGACAGTGAGAGAGAGAGACAGAGAGAAAGGTCTTCCTTTGCCGTTGGTTCATCCTCCAATGGCCGCCGCGGCGGGCGCTCTGCAGCCAGCGCACCGCGCTGATCCGATGGCAGGAGCCAGGAGCCAGGTGCTTTTCCTGGTCTCCCATGGGGTGCAGGGCCCAAGCACCTGGGCCATCCTCCACTGCACTCCCTGGCCACAGCAGAGAGCTGGCCTGGAAGAGGGGCAACCGGGACAGAATCCGGCGCCCTGACCGGGACTAGAACCCCGTATACCGGGACTAGAACCCCGTATGCCGGCGCCTCAAGGCGGAGGATTAGCCTAGTGAGCCGCGGTGCCGGCCTTAATTTTTTATTATTATCAATTTTGAGCATCTATTTAGATGTTTTGATAACATACCTTTTATTATGAAATAATCGAAGCATATTGAAAAGCACAGAGAATAGTAAAACAGGTATTCAATATCTAGTGCAAATTGTAACTTTTTTCATAATTATTGTAGGCTTTTTTAAGAAAACATCAATCTGCTGAAACTCCCACCCCTTTTTTAAAGATTTATTTATTTATTTATTTGAAAGAGAGGGGGAGAGAGAGAGATCTTCCATCTGCTAGTTCACTCTTCAAGTGGCTGCAAAGGCTAGGCTGGGCTAGGCAGAAGCTAGGAGGCAGAAGCTTCATCCAAGTCTCCCACATGGGTATAGTGGTGCAAACACTTGGGAGATGGATCAGCAGTGAAGCAGCTGGGACATGAACCGGTACCTGTATGGGATGCTGGCATCACTGGAGGCAGCTTAACCTGCTCTACCACAACACTGACCCCTAAAACCCTTTTTGTTTGGCTACGCATTTCCTTCTCTACTCTGACTGCAGGAGATGATGTGTGTGCATATATGCTCATAAACAACATGTAATGGTTTTGTTTTGTATTTAAAATGTTAATGTAAATAAATAGTATATACATTCTGCAACTAGCTTTTTTTAAAGAGTATTTCATTAGTTCATACAGTACATCAGTATTGTGCAGAAATTCCTTGGGTACAATATGTGGATGTGGAATTGCTAGGTAGTAGGGAATGAGTATCTCTAAGGTGATTATAGCAGCTTTCACTACTACCAGCATAATGCTAGTTTTCTTTAACAAAAATCTGTATTCTTTCTTATCTACAGACCTGGTTGACTTACATGTTGGGTAAGTCGACTTCTATGGACTTTAGTTTTCTCATCTGTAAATTGTTGGTGATGAACCACATTAGTGATTTACAGAGTGTTGCTGAACCTTTTGTTTCAAGGTGAAAGGGAAAAGAAGCCGATGACTGGAACTATACTTATTAGAAACCTGAGTATTTGGGTCTTTTCATCCTCATTCTGGCCTCACAGGGGCTCTGGAATCCTTAGGACTCAGTGAAGCACTGTGCAGCTAGACCAGAGACTATTCAGAGCCTTTTTAAGCTCTAAAATAACCACTATTGGGGGGCCGGCGCTGTGGCGCAGTGGGTTAAAGCCCCAGCCTGCAGTGCTGGCATCCCATATGTGTGCTGGTTCTAGTCCCAGCTGCTCCTCTTCCGATCCAGCTCTCTGCTTATGACTGGGAAGCAGTGAAGATGGCCCAAGTCTTTGGGCCCCTGCACCCACGTGGGAGACCTGGAAGAAGCTCCTGGCTCCTGGCTTCAGATCGGCGCAGCTCCGGCTGTTGCGGTCAGTTGGGGAGTGAACCAGCGGATAGAAGACCTCTCTCTCTCTGACTTTACCTCTCTCTGTAACTTTTTCAAATAAATAAAATAATTTAAAAAATAACCACGATTGGAAATAAAAATTGAAGTGCAACATTCAGATTTATCAGTAAGCATCCTCTAGGAAATTCTCTTAGCTTTTTTTTTTTTAAGTCAAACACATGGCATATTAAAAAGTTATTTATTCCTTTTCCAGAAGAATCAAAAGAACTTGTTGCTGATGAAGAGGAAGACAGTGATGATGATGTTGAACCTATTTCTGAATTTAGATTTGTACCTGGTGATAAATCAGCATGTGAGTGTTCCGTGTATTGATTCTTTTCCCTTTTTTCACAAGCGTCCTCCCCCAGCCCCGTTCATGGTCTCTCTCTTGTTGTCTTACATACACACCTCACTTTTATCAACATTTCGTCAGTTGTATTGCCCTTTCTTTTTTGTGTCTGTAATACTGAGAACAGACACTTATAATAACGATTGTGAATGTAGCAAGCATATTGTATGTAACATGTTACCTAGTATGTTTTGCTAATGGAGGGTCAGTTTTATTCATTCATTTTATTGATTGATGCTCTTGACTTCGAATCTCATCTAAAGGATGAATGGCAAAGGAGTCACAGCAATTGCACAGAAGATGCCAAGACAACTAGAAAGAGCCCTGTCGGTTGAGAGAGGCATTCCCCTGATACCAACGATCTGACAAGGACTTGGCCCCTTTTCTCAGAAAATCCAACTAGCCATGAAGAGATCTCAGTAATATCTCAGAATGAACATTTATTTTGTGACTTGCCCATTGCCTCAGGCACTTCCAGAATTGGTCCTACTTGGAATCTGGCAGGTTTTGCAGACATTATCCTAGTATACCTCTTGTGTACCTGTTAAATTTCTTAGCACTGGTGGTTTTTATTAAAATTGTATGGTGAAAAGTCTTAGTTAAAACTTCATTTTCTTGTTTAGTGGAGGCAATGTTCACTGCAATGTGTGAATGTCAGGCCTTGCATCCAGACCCTGAGGATGAAGATTCAGATGATTATGATGGAGAAGAATATGATGTGGAAGCACATGGTTAGTGAATAGATTTTTTAAATGTTTGTCTGCTTTAATGTTTCATTTTTGAGCATTTATGTGTACTGTAGACAGAGGATTGTAGGTCTTTATAGTTAACATGTTCCTTCAAACAGGTCACTGCCAAAGTCATTTCTTTTTTCCTAGAACCATACTTCATTTAAGAATCTCTTCCATTGCTTTTCTAGACTAGAATGTAGTCCTCAGCTTGATGGTGTCTTGCAGCTCTTGAGGCACCTGCTGTTCTCTTTTCTCCACTTCTGTTATGCCCTTTCCTCCTTGTGCATTTCCTTCCTAGGCTGAGACAAACTCATCTCTAGGATTCTCTATCATATACTTAAATATTTACTCTTCTTTCGTTCGTCATCTTTCTTTCTTTCCTTTTTTTTTTTTTTTTTTTTTGACAGGCAGAGTTAGCCAGTGAGAGAGAGAGAGAGAGAGACAGAGAGAAAGGTCTTCCTTCTGTTGGTTCACCCCCCTCCAAATGGCTGCTACGGTTGGCGCAGCGCGCTGTGCCGATCTGAAGCCAGGAGCCAGGTGCTTCCTCCTGGTCTCCCGTTCGGGTGCAGGGCCCAAGCCCTTGGGCCATCCTCCACTGCCTTCCCAGGCCACAGCAGAGAGCTAGACTGGAAGAGGAGCAACCGGGATAGAACCGGCGCCCCAACCGGGACTAGAATCCGGAGTGCCGGTACCGCAGGTGGAGGATTAGCCTAGTGAGCCTCGGTGCTGGCTAAATATTTACTCTTCTTTCTAATATTTTTAATTTTTTTGTCCCTTTTTGGTTGTTTTTTCTGCTTTTTTTTTTTTAAGGAGCATGTATTTTAATCAGGAAAAGCCTTCAATACAAATTCCCATCAAACTAATTAGCACTCCCCTGAAAATTCTCACCTTGGTATAATATAGGAGTCCCTGGCCTTGCGAGCACCCTCTTTCATTGCAGTCCTAGAACGTGTGATTCTTTGGGAATTGCTGTTTACTGGCATTACTTCTTGGAATCCTTTTTCATCTTATATGATAGGTATATTTTCTTTGTATTTCTGTCTTCAAGGGTCAACTTTGTCAATGAATGTTGAAAAGACAAGTACTTTCCTGAAAGCCTGTTTCCACTGCTCCTTACATCTTCAGCAAATGCTTTATTGGTTACCCATGTGTTTTTTAGTTATTATGTGACCGCTTGTAAGTTTTTTTATTTGTTTAGAACAAGGACAGGGGGATATCCCTACGTTCTATACCTATGAAGAAGGATTGTCCCATTTAACAGCAGAAGGCCAAGCCACATTGGAGAGACTAGAAGGAATGCTTTCTCAGTCTGTGAGCAGCCAATATAACATGGCTGGAGTTCGGACGGAAGATTCAATAAGAGATTATGAAGGTGAGTGACCTGTCTCTGCAGTGTGAACAGGCAAGTGGCCATTTAGAAAATGGGGGACTTTATGGGCAGACATATAGGTTCTTTAGGGAACTCTTAAGACAAAGAATCTCTGAATTAACTCTTTATAGTACTTAAGCAAATGGAGAATTACATACAAAGGGGATTCATATATAATTTTTTGAAATTATTTTTCCCCCTTAACTGTATTTTTTGATGTTCCTGAGACAAATATTTGTTTACGATTAACTATCCATTGCATATCTGTATTAGTTTCCTAGGGCTGTCAAAACAAAGTACCATGGACTGCTTGGCTTAAATGCAGTAAAACTTTGTTGTCTCATAGCTTTGGAGGCTGGAAGTCCCAGCATAGTTCCCTGTGAGATTTTGTCGGGGGAAGATCTGTGCCCAGGTCTCCTTCCTTGTCTTATCCACGACTAATTTATCCCTGTGTTTTCATATTGCTTTTCCTCTCTCTGTGTCTGGGTCCCAAGTTTCTCTCTTCTATTAGGATTCCCCAGAGAAACAAAACCAACATGCACACACACAGAGACATCCCTGCATTTTACCTGTCTCTCCTGTAATAACTGCTGTTACTGTTTAAAATTTACTATTTATTTCATAGGTTAAAATGTTGGGATGTTTCCGTCTATGTGTGTATTTAGAGAGATTTATTTTAAGAAATTGGCTAATCTCATCTAAAAAAAACCTCTACAGAAACATCTAGAGTAGTGTGTTGCAAACTATGTACATGGCCTAGCCATGAGGATACCAGTCCAACTGCATTAAAGGCTACTCTGATGACCTCAGTTTAACTTCATTGTAAACCTCTGTAAGGTCCATATCTTCATATAAGATCATATTCTGAGGTACTGGAGGTAAGGACTTTAACATGCATTTTGGGGAGATACGCATCCACCAGAATACTCTAAGACAATGAAATCTCAGAAAAAACTTTTGAAGGATAGGAAGCCAATGTAGAATTATATTTCTCACTACCATTACATAAGAATTCCCAGGGCCAGTATTGTGGTATAGCGGGTTAAGCCTCTGCTTGTAGGGGTGGCATCCCACCTGGCTGCTCCACTTCTGATATAGTTCACTGCTAATGTGCCTGAGAAAGCAGGGTAAGCTGGTCCACGTGCTTGAGCTCCTGCACCCATGTGGGAGACCCAGAAGAAGCTCTGGGCTCCTGGCTTCGGCCTGGCCCAGTCCCTGCTGTTGCAGCCATTTGGGGAATGAACCAGCGGATGGAAGATAACTCTCCCCGTGCTGTGTCTCTCCTCCTCTCTAACTCTGCCAGTCAAATGACCAAAAAAAATTTTTTTTTAATTCCCATTCTTGCATAATTTTTAGTGTCTTTTGATTTTGTTGTTTGTTTTGTTTTTAATTGAAAGGCAGTTACAGAGAGAGAGAGAGAAAGAGAGATCTTCCATCTGCTGGTTTACTCCTCAAATGACTGCAATGGCCAGGACCGGGCCACAGTGAAGCCAGGAGCCAGAAACTTCATCTGGGTCTCGCAAGTGGATGCAGGGACCCAAGCACTTGGGCCATGTTCTGCTGTTTTTCCCAAGTGCATTAGCAGGAAGCTGGATGGGAAGTAGAGGAGCCAGGACTCTTAACTGGTACACATATAAGATGCTGATGTCACAGGTGGCAGCTTAATCAGCTGTGCCACCAATGCCAGTCCCAACTTCTTGTGTCTTTTTGTATTAGTTACAAAAGCTGTCAGTGTTCATAATCAAAAAATTTAGAACATTAGAAAATACAATTTTCTGCTCCATATTATTCCGGTCCCATAGCAAAGACTTTTAAGGTCACAAACACTTTTCTCTAACATGAAATTTTTGAAACTTTTATACATAAGCCTCGTTAACATCTTGAAGTTGTCTATATGTGAGGACTTCAAAAACTTCAAATGGAATTAAAAGACAGTTTTAGGGGTGGGCACTGAGTGTCGCTTCCACTTCCAGCTCCCTTCCAGTGCACACTCTGGGAGGCAGCAGGATGATGGCTGAGGTATTTGGGTCACTGCAACCCACATGGTAGATCCAGATGGAATTTCTGGCTTTGTGTTAGCCAAACCACATTTGGGGAGTGCACTGGAGGATGGAAGATCCTTTGTTTTTCTATCTTGTCTGTCTGATTGTCTGCTTTTCAAATAAAATGTAAAAAAAAAAATTGAAAATGTACGTGCAAGTTTACTTTGGTACAGAAAAACTGTAAAATCTGGGCATGTGAGCAGGCTTCACAAATGTAATGAAAACTGCATGCTATGAAAAATCTGCATGCATTTCAAAAACTCTTGCATCAAACTGAAAGTCTTTTAATTCTGTTTTTCCACAAACTTTAACTTTTTTTTTTTTTTCCTTTGTGAGAGCTCCTGTTCTCCTTCATTCCCATATACCTGCTACAGCCACGGGCTGAATCCAGAAGCTGGTAACTGCAGTCAGATTTTCCATGTCAGTGGCAGGAACCCTAAGACCAGAGCTGTCACCTCTGCCTTCCTGGATCCACATTAGCAGGAAGCTGGGTTCAGGAGCCAGAGCAGGGACTCAAAATCAGATACTTCAAAGTAGGGTCCAGGTGTCCCAGTGAGCAGCTTAACCATTAGACCAAACACCTGCCCGTCAACAAACTTGGTTTTTTAAAACTATTTGGCTTTTTTTTTTAATTATTTTTATTAATTGAAAGGCAAACAAACTGAACTCCCAACCGTTGGCTGGGGCTTGGCCAGACTGAAGCTGGGTACTAAAAACTCCAGGTCTCTTGTGGGTGACAGGGACCCAGCTATGTGAGCTGTCACCTGCTGCCTCCCAGGGCGCATATTAGCAGGAAGGGAAAATCAGGAGTGGAGCCAGGACTTGAACCCAAGCACACCGGTATGGAATGTGGGCATTGCAAGCAGTATCTTAAGCACTAAGCTAAATGCCCATCCCTTCACAATTCTTTTTTTTTTTTTTTAATATGTTTATTTGAGAGGCATACTTAGAGAAAGAAGGAGAGGCAGACAGATAAAGAGGGATCTTCATCCACTGGTTCATTCCCCAAATGGCCGTAATGGCCAAGGGGCCAGACTGAAGTCAGGAGCCAGGACCTGCAGCCAGGTCTACCATGTAAGTTCAGATTGTTAAGTCAACAACAGGAGTCACTGTGCACTTACTCCTCATGTAGGATCTCTGTCCTTAATGTGCTGTACATTGTGATTTAATGCTATAACTAGTACTCAAACAGTATTTTTCACTTTGTGTTTCTATGTGGGTGCAAACTGTTGAAATCTTTACTTAATATATGCTAAACTGATCTTCTGTATATAAAGAGAATTGAAAATGAATCTTGATATGAATGGAAGGGGAGAGTGAGCGGGAAAGGGGAGGGTTGCGGGTGGGAGGGAAGTTGTGGGGGGGGGGAAGCCATTGTAATCCATAAGCTGTACTTTGGAAATTTATATTCATTAAATAAAAGTTAAAAAAAAATCTTTATAGTAAGTACTTAGCGCAGATCTGTGAAGTGTAAACAACTGAAACTTACTGCATTTGTAAGTGCCTACCTAGAGTTTTTTTTTTTTTTTTTTTGACAGGCAGAGTGGACAGTGAGAGAGAGAGAGAGACAGAAAGGTCTTCCTTTGCCGTTGGTTCACCCTCCAATGGCCGCCGCGGCCAGCGCACTGCGCTGATCCGATGGCAGGAGCCAGGTGCTTCTCCTGGTCTCCCATGGGGTACAGGGCCCAAGCACTTGGGCCATCCTCCGCTGCACTCCTGGAAGAGTGCTGGCCTGGAAGAGGGGCAGCCGGGACAGAATCCAGCGCCCCGACCGGGACCAGAACCCGGTGTGCCGGCGCCACAAGGCGGAGGACTAGCCTAGTGAGCCACGGCGCCGGCTGCTACCTAGAGTTTTTTAGTGTTGAGGTTTGAGAATTTTATTTGGCCTAAATCCATTTTTCTTTTGTTCCTTGATACTTTAATTTTCAAACAAGAGGAAAAATGGTAATGTTAACCAGCAGAGGGCACTAGCTTCCTTCTGGTGAACATTATAAATTGACTCTTTACCTGTCTGAAGTGCTCATGAGTATTGCTGAGCAACACTGTTTCTGTTCAGATGGCATGGAGGTAGACACTACGCCAACAGTTGCTGGACAGTTTGAAGATGCAGATGTTGATCACTGAAAATGGTTTATGCGGCTGGAAGGTGAGTAGTTTTATTTTCTCCCTTGTCACTGAACATGAAAATCATATGAAACGACCAATTTTTCTTTTCAGAATTCAAGAGAGCTCTATAGAATTAGCAGTTTCAGAAAATGTTGTTATCCATTTCTGAAGTTATTCCCAATTACATGGTTTTTTCCCCTAAGAAATAGAGGGCTGCATGCATGACAGTTTTACCATCTGCTGTGCATACCAAACACTGCTTTAGGCGTTGAGACTATGCAGAAGAATAAGACACTGACCTAACTTCAGTGAGTTTGCACGATTAGCCATGGTTATTAGTCATGTGTTCAGAAATGGAGCTCTCTCTGTAGACTCAGTTGGGAGCAGTATGGCCTGAGATCATGTCCTAGTTTGCTCTGGATTTAACTTTTTTCACTTGTGATGTTTGAAACCTTAACGTGATCATTAGAGAACACAAAGTGATTTGATGCAACTCATTGCTTTTCCCTTCCTTCCTTCCTTCCTTCCTGAGAGGCAGAGACAGAGAGAGCAAGGTCTTCGATTCACTGGTTCACTCCCCAGATGGTTGCAGTGGCCGGGGCTGTGCAGATCTGAAGCCAGGAGCTTCTTCTGGGTCTCCCACGTGGGTCCAGGGGCCCAAACACTTGGTCCATATTCTTCTGCCTTTGCAGGCCATAGCAGAGAGCTGGATCTGAAGTAGAGCAGCCAGGACTTGAACTGGAGCCCGTGTGGGATGCCAGCACTGCAGGTGGCAGCTTTACCCACTACGCCATAGTGCTGGCCCTGCAACTCACTGGTTTTCAACAGAAAAGTGGAAGTCACTCCAAAATGAGTTGAAGCCTTTAATCATAATCTCGTATGTGGTACTGCCCTTCTAAGGATAATGGAGGACCATGGTTGTAGGCACGTCAGTCTTGAAGGCTGATTGCTAACCAGGTCTGTGCAGTCCAAAGAGCCATTATTTCCCAAGTTGTTTCCTGCCTACTTTATGGTCAGCATAATCCTCTGCCAGTTTTCTCTCCTCTGACGCATTCTCCTGAGCTTTGCCTGAAGTTCCTCCTTAACTGCTGCTTACAGTGAGAAATATATTTCCATTTGGCAGGTTGAGTATTAAACTGTATGTTAAATATTAACTGAAGAGTCATGTAATTTGTTCCTGTCATAGACAGCTAGACAAGTAGCTTTCTTCTCTTCTCTTCTCTTCTCTTCTCTTCTCTTCTCTTCTCTTCTCTTCTCTTCTCTTCTCTTCTCTTCTCTTCTCTCTTCTCTCTTCTCTCTTCTCTCTCCTCTCTCCTTCTCTCTTCTCTCTTCTCTCTTCTCTCTTTTTTCTTTTTTCTTTTTTCTTTTCTTTTTAAAGATTTGTTTATATATATTTGAAGGAGTCACAGAGAGAGATCGATCTTGTGTATGCTAGTTAACTCCCTAGATGGCCACAATGTCCAGGGCTGAGCCAGCTTGAAGCTAGGAGCCAGGAGCTTCATCCAGGTCTGCTGCGTGGATAGCAGGGTCTCAGACACCTAGGCCATCTTCCGTTGCTTCCCCAGGCCATTAGCAGAGAGCTGAATCAGAAGTGGAGCAGCTGGGACAGGAACTGACAACCATATAGGATGCTGGAGTCGCAGGTGGTGGCTTTACCCACTACACCACAATGCTGGCTCAAATAGTCCTTCTTATTTAAGCTGTAAGATTTTCACAGTTAAATTATCCCTTTCTCAATGTCCTTTCTCCTACCTCTGACTGTACAATAATATTGAAGCATGTGATAAAACATGGCAACATCTATGTAGATTGACTAGACTCTGCTCCTCTGTCAGTTACCTAGGTAGATTCTGAGGTCCTTCATTGTTTCCTGTTAGGATAAATATGTCAAAATTCTCTGTTTTATTTTGGCATAGACTTTAGTTCTGAACTATGGGCGGTTTTTTTCCCCAGTTGAAAGTTTTGCTATTCCCTGTTCCATTTTATATTGGAAACCAGCCTTTTAAAGTTCCGTTTACCCTACAAATTATTACCATTGTGGATGTAACATTAATGCTTTTACTAACAGGTAGTGGGTCTCTGCTTTCTTCTCCGGTCCTGCCAGTAGAACTGTCAGAGAATAACTTCTTAGAGTTCTGTGATTTATGTCTCTTCCCTTGAATACTTAATTCTTGTTTCCACAATTTTTTTTTTATTTTTTAAAATTTATTAGACAGGTAGAGTTACAGACAATGAGAGAGAGAGACAGAGAGAAAGGTCTTCCTTCTGTTGGTTCACTCCCCAAATGGCCGCCACAGCCGGCGCTGCACCGATCCGAAGCCAGGAGCCAGGTGCTTCCTCTTGGTCTCCCATGTGGGTGCAGGGGCCCAAGCACTTGGGCCATCCTCCTCTGCCCTCCCGGGCCACAGCAGAGAGCTGGACTGGAAGAGAGGCAACTGGGACAGAACCGGCACCCCACCTGGGACTAGAACCCAGGGTACCAGTGCCGCAGGTAGAGGATTAGCCATGTGAGCCACAGTGCCAGCCTCCACATTTATTTTGTCATTGGTAGCCAGACAATCTAAAATGTACAATGTATAATATCAGCTCTGCTAAAACCATGTTTTTCATATCACTGGAACTCTTAACTTTAATACTGATCACAGTTCCAGATGTGAATAACTTCACTGTTACTTCATGGGATCAACTTAAGTTGTCCTTTCCTTGTTTGTCATCACATTCTTCATAGCATGCTAATTTTTTTTTTCTTTTCGGTAATACTTGTATAGTAACTGTTTTACTGAAATTGGGGAAAAGATTTTTTGATCTTCAGGCTTTTGCATATTTCTTCTTGAAAAGTAGACTTTTCAGAGAACATCAGCCACTCTGTTAATAATGTTTATGAGAAACTCATTTGGTATGTCACTAATGGTTATGCAAATGGGGTGTTACAGCAGTCCCTGGCAAGGGTTGTTAGGATTCTTTGTAATTGTGAAATAACCATAAAATAGCCACAGATTTTCTAATGAGCCAGTGGTTTGTTTTCTGTTCATTTTATGCTAGACCTCAGAGGCAGGGAAATATTTTACTCATAAAATTGGTGCATGTTATTCTTCTGGATAATTGACCTGAATTCCGGATAGTCTTTGTAAATTTTGTATCACTTAATACTGTATGTGCCTTTAAAGAATGAACAGGAAGTTATTAGAGTGTTTATGCAACCACTAATAATTTCTAGTTAAGGGAACTTGGACCTCGCAGTGCATGAGTTGGGTAAATGCTGGAATGGTTACACTGTCACACTGGCTGTTCCTTTGGACAGGACATACTCTTATATCTCAGGCCCTGGTACTCTTGCTAAGGCATTCGATAAATACTTGCTATTATTACAATTATAAACATTGTAATCCTTTTGTTTTCCAGATTCTGCTTTATAACTGTAGGAAAGGACTTGGTGCCTCTTCCTGTCTGGAGTGGGGTTGATGAAAATGTTTTTGCTTCTTCAAAACTCACTTGAGCCAGTTCTTTCTTGAAACAGCAAGTTGTCACCAGCAGAAGAAACTATGACCTTTATTAACAAAGGTGAATTAACTAGGAAGGTATTTGTAGTCTATCACCCCTGAATTTTCTGTGTCTGGTTCCCCTTTGGGTGGGTCTGTAATTTCTGCCTTCACTGTATATGTCTTCTGTAAGCTAGCAGGCCTATGTGGTGAAATGCACAGGAGCTGGGAGGTGTGGGTAGACTGGGTGGGAGAGGCTGAAGCTAAAATATGCCTCTTTGGGACTAAAGATACCTTTATCACTTAAAAAGAGAGAGATCTCAGAGGAATCCTATCTGCTGCTCATTCACAGAGTCTTTTACTGAAATGGGACCCAGATTAATTCAGCATCACTAGGTGACCTCTTTGGAAACCTCCCAGGCACTTGTACCACACTTCCACAGATGCTTCTGACTAGCCTTTGCTCCTTCCACCGTGCTTCCCTGTCTGCTCTGTTACAACCTCTGGGGTTATCTCTGGTTTCCAGTCGCTAGGCTAGTTTTCTGTAACAGAACAAGTGAAACTGTTATGAAGCCCTCAAAGTACTTCAAATGATAACTGTTTTGTCTTTGTAATAGCTTAACAAATAAATCTAGGTTTTCTATATTATTGTGCTCTCATTCTTGACTAAACCCATTAATAAGAAGTGCTTTTATGGCAAAAAGAGGATCTGTTGGTCTTCATTTTGTACACTTTTGTTGAAAATATGAAGTTAATAAACTGTACAGTTAGAATTTCTGGCAGGTATTTAATAAGGTAAAGATTTCTTCTTGGATCAAGAATAATTTCTTAGATTTATCAACTCTCAATTTTTAGTTTACACAAACAGCTGAATATTAAGAGACTAATTTGTAATTATAAATTTTAACTTGGACTTCAGATACCACCAGATTTAACAAGCTATTCAGAAACCTTTGAGGGGCCGGTGCTGTGGTGCAGTAGGTGAATCCTCTGCCTGCAGCGCCGGCATCCCATATGGGCGCCGGTTCTAGTCCCAGCTGTTCCTCTTCCAGTCCAGCTCTCTGCTGTGGCCTGGGAAAGCAGTGAAAGATGACCCAAGTCCTTGGGCCCCTGCTCCCACGTGGGAGACCAGGAGGAAGCTCCTGGCTCCTGGCTTTGGATCAGTGCAGCTCTGGCTATTGTGGCCGTTTGGGGAGTGACTCAATGGACCGACAACCTTTCTCTGTCTCTCCCTCTCACTCTGTGTAACTCCACCTCTCAAATAAATAAATTTAAAAAGAGAGAGAGAAAAAAAACATTTGGCTAGTTAATACTAAGGTCCAATTTGACACACTTTGGCTCAGTGTTCTTTTTAGTAGATTTGGTCATCCTCATCCTGCAAGGCAGACTGAAGAAAGTAATTTCCTTTTTATAACCTTTTTAAAAATAACCTTATAATAGGCAACTAAAAGAGCCACTTGGGGGGCCAGCACTATGGTACAGTGGGTAAAAGCCCTGACCCGTAGTGCTGGCATCCATTTGGCACCGGTTCAAGTCCTGGCTGCTCCACTTCCGATCTAGCTCTCTGCTGTGGCCTGGGAAAGCAGTAGAAGATGGCCCAAGTCCTTGGACCCCCTGCACCCGTGTGGGAGACCTGGAAGAAGCTCCTGGCTCCTGGCTTTGGGTCAGCTCAGCTCTGGCCGTTGCAGCCATCTGGGGAGTGAACCATCAGATGGAAGATCTCTGTCTCTCTGCCCTACGTCTTTGTAACTGTTTTTCAAGTAAATTAAACACACACACACACACACACACACACACTTGGAAAGGGAAACTAAGATTTACTGAGACCTTCTTTGTACCAGTTGTTGTCCTAGGTCCTTTACATGTATTACACAAATTCTCTCTTCTACAGGATTTTGAATGTTAAATTTCAGTAGACAGAATGGTAGTTTCCCAGATTTGTCTGCTACCAATCTGAACAGCACCCATAATTTTATTCCAGGAGTTTATACATTCTTCACTAAACAATCAAGATAGTTTCATGAACTGCTTTTAGAAATTCCATTTGAACCTTTCTTCCACCCTTTTTTTTTCTTTTTGTTAAGATTTGCTTCAAAGGCAGGGTGGCTAACAAAAAGAGATTTTCCATCTGCTGGTTCACTCCCCATATGGCCACAACAGCCAATTCTTGGTCAGGCCAAAGCCAGCAGCCAGGAACTCCATCTGTACCTCCCTCATGAGTGGCAGTGTCCTAAGTACTTTAGCCATCATCCTCACTGCATCACAGCATGCAAATTAGCTGGAAGTGCGATTGGCAGCAGTGGTGATACTTGATGAATGCAGGTGTCCCAAGTAGCAACTTAACTCACACCACCATACCCACCCTTGATTCACATTTTATTCATTTTTTTTTTTTTTCAAAGATTCATTTTATTTGAAAGGCAAAGTTAGGGGCCACACTGTGGTGTACTGGGTAAAGCTGCCACCTGCAGTGCTGAATTCACGTATGGACGCCAATTTGAGTCCTGAATGCTCCACTTCTGATCCAGCTCTCAGCTGTTGCTGACAGAGCTGAGCCGATCCAAAGCCAGGAGCCAGGAGCTTCCTCTGCATCTCCCATGAGGGTGCAGGGGCCCAAGGACTTGGGCCATTTTGTACTGCCCTCCCAGGCCATAGCAGAGCAGGATCTGAAGAGGAGCAGCCGGAACACAAAGCTGCGTCTGTATGGGATCTGGCACTGCAGGCTGGGGCTTTAACCCACTGCGCCGCAGCGCCGGCCCTGGAAGAAGCTTCTGGCTCCTGGCTTCAGATCATCCTGATGGCCTGACCTCTCTGCCTCTCTGTAACTCTGTGTTTCAAATAAATAAATAAATCTTTCAAAAAAGGCCAGTGTTAGAGGAGAAGAGAGAGAGAGAGCTTCCATTTTCTTGTTCACTCCCCAAATGGCTGCAATGACAGGGGCTGGGCCAGTCTGAAGCCAGGAGCCAGAAATTCTGCCTGGGTCTCCCATGTGGTTGGCGAGGGCCCAGGGACTTGGACTATCTTCTGCTGCTTTCCCAGGCACTTAGCAAGGAGTGTGATCAGAAGTGGAGTAGCCAGAACTCAAACTGGCATTCATATGGGATGCCAGCATTGCAGGCAGTGGCTTAACTCTGTGCCACAACGGCGGTCACTTTATTTAAAGAATTAGGTTTTTTATTTGAAAGATGAGAATGACAGAGGAGAGACAGATCCTCAATCTTCAGTCCCCTGATTTACTCACCAAATGACCACCATGGCGAGGGCTGGGTCAGGCTAAAGCCAGGAGCCAGAAGCCTGGAACTCCATCTGGGTCTCCCACATGGGTGGCAGGGACCTCTGTACTTATGTGAGGAACTGGTTTTTTGTTTGTTTGTTTGTTTAAGATTTATTTATTTGAAAGGCAGAGTTAGTGAGAGAGGACATCAGAGAGGTCCAGGCCAAAGCCAGGAGCTTCTTATCTCCTACATGGGTGTAGGGGCCCAAGTACTTGGGTCATCTTCGGCCTTACCAAGCACATTAGCAGGGAGCTGGATTAGAAGCAGAGCAGCTGGGACTTGAACTGGTGCTCCAGTTTGGGATATCGGCCTCACAAGTGGCAGCTTAACCCACTGTGCCTCAACACTGGCCTCTACTGGATGTTTGGATGTTGATTTATCTGCGAGATTTCAGGAGGCTCATTGCTAATTAGTTCTCCTACAAATCCTGTTCTATTACCAGTAGTGATTACTTCCTTTCATAAAAGAAAAAGGCTACCAATATAACATTAACCCACCACTAAGAATACATCTGGGGGTTGGCACTGTGACGTGGCAGGGAGGGCCGCCGCCTGCGATGCCAGCATCCCACACGGGCACTGGTTTGGGTCCTGGCTGCTCCCACTTTCGATCCAGCCCTCTTCTGTGGCCTGGGAAACCAGTGGAAGAAGGCCCAAGTACTTAGGCCTCTGCAACCACATGGGAGACCCAGAAGAGGTTCCTTGCTCCAGGCTTTGTATTGGCATAGCTCTGGCCGTTGTGGCCATCTGGGGAGTGAACCAATGGATGGAGGACCTCTCTCTCCCTCTCTCTGCCTCTCTGTAACTGCCTTTCAAATGAATGGATAAATCTTAAAAGAATAAATACATCTGAACAGCTTGAAATTTTAAAATCTACAAGGCAGAAAGGGGCAAGTATTGTGACACAGTGGGTTAAGTGGCTGCTTGGGAGTCTTACATCCTGTATCAGTGCCTCGTTGGAGTCCCAGCTGTTTGCTTCCCATCCAGCTTCCTGGTGTGCACATGCTGGGAGGCAGCAGATGATGGCTCATGTACATGAGTACCTGTCAATCATGTGGAAGACCTGGATGGAATGCCAGGCTCTTGGTTTAGCCTGGTTGAGTCCCCACTCTTGTAGTTGTTTGGAGAGTGAACATGCTCTGCTTCCAATTCCACTTCCTGCTAATACATACTTTGGGAGGCAGAAGGTGGCTTAAGTACTTAGGTTCCTGCGACTCACGTGAGACACCCAGATTGAGTTCCAGGGTCTTGGCTTCAGTCTGGCCCAGCCCTGGCTGTTGACTGGCATTAAAAAATATTCACTGATGGGGTGGGCATTTAGGCTAGTGGTTAACATGCTGGTTGGGATGCCCACTCCATACTAGGGTACCAAAGTTTATGCCTCAGCTCCACTTTTGATCCCAGCTTCCTGCTAATGTGTACCTTGGGAGGCAGCAAGTGATGGATCATGTGTCCCTACCATGTGGGAATCCTGGGTTGAGCTTTTGGCTCCCAACTTTGGTCCTGCTGGCTGTTGACTAAACAAGTTCAGAGTTGGTGAACTCAAGGGGCTTCCATAGCCTAGACAGCTCATAGCAAGAGTCTCGGGTGATTGCTGATGTCATAAATAAGAGTGCCGATTGTTAAATCAACAACGGGAGTCACTGAGTACAGGCTCCACATGTGGGATCTCTGTCCTTAATGTGTTTTACTATGAAACTTAAAAACAACACTACTAGTCGAACAATGCCCTATACCTTGTGCGGTTGTGTGAGTGCAGCCTGTTGAAATCCTTGCTTAGTGTATACTAAGTTGATCTTCTGTATATGAAGGTGATTGAAAATGAAACTCGGGCCAGCGCCGTGGCTCACTAGGCTAGTCCTCCGCCTTGCGGCGCCGACACACCGGGTTCTAGTCCTGGTCGGGCGCCGGATTCTGTCCCGGTTGCCCCTCTTCCAGGCCAGCTCTCTGCTGTGGCCAAGGAGTGCAGTGGAGGATGGCCCAAGTGCTTGGGCCCTGCACCCCGTGGGAGACCAGGAGAAGCACCTGGGTCCTGCCATCGGATCAGCGCGGTGCGCTGGCTGCAGCGCGCCGGCCGCGGCGGCCATTGGAGGGTGAACCAACAGCAAAAGGAAGACCTTTCTCTCTGTCTCTCTCTCTCTCACTGTCCACTCTGCCTGTCAAAAAAAAAAAAAAAAAAGAAACTCGATGAAGGGCGGGATGGGAGAGGGAGTGGGAGAGGGGAGGGCCGCGGGAGGGAGGGAGGTTGGAGTGGGGGAGCCACAACAATACAAAAGTTGCACTTTGTAAATTCACATTTATTAAATAAAAAAAAAGAACTTATGGGGAGGGGGGAAGCCATTGTAATTCATAAACTGTACTTTGGAAATTTATATTTATTAAATAAAAGTTAGAAAGCTGAAATAAACCAGGTTCATAAAATGGCTAGGAATGAGGAGTGATTTGCATAAGATATTATGATTCTTCTGCTATTAAACTGATTTTTTTCATTGTCCCCATGTCTCAGTAATGACTTAAGATTCCAAGGGGCTGGTGCTATGGTGTAGTAGGCAAAGCCGCCACCTGCAGTGCCGGCATCCCATATAGGCACTGGTTCTGGTCCTAGCTGCTCCTCTTCTGATCCAGCTCTCTCTGGCCTGGGAAAGCAGTAGAGGATGGCCCAAGTCCTTGGGCCCCTGCATCCGTGTGGGAGACCTGGAAGCAGCTCCAGGTTCCTGGATTCAGATTGGCCCAGCTCCGGCTGTTGTGGCCATTTGGGGAGTGAAGCAGCAGATGGAAGACTGACTCTCTCTCTCTCACTCTGTCTCTGCCTCTCTGGAACTCTGCTTTCCAAATAAATAAGTCTTAAAAAAAATATTCCAAAGTTCTGGTTGGAACCGTGTTTTACCTTAGATGACAGGGGTAGAAGGAGTATCCGGCTCTTTGTTTCTATAGTGAAATGATACTGTCCCTGTCCAGATTCTCACAGTGGTGAGAATAGGAAGGGTGCTTAAATGCTTGCTTGCAAAAAGTTTACAGCTGTCTGCTGAAACCCCAAATCTTAGACAGAGTTGAGATTGTGTTCTATTGCATGGATGGAGGTCTGGAGTCAGTGGATAATTGGATTAAATCAAGTTGTGGTTAAGCCCCGTGAGTATGATGGAGAGAGAGAGGAACAAGAGAGTTTGGGGTGTGTGCAAGTTTGTTTATGGTAGCCGGCCAAGTAATGTAAGCTGCTTAAGGTACTTAAGAGAGATAAGAAGAGGTACCCAGTGGGCAGAATTTCCACACAGGGGTAAGATGACCATTGGAGGATGAGTTTGGAAGGAGTTATAGTTAGATAGCATTGTTTGAGATTGTAGGTTTCAGTTACTGGTAATGATGAACTCAAGGTTACAAGCTTATAGTTTGTAAGCTTAAGTTGTAGCTGAGGCAGTGCAAAAGTCAAAGTCATCAGGATAGACAGCTGACAAACTCAGAGCCCACAATATTGGGAGGATCATCTTTGTGGGTATTTATCACCAAAAATGTAAGTGAAGTAGCATTGGGAGTGAGACAGGACCTAAAATCTTAAAGGAATGAGGAGGAATTGGGGAAACTACACAGTAGGTAACTTCAACAAGTACCCAGGTAGCTGATGGTCTTTTTTTATAGAGGAACTAGCAATTAGGACAAAGAACCCTATTCCTCCTCCAGGCGTAGTATGGGACATAGAGTGGCTGCCATTTGAGAGGGTTGCAGGGAAAGCAGTGTCTTCCAAAAAAAATTTTTTTTTTCTATATGATAAGAGTAACAGTCAGGGGCTAGCACTGTGGCACAATGGGTCGATGCCCCCTGCCTGCAGTGCCAGCATATGAACACAGGTTGAAGTCCTGGCTGCTCGACTTCCAGTCCAGCTCCTGCTGAGAAAGCAGCGGAAGATGGCCAGAGGCCTTGGGCCCTGCCATGCAGGTGGGAGACTTAGATGGAGTTCTAGGCTCCAGGCTCCTAGTTTCAACCTGGCCCAGCTCTGGCTGATAGGCCACACTCTGTCTCTTCCTCTGTGTAACTCTGCCTTTCACATAAAGTAGATCTCTAAAAAAAAGGCCATGAAACAGTTTGGAAGAGCATGGGTCATTTTAAAGAGAACAGCCATTATTTTGTATTGCCTTTGCAGATTCTGGCCAAGTATTGCAAGATTTTTTGATTTAAGACAAGATGGAATTGGGATTCTTGTGTGAAAAAGCTTAAAGTATTGGCTTTTTAAATACTTCATAGGCCCAATAAAACATGTATGCTTTAGCCATTCCAGTCATAATTTCGTGAACTCTGCTCTTTAAACATACAAACTACTATGGTATGTAATTGAAAGTTAAAAAAAACCTGTGATCACCGAGCCGGCTGCCTTGTTGGGCAGGTTTGGGAACAGGCTGCGCCTGTCGAGACCGCAGGTGTAACCAGAATGACTGTAAGCTGATCACAGCAGCATGTAAGCTCCTGGATCCTCATCACCGCTTGTTAATTGACTACTACATTATATCTTTCCTTTTTTTAAACTTTGAATTCTGATGAGGAGTTTTCCTTAAGGAGAAACACACTGAACTTTAAACTTCAAATAATAAAATAATGCTTCCTTTCATATAGAGGGAAGCCGGAAGGTTCTTCAAATTTCAAAAACTAGTAGTTAATTCTTAAATAAATGTTACTATTACAACATATTCTGTGTTTCTTCAGAACCTTTAGTTTTCCTTTGGTCCTAATTATGACCGAGAATTTATGGACTGAAGTAGAAATCTAAAGATGATGCTTGGCTCCGTATCATCTTGCGCAGAGCAGCAACCCCCACTAGGCTTAATTTCCTTATCTGTATAGCTGAGATTAAAATACACACCCTGCCTACTTCACAAGGTAGCTGTTGAGATCAAATGGAGATTGTGAAAAGCTGAAATCCTCATTTTGTATGAGTGCTTTGTCTTAGTAAGTTACTCAAATAATAAGAACTTTCCTGAAAGTCATTAGCTTGTCTCAGAAAACTTTTTAGATAGTACGTTAATTTATGTAAAATTTCAGAAACATCTTGAGTTTACGTGGATATATAATCCACCTCTAAAAGCAGCTTTCCTATTGAAAGATAACACTGTGGATAGTATTTGCGGGAGATAATGGCTAAAATATTCTCTTAGTTTTATAAGCTTTGGTTATACTGTGGTCAAAAATCTTGTTATTTTGGTGACATTTGACACTTTTTTTTTTTTTTTTGACAGGCAGAGTGGACAGTGAGAGAGAAACAGAGAGAAAGGTCTTCCTTTTCTGTTGGTTCACCCTCCAATGGCCGGCACGGCCGGCGCACCGCGCCTGTCCGAAGGCAGGAGCCAGGTGCTTCTCCTGGTCTCCCATGGGGTGCAGGGCCCAAGGACTTGGGCCATCCTCCACTGCACTCCCTGGCCACAGCAGAGAGCTGGCCTGGAAGAGGGGCAACCGGGACAGAATCCAGCGCCCTGACCAGGACTAGAACCTGGTGTGCCGGTGCCGCGAGGCGGAGGATTAGCCTACTGAGCCGCGGCACCGGCCATTTGACACTTTTTTTAAATTTTATTTTAAAAGAAGAGTTAGAGAGGCAGAGAGAGAGAGAGAGGTCTTCTATCCACTGGTTCACTCGCCAGAAGGCCACAATGGCCTGAGCTGTGCCAATCCAAAGCTGGGAGCCAGGAGCTTCTTCTGGGTCTCCCACGTGGGTGCAGGGGCCCAGGGACTTGGGTCATCTTCCACTGCTTTCCCAGGCCATAGCAGAGATCTGGATTGGAAGTGGAGCAGCTGGGTCTTGAACCAGTGCCCATATGGGATGCTGGTAATGCAGGTGGCGGCTTTATCTGCTACTCCACAGTGCCAGCCCCAATACATAGTTTCTTTAGGATCATCCATCACCTTCCCTCCCTGTCTCATCTTGTTTTCTGAGAGTTAACAATCAACACCTGAGTTTTATATTATGAGTCTTTTCTAGCAGCATTTATTTATTTTGACAGGCAGAGTTAGTGAGAGAGAAAGAGACAGAGAGAAAGGTCTTCCTTCTGTTGGTTCACCCCGCAAATGGCCTCCACGGCCGGTGCGCTGCGCTGGTCCGAAGCCAGGAGCCAGATGCTTCCCATGTGGGTGCAGGGCCCAAGCACTTGGGCCATCCTCCACTGCCCTCCCGGGCCACAGCAGAGGGCTGGCCTGGAAGAGGGGCAACCGGGACAGAATCTGGCGCCCCGACCGGGACTAGAACCCGGTGTGCCGGCGCCACAGGTGGAGGATTAGCCTAGTGAGCTGCGGTGCCGGCCATCTAGCAGCATTTAATACATCACTCAAAAGAACAAGTCTTAACTGAGAAATACAGGATACTTCATTTTCACAGTAATTTTAAGTCCCAGTAATGAAAACTATAATAAGACAGCTTTCTCAAAGGAAGTTAACATTGATGAATCCAGTGCAGTTTTGAATTTGAGATGAAAAAAAAATCTTGTCACATCCAACTGGACTGTCTCGTCTTAGTCTGTGTCTTTGGAAAGAGTTACTCCTTTTTATTAGTTGTATGGTTGTTATGCAGCCATGGAAGGAAAAAGCTGAACATCAAGATCATCAGCAATATTCCTGAAAGACAAAATACAGTAAAAACAATCTATAAAGAAATTCATAATCACTAATTAGGTATAATTTAAGATTATTGACATTTACATACCCCCAGAGATTTGGAAAGTTATGCTTAAAGAATTATGTCAATTCTACATGAAACATGATAGATATTTTAATATAAATTCCTAAAAACAATATATAGTAAAACCAGTAGAATCTAAATCATGAATGCAAAGGACAAATAAGATCCTAAGACTTAAAGTTTTTTTTAAAGATTTACTTATTTGAAAGAGTTGTAGAGAGAGGTAGAGACAGAGAAATATTGTCTATCTGCTAGTTTTACTCCCCAGATGGCCACATGGCCAGGGCTGGGCCAAGTTAAAGCCAGGAGCCAGGATCATCTTCTATGTCCCCCGTGTTGGGTAGCTGGGGTCCAGGCACTTGGGTCATACTCTGCTGCTTTTCCCAGGCAATTATCAGGGAGCTGGATCAGAAGTGGAGCAGCTGGGACATGAACCGGTGCCCATACAGGACGCCGGCATTGTAGGCAGCTGTTTTACCCACTATGCCACAATGCTGGCCTTTAAACATTTATTAAAGTTTTAATTCTGGCTCCATTACTGTCTTGCTCAGTGAGAAAACCTGAACTTGAGTCTCTGCTTCTTTCTCAACAGGGTAACAACACTTCCTGTCCCTCTCTGTACCAGTATGTCCCCAGAGAATAAAGTACTGAGAACACTTTTGAGTTTTCTTTGGAATCCTCAAATAACAATATTAGATTACTTTCTTCCTTATCTCATTTTTAAATCAATTTCGGTCATTAACAGCTTTTAAGATCTATCAAGCAAAATATTTAAAACATTTTAGTAAGCTGAAATTTTAAATCTTAAGTATGTTTAAAATTTCACTAATTAGTAAATCTTCATTTCTTTTTTTGTTTGTGTTTTTGTTTTAGTTTTTGACAGGCAGAGTGGACAGTGAGAGAGAGAGACAGAGAGAAAGGTCTTCCTTTGCCGTTGGTTCACCCTCCAATGGCCGCCGAGGCCGGTGTGCTGCGGCCGGCGCACCGCGCTGATCCGAAGGCAGGAGCCAGGTGCTTCTCCTGGTCTCCCATGGGGTGCAGGGCCCAAGGACTTGGGCCATCCTCCACTGCACTCCCAGGCCACAGCAGAGAGCTGGCCTGGAAGAGGGGCAACCGGGACAGAAGCCGGCGCCCCAACCGGGACTAGAACCCGGTGTGCCGGCGCCGGAGGCAGATGATTAGCTTATTGAGCTGCGGCGCCGGCCAGTAAATCTTCATTTCTGAGACTGCACTACACCAGACAAATCTAGCGTGTAGCTGCTTGTTAATTTTTCAATGTGAAATAGGGATACACCGGCCGTGGCGGCCATTTGCGGCATTTGCGGAGTGAACCAACAGAAGGAAGACCTTTCTCTCTGTCTCTCTAACTCTGCCTGTCAAAATAAATAAATAAATAAATGCTGCTAGAAAAGACTCATAACATAAAACTCAGGTGTTGATTGTTAACTCTCAGAAAACAAGATGAGACAGGGAGGGAAGGTGATGGATGATCCTAAAGAAATACATTCTTCATGTATTTAAAGTTCTAGGTAGGTCAGTTTAAATTCAGATTAAGAATCGGTTTGGGGCAAGGAGGGTGTTTGGCACAGCAGTTAAGAAGCCACTGTGATGGCCACATCTCATATCAGAGTGCCTGGGTTCAATTACTCTGTTCCAATTCTAGCTTCTTACTAACAAATACCCTGGGAGGCAGGCAATGATAGCTTGAGTATTTGAGTCCATGCTGCCCATGTGGGAGACCTGGACTAAGTTCTGGTCTCCTGGCTTGGTCCTGGCCCACTCTGTCTGCTGTTTGAGGAGTGACCCAGCAGATAAAAGATCTCTTTCTGTCTCTGCCTTTCAAAATAAAATGAAATAAGATTTATTTGAAAGAGCTAGGAGAAATCTTTCATCTGCTGGTTCACTCCCAAGATGACTACAGTGGTCAGGGCTGGGCCAGTCAGGAGCCCAAGCACTGGGGCTACTGTTCCCTCCTCTTCCCAAGCCATTAGCAGGGAACTGGACTGGAAGTAGAGCAGCTAGGACATGAACCGGCATCCATATGGGATGCCAGTGTCACAGGCAGTGGCTTTACCTGCTGTGCCACAACACTGGCCCCTTCTCCCCAAAAAATAAATAGTTAAGTGAGTTTTTGTCATATGGAGATTTAGAATTACTTTACTTTTGTTTGACAGAAACTTTTAAGATTTGGCTAGCTTTTGTATAGCAAGATTTTTAAAAGATGAATCTGTAACCAGTGACTTTAAATGGAAAAGAAAATCAGAAGCAATCCCTGTAACCGCCAATTTTGTCTTTTTCTTTATAAAATATTACATTTTCTTTTTTTTTCTTTTTTTAATTAAAAAAATTTTTTTTGACAGGCAGAGTGGACAGTGAGAGAGAGAGAGAGAGAGAGAGAGAAAGGTCTTCCTTTGCTGTTGGTTCACCCTCCATTGGCCATTGCGGTCGGCGCACCGCGCTGATCCGATGGCAGGAGCCAGGAGCCAGGTGCTTTTCCTGGTCTCCCATGGGGTGCAGGGCCCAAGCACCTGGGCTATCCTCCACTGCACTCCCTGGCCACAGCAGAGGGCTGGCCTGGAAGAGGGGCAACCGGGACTGGAATCCAGTGTGCCTGTGCCACAAGGTGAAGAATTAGCCTAGTGAGCCGCGGTGCCGGCCCAAGATATTACATTTTAAAAACCTTTTTCAAAAATGGAATTGCAGTTCCATAAAAGCAAATTTGCCAGTTTTCATTATATGAAATATATGAATTAGAGAATTTGGGAAGATGGCAGGAGCTATTAGAGGAATGATAATTCTCTGCTGTGATAAAAAATCATGAAAAAGAACAAGGACGATGACTCTCAAAAATAGTTTGTTCCCCCACTTGTTCAAGAAGGGGCAGGTGTTTACACTCGTTTTCGAAATGCCCTTGTCCCACATCAGAGTGCCTGGGCTCAGTACCTAGCTTTGGCTCCTGACTCCAGCTTCCTGCGGAGGCAGACCCTGGGAGGCAGCAGTGATGTGTTGACTCAAGTACTTGGGTTCTTGCCACCTATGTTGGAGACCTGAATTGAGTTCCAGGCTCCTGGCTTCAGCCTAACCCAGTCCCAGCCATTGCAGGCATCTGAGGGGTGCACCAGCAGATGGGAGCTCCCTATTGCATCCTCTCTTTCTCTAATAAATTAGAAAGGGGAAGAAGGTGGATATTTGGGGATTCTTTCTTCCATCTCACTCTGTGCTATTGCCTAATGTAGCTTTGACAGTGGGTTTTTGTTTTGTTTTGCTTGTCTCTTAATTCTATAAGTAACTCTTGTAAATGATAATTTCTTATTTTTCTATTCTTAGAGCTTAATTGTGAGTTTATTTCATTTGGAGCCTTTTTACCCCAATGGGAATATAACTTCAGTAAATGACAATTCTAAAAACTGCCATATTTATTGAAAGATGGCTTTACTGTTTCACATTCATAAGACTCATAAAGAAGTATAGGAACATACCTCTTTTTTTTTTTTTTTTTTTTTAAGGGAAAGGGTTTGTTGGGGGAAACCTAACAGACTGGAGGGAAGGGGCAAAGAAGGAAAAAGAGGGAGAAGGAGAGCATAAGGGGGGGGGGGAGAGAGAAGGAGATGGAGAGAAAGAGAAGGAACATCTCTCTTTAAACCAAAAGATAGAAAAATTTTTGTCAGTTCTGTTAAGAAAAAAGGAACAGTAGTTGTGGCCAAGTGATTTAGGCCACTGCCTATGCTGCTTCCAGTCCAGCTCCCTGCTGATGTGTATGGGAAGGCAGCAGAAGAAAGCCCAAGGAATTGGGCCCCTGTCACTCACATAGGAGACCTGGGTGGAATTCCTGGCTCCTGGCTTTGGCTTGCCCCAGCCCTGGCTGTTGAGGCCCCTGGGAAGTGAACCAGCAAATAGAAAAAAAAATCTCTCTGCACATAACTGCCTTTCAAACAAATAAATGAATCTTTTTAAAAAAAGATAAAAGCTACAAGTTCTGAGGCTAACTAAGAATCTTTTTAATGCTTATTTTTAACAAGGTAGAAAGGGTTATATGTAATTCAAAAAAAGTTTGATCCCAATTCTTTTTTTTTTTTTTAAGGTTTATTTATTATTTATTTGAGAGGCAAAAGCAGAGAGAGAGAGAGAGGTCTTCCATCTACTGGTTCACTTCACAAATGGCTGCAACAGCTGGAGCTGGGCTGATCCAAAGCCAGGAGTCAGGAGCTTTTTCCAGGTCTTCCATGTGGGTGCAGGGGCCCAGGGACTTGAGCCATCTTCTACCGCTTTCCCGGGCCACAGCAGAGAGCTGGATTGGAAGTGAAGCAGTGGAGACTCAAACTGGTGCCCATATGGGATGCTAGCACTGCAGGCAGCGGCTTTACCCACAATGCCACAGCGCCAGCACCCATCCCAATTGTACTGGTGAGAAATTCCTTGGTGGCTGGTGCTGTCTCTGCTGCTCCACTTCCAATTTAGCTCCCTGCTAATATGCCTGGGAAAGCGGTGGAGGATGGCCCAAGTCGCCTGCACCCATCCTGCATGGGAGACCTGGATGAAACCTCTAGCTCCTGGCTTCAGCCTGGCACAGTTCCAGCTGTTGTGGCCATCTGGATGGCCATCTCTCTGCCTGTACCTCTTTAACTCTGCCTTTCAAATAAACAAACAAAAAAATAAATAAGAATATATGTTGGTTTCAAATAAGACGTACTGAGAAAATTTTTTCAAATTAAAAACTACCAGTAGTCTGGTCCAAAATAACTTCGTTTAGGCCGGCACTGCGGTGTAGTGGGTAAAGCTGCTGCCTGCAGTGCTAGTATCCCCCATGGGCACCTGTCTCTCTCTCTCTGCCTCTACCTCTCTGTAACTTTGCCTTTCAAATAAATATATAAATCTTTAAAAAAAAAAAAGAAAAAACCTTCTTTAACTTCAATGATCTTTTTTAACTTCTTAAAAATAAAAAATAAAAATTTTTAAAAGAAAAACTACCAATATGTAAAAATCAGAGGGGAAAAAAGCCACTATTACCAGCATTTTAAAATGTAGGTTTAGGGGCCGGCACTGTGGCTCACTTGGTTAATCCTCCGCCTGCAGTGTCAGCATCCCATATGGGTGCCGGGTTCTAGTCCCGGTTGCTCCTCTTCCAGGCCAGCTCTCTGCTGTGGCCCGGGAGGGCAGTGGAGAATGGCCGAAGTGCTTGGGCCCTGCACCCACATGGGAGACCGGGAGGAAGCACCTGGCTCCTGGCTTCAGATGGGCGCAGTGCCAGCTGTAGTGGCCATTTGGGGAGTGAACCAATGGAAGGAAGACCTTTCTCTCTCTCTTTCTCACTGTCTATAACTCTACTTGTCAAATAAAAAATAAAATAAAATGTAGGTTGTATGATACTCTTCATATTTAGGCCTGGAGACATACTAAGCATAATACACACTAAATGTAAGATAAAGAAAGAGAAGATGAGGGGAGGAATAAAGCCCATTCAAAACAGCTGTGCCAATGCTCCTTCTACATGTGCTTTTTTTTCCCCAATAAGAAATGAATGAAAAAACACAGTGCTAATAACAGAAAGAAGGGGGAAGTAGTGGAGGGGCAGGCTTATATTCATTTTATAATGAATAAGGCCTCATATTCATTTACAGTAGTGAGTTTAGGGCTTAAGATGTATAAATAAACAAAACCAAAAAATGCCAATAACTTAAGGAAACACATAATATGCTTATAATTACCATATAATTTTTTCGTGTTATTTGACTCATCTTTATAGAATATTTTTACATATCTGATCCAGTTAGAAATAACAGGAATGGAAACTGGATAATTTAAAAACTGTTTACTTCAGGTACTCATTGGTTCATGAGAGGCTTTTGTGCAGAATGAGTCAAGTGAACTAAAGACATTTTATCTGGAACTCACAAATTTGATTTTAAAAAACTAGCAAAAATGATTATTATTATATCACTTTCTTTGCTTTCTTATCTCTAAGTATCTTAAAGTGATATCATACCTTGAGCTGACTGCCCTTCCCTAGATAATTTTGTTTCTTAGAAGATAAAAAGTTTTATAGGACACTGCACAAAATACTATTTCAGGCATGCTAACCACCTTTTTCATTTTCTTTTTTGACCTGCTCTAGCTTTGGAAATTGACATGGTACAGTGACATTCCATATCATATTTTAAAATACTCTAATCTGTTAGACATATTAAATAAAAATATGCTTACCTAAAGAAGGAGCCAGCCAATATACTATAAAAAATTGAGGGAATGCTTCATCAAAACATGAAAAATGTAGTGAAAGTGCCAAAGCTGGATTAAATACAGCTCCCGTTAGACTTCCTCCTGTAATACATTTTAAACAAAGTGACTCCAAAGGATATAGCTTACATTTTCATTGAACTAGAAATGAATTGGTTATTAAATATAATTTTTATTTTAGATATTTAAGTATTCTATGCTCTTCCTTTGCAGAATTGCCAGAGTTTAATGATAGATTATAGATTAGAATATGCCAAGGACACAACAGAAAAAAGACGACATTAAGGTTTTTTAGCTTGGTGATTCTCCTATATACTTTAAAATACATATTGAAAGCAACTATGTTCTATTATTGTTCCCACAGTTTTCTAAATTAGATCCGGCTGCTGTTAACATTTATCAATTTAAATGAACAAATAATAATAAAAATAAAATGAAAAGAGGGTTAAAATATAGTATCCTAGAATCCTCCTGGCATTAGCATATCTTTATATTGAAAACAAAAGTAAAAGGACCAAAGCATTTTCGCTAGTTCTGTTTTTGACAACAGAGCCCTTAAGAAGTACAACTCAATAAAGTGGTTGTAAAAAGTTAAAAGCAGTGACTGAGTACTCATGAAAAATAAACACAAATTTTAACTATTACCTACTCTTTAGGATTGATGTCCTGGCTCTAGGGTAATCCTGACATGGGCCTAGAATTTTATAGTTCTGGCAGGTAAGGAAAGGCAGAGGAGGCTGGATGACTGTCCAGCAGTACTCAGCCGACCTGGGGCTCTGCTTTTCAAACTATAAGGCTAGGTACAAACATCTGCCCCATTATCAGTCACAGAGATAGACCCAAGATCTTAACAAGTTCAATGTACACTTATAGCATGTTGTCTTCATAAAATACAGTAAAGTAAAATTGGACATCAAATGACCCTTTTGCAAGATTTCACTGATGAGGTTTCATACTTGATAGGTGAAGAACAATGTAGCTGTGTGGAGAGGAAGATATTGAGCAATGGACTTAGCTCACTCTGTGGCTAAGAGTTTTTTCCCAAAATACAGGCCTCACAGCATGATTCATATGTGTGCTCTGGCAACCATTAAGTGACATCACCTCATGGACCTTCAAAATCATTCTTGAATGGTCAAGTCCTGGAATGTTAAACCTGCAGCTGCCAGAGGTCAACAGAATTGTTTGCTTGGCAGCTGGTCATTGCAGTTCAATGCCACAAAAACGACTGAGTTCCTGTGTACTAGACACCACGGGCAGAACGATAAGGACTCACACAGATTTACAATCTAATGTACTGTGACCTGTGACTTCAGGTGTTTGTCAGAAAAAAGGGACTCAACCACTGGCCTCGTAGTTTACTTCAGTATCGTAGGCCAGGGTACACTGAAGATTCTCCATCAGGTCTAAGATGAACAGTATCAGCCTTAGACCATCCTAAAACTGCTGCACTTCCTCATCCTGCCGGTTCTGCTCAGTGGGACTTGGTGGGAGCTGTTCCTCCTACACCAGAGGTAGAGTTTGTTTTCTCTCTCTATAATATGACCTGGCTTTGTGACTTGTGTTGACAGAATGTAGCAGACCCGACACTGAATTCTAGGTACAAGTCTCAATAAACCCATCAGTTAGTTTCCACTTTTTGCTCTCTTGGAACAATGCTGAGACCATGTAAGTAAGCTGCTGTCGGTTGCTGGAGGACGAGAGGCCATGTGGAGAACCAAGGCTCCCATGTAACAGCTGGCACTAACTGCTAGACATATGAGTGAGGGACCTTGGCTCTTCCAGTCCCACTGCTGTCCCGCTGAATGCAACTTCATGGGTGATCTCAGAGGAACTGTCCATTTAACCCATGGAATCATGAAAAATAATAAATTGTTATTTTATGTTTTGTTACAACATTTATAGTTAACTGATACAGAAGCTTGTTTCAGGCATGAGTTCTGTGTTACTGAAAACCCAAAATATGATATTAGCTTTACTGTTTTATTGAATAAGTCTGTTGTGGGGACCTAGCCTATGGTTCACAGCACCCCTGGCCCCTAACCACTAGATGCCAGAAGCACACCCTGTCCCTACATTATTAACAGTCCACTGTCCCAAAGAAACACTCGTACTTATATGTAAGAAGATCTATACAGAGTTGTTTATATAGTCACAAGGAACTAGGAAAAACTTCAGTGTCCATTCACAGAAAAACAGCTAACTAAACAAGTATATTGCTACTTTGGAATATCATGCAGTACTTTTGAAATACTGAGAGAAATATCTTTATTAACAAAGACCTCCGAGATATCTCATTGAACAACCACCACCAAAAAAAGCAAACTGCAGTGAGTAAGGGATGATACTTTTTGTAGTAACTCAAAAGAACACATATGAGGGTACTTCAGAAGCATAGAAAATGATATAAAAGAAGTTCATGTGTCGATTTATTGTAACATGTTTTTCTTGAAGTTTTTGAAGACCCCTCATGTGTATCAATATGATTTTTACAAGGTCTTATTATATGTATAATAGGTGCACATGGAGTTTGGAAGGACATGACACATACCACATGCAAGAAGAATTACCCTTAGTGGGCAGAGGAGGCAAGAAAGGAGGGGGCTGGGCATGCAGGGTGGCAATCAAAAGGTACCTCAGTTTTTCACAAAGAGAACCGACTAATGTATAACTAAACATGATGTTCTAAGAGTCCGCAGGCACAAAACTACCCGGAAATGGCTTCAGCAAGCAAATTACTATCTATTGACATTTAAAGGGAAGACACCATAATAGTGCATGTTGAAGGAGAGGGATCACAGAGAGACCCAGCTGGCTGGTTGCCAGGACAGCATTAACCTGGTGAAATTACCACAGCTAAAGGCTTTGGTACTCCAATCTGCTGCTTCTAGACACTAATGTTTCTTAATATTCCTAAGGAGAATCACATTCTGGGTGACAGAAGATTAGTAGCTAAAATCCCCTAAGACTCGTGTATTAAGTTACCAATTTGTGGTGGAAGATAACCAACCCTTTTCAATAACCAGAATGTTTGTCTTCGCTCTCTAGGGTGCCCATTTCCTGGTTAAGTGGCCCCCCTGGAAAGCCACATCCATCATCAGAAGTTATTTGGTGAGCATGTAATCAAAGCAAAAGCAGAGTTGCCAGGCCATGGTGAATCTGATAAAACATCACTATCTCTAAGGAGAAGTCTGCTTGTTTTCCCCAGATTCAATCTCTATCCCACTCCCCTTGGATAACCTTGGGCAGATGCTTTTAAATGCATTTCCGAACACTTTACTTCTCATTGCTGGTTTACAGTCTATGATAAGCTAATGGTACTGAACTAGCTGTTTTTAGAGTAGTTATTCTGGTAGACCTGGAAGAAAGATGTTAGACTGTTTTCAGATGTTGGAGGGAACACTTAGGAATTTACGTAAAAAAAAAAGCAATTAACCTTGACTTCTATTTGGAACAACTGTGTTCCAAAACTGTGACTTAAATCCGTAAAAAAAATCCTGGGGAGTGATATGGCTTAGTGCACCATTTCCCAGAGCAATTCCTTTCTGAATGCTCCTAGAAAAAAGGGTCTCAGAGTTTGAAAATCTGTGTGCCACATCCTCTTGGAATCTCACACTATACAGAGGACAGTCACGGTTCTGTGAGTGGGACCTTAAAATTACTAAATGTGTTTAATCCAGTGTTTCCCAAACTTACCTAGCAACAGGATCCTTTTGTAAGTAAAGCATTTTTCACTTGTAAAATGTATAATATTAAATAATGGCATCCAGTGATCTTTATTTTCACAATGCTGTTTGACCAGCAATATCTATGTGGGGCTTCGAAGAGTTCATGGACAATATGTATTATGAAAAACTGTGTGCATTTCCTTTTTTTTTTTTTTAAGATTTATTTATTTTTTTTGAAAGAGTTATGTAGAGAGAGAGGAAGATAGAGAGATCTTCCAACTGCAGGTTCATTCCCCGAATGGCTGTAACAGCCAGGAATGGGCTGAAGCCAGAGGAGTCATGCACTTTTATTTTATAGATCAAAATAAACTTTTGGTTACATTTTAGATGAGCGTTTTGAAGTACCTTTGTATTTCCAAAAACTTTGTATCAACACAAACAGAAACTCTGTACCCTTTAAGTAAAAGTTCCCATTCCTCCCTCCTCTCCAGTCCCTATGAATTCTATTCTACTTTCTGACTTTCTTAATTTGGCCATTGCATATATTTCATACAGCTTTTCTGCTATAAAAACAGGTACAAAGAGGGGCCAGCACAGTAGGTTAATCCTCTGCCTGTGGCGACGGCATCCCATGTGGGCGCTAGTCCCGGCTGCCCCTCTTTCAGTCCAGCTCTCTGCTGTGGCCTGGGAAAGCAGTGGAGGATGGCCCAAGTGCTTGGGCCCCTGCACCCCATGGGAGACCAGGAAGAAGCACCTGGCTCCTGGCTTCGGATCAACGCACCTCCGACTGTTGCGGCCATTTGGGGAGTGAACCAACGGAAGGAAGACCTTTCTGTCTTTCCCTCTCACTGTCTGTAACTCTACCTCTCAAATAAACAAACAAATAAAAACAGGTACAAAGAAAACCAACTTCAAGATAATCAACAGAGGAAGGAGGGACATAGGTATGTTTTATTATTTCAAAAAAAAATCTTGAGGGCAGGTGTTGTGGCTCTGCGTTAAACCACTGCTTGGGACACCCACATCCCACATCTGAGTGCTGGTTGAGCCCCAGCTATTCTACTTCCAATCCAACTTCCTGCTAATGTGCTGGGAGGCAAAGATGATTGCGGAAGCACTTGGGTTTCTGCCACCCATGGGGAAGACCCAGATAGAGCACCTGGCTCCTGGCTTCAGCCTGACTGTGCATTGGGTGTTGCCAATAACCATCTCTCCCTTCCCCATTTAACTCCCTCTCCTCCCACCCCCAGTATCTCTCTCCCTTTCCCTGCTCCCATCACACTTCATTGTCAGCATCATCAGTGTGCTCCTCCAAAGTTACAAAAGCATACCCAGTAGTCAGCTACTCAAAGGAATGAATTTCGGGATGAATCTTGAAAATATTAAACTAAGCAAGACACAAAGAACAAATATGGTATGACTCCACTTATATGAAATGCTTGTTTACTAAAGGTTATGGCTAAAGCAGAAATACTCCTTTTATATGCAAAAGTAGTTATGCCACCATTCAGCCCTGTATACAATAAAAATTTGAATTTTTTTTATTTTTGTGGCTTATTTATTTGAAAGGCAGAGTGATAAAGAAAGAGGGAGAGGCCTGCGCTGTGGTTCAACAGGCTAATCCTCCACCTAATGGCGAAAACACACCGGGTTCTAGTCCCGGTCAGGCGCCAGATTCTGTCCTGGTTGCCCCTCTTCCAGGCCAGCTCTCTGCTGTGGCCAGGGAGTGCAGTGGAGGATGGCCCAAGTGCTTGGGCCCTGCACCCCATGGGAGACCAGGAGAAGCACCTGGCTCCTGCCTTCGGACCAGCGCGGTGCACCGGCCGCGGCAGCCATTGGAGGGTGAAATAATGGCAAAGGAAGACCTTTCTCTCTGTCTCTCTCTCTCACTGTCCACTCTGCCTGGAAAGAAAAGAAAGAAAAGAAAGAAAAGAAAAGAAAAGAAAAGAAAGAAAGAAAGAAAGAAAGAGAAAGAAAGAAAAAGAAAGGAAGGAAGGAAGGAAAGAAAGAAAGAAAGAAAGAAAGAAAGAAAGAAAGAAAGAAAGAAAGAAAGAAAGAAAGAAAGAAAGAAAGAAAGAAAGAAAGAGGGAGAGACATAGAGAGCTTCCATGGGCTGGTTCACTCCTCAAATGCCTGCAATTTCAATTTACATCCAGAACAGGTAAGTTTAGAAAGCTTCCCACGTGCTTCTAAAGCAGACAGAATGTCGGCACCCACTGCTCTAGTGCTCTCTTTGCTTTCTCCCTCTCCTCCATCCATCAGTACCCACATTCCAAAAAAGAAAGAAAAAAAAAAAAAAAAAAACCAGTGTTTTGGATCCCTTAAATCGATATTTACAAGTTCTTTCCAAGAGTGTTCCTTACATTTATCTATAACTTCAATATTGTTTCTCATCTCAGAATTGTTGTCACATGAAATAGGGACATAAACATATAATATATAAAGTATTATTTACAGAATCATAGCTAGTAAAAGAATAAGGACAGACTCGTGAACTTCAGAATAGTTCTTTTTAAATATCGCAATTTTTTACTGCCTTTCATTGTATAAATACAGAGATAAACTGGCATAACTGTTTCTGACAGGGGTGATTCTCCTCATAGGATATTTCTGCTTTAGCCAAAACTTTTAGTAAATAAGCAACTATTCACCAACCCTTCAAATGTCCCTCTCTCCTATACCATTTATTTTCATCTGCGTTTATTTAAAATAAATGAGAAGGGATAATAGATTGGGAAGTCTCATTTCTACAGCCGCTTATGCCTAGGACTTGCTCCTACTCACAGTTTTACTTTTAATGGGCAGAAGACAGACTATTACTGCAAATGTCCTGCCTCCAAAAGACTTCATAACTCAGATTCAGTCCCAGTAAAGACACACTGTTGTAACCATTTTAAATAATATATCATTAAGCACTTTTTCTGTTTCCTTGTCCCATGTAGAATATCTTCATTACCCACTGCATCTGAGATCTGTCGAGGTAAAGAAATCGTTTAAAAAGAAATCCACCCATTTCTGCAGTTACTTGTTTTTTAAAAAGTATTTTAATTTTAAGCATGTTTTAACTTTACGCATTTCTTGGTAGGCTATTTAAAAGTTAACATAACTCAGAACGAATTATTAAGGAAATAAGAAATGGCATTAAGGAAATAAGAAATGGCTTTAAGTAATTTGTAGAGAAAGACTACAAAACTGAACTACAGAATTTCTGCTCCCTGCTCGTATTACTAGCCAATCACCTGCCTTGTGCTTTCAATTGGAAGGAACTTTTTAAACCCAGGATCCTCTTTCAGTGAGAGTGTCTGAAAGGAGCTATAGCACCTTGGCAGGAAGAAAGAGGTAACTGAGAAGTTACCCTTTTCTCTCTCACATTCAAACCATCCCTCTGTAGGCTATGTGAACCCTTGGCAACCTCTCAGGAGATCTGTTTCAGCTCAGACGTATCTCTGAGGGTTCAAATGAGGGCTGTGTGGGCTCCTTGAGCTAATAATGGGCTGCGAAATGGGGATACCAATGTCTGCAACACGGTGGAGGAGGGGTTCAAATGTGTCTGATAAAGCACTCAGAGCCTCAGAACAAAGCGTTCCCCAGACGTGCCAAGTGTTTGGTGGGAAGGACAAACCTGCATAGACCAGAAAAGTGATGAGCGCAGCCAGCAGGTGGATACGGAGTTTGGACCGGACTTCCTGCGAGTGCAGCAGAGCGCTGTGGAAGATAAAGGAGCAGATGGCCTCTGAGGTGACAGCTTTAGGCAAGTCGACGTGGATGGGATGCTTGCAAGCCAGGCTCCTCTCGCTGAAGTGATACTTGGCCAGCCCCAGGCTCCACAGGGCGCCTATGCAGTACCTGCTGGCTAGAGCGCCAAGCAGTTGAGCCAACAGCCTCACCGCACCCATCTCTGGGGACATTTCCCCCAGCAGCATCTGCATCAAAACGCCGCACGGGTTGCAGGAGGTGCCCACCAGAGTCAGGCCGTGCACCAGCGAGAAGAAGTAGATTAGCGTTAGCGTCCAGGTTGGGTGTGCGGGGTCGTGCTCGCTCAGCAGTTGCAGCTCGTGTGTGCAGCAGCAAAGCTGGAAGGTGGCTATAAACTCCAGCACGAAGCCGTGGGCCGTGGGTTTGTGCAGCTGCTGCCGGGCGACCACGCGGGCCAACCCCACGAATAGCACGGTCGACAGCATAAGGCCCAGCGAGGTGCAAGTGTCCCGCACCTCGGGCCAGAGACCCAGCAGCGCCGACATGGCTTCTCCGTTTGCCTGGCCAGGTTGCCTGCTGCGGCTGGCAGGGAGGCGGTCCAGGCGCCGGAATCCAAAGTCCGCAGCCCCGCCCCCTCCTCACGCCCCTCGGGGCGGGTCGATTGGCGGCGGGGCGTCACGCTGGCAGGTTCCTCCCCCGCTCCCCGGCTCGGTGCTGGGGTGTTGGGACCCGAGCCGGGACCGAGCCGGGGAGGAGGGGAGGCGAGGAGAGGGGGCCAACGGTCAGCCCAGCCAGACACAAACACGCCCTCCACCGCCTCCCTTAGCGACTGGAAGCGGACGCGGGTGGGGCAAAGCGCGGAGGCACGCCGTGCGGCCGCGGGCCACTGCGCACGCGCACTGTGGTCCGTGCGCCCGGGGGCGGGGAGGGGGAGCGGCCAGATCTGGATCCGAGGACCGCGGGCTTGGCGGGAAAGCGCTCTCCGGTTGACCCCAAACGTGAAACTAGAACTGTTGAGCCGCGAAGGTCCCTCAAAGTTTTCTTAATGGGGCGCTGGGGTTGAAGAGACGGCCGTTCAGCGCCAAGGACGGAGGTGGTTTAGTGAGAGCAGAGTTGGAAAACCAAGGTTTGACCTGTGTAAGGAAGGGCGTGCCCCAGGGGCTCTTTGAGCCTTAGTTTTCTTCTGACTAAAAGAAATTGTAATGGTAAAGTATGCGTGGAGTGTGCCATTTTAACTATTTGTTAAAGTATTCATTTGAGAGACAGCCTCTGTCTACTGGTCAACTCCCCAAATGCTGGCCATGAATTAGGCACAGAGGCGGAAGCCAGGAATTCAATCCAGGCCTCCCATCAGAGTGGCCAGTCCCAACTACCTGAGCCAAAATGCACTGCCTCCCTGGGTCTGCGTTAGCAAGAAGCTGGAATCTGGAACCCAGGTAACCCAGGTAGTCCAAAGTGCAACTTTGCTGTCTTACTGTATAGACCCAACACCACCCCCATTTCAACTATTTTTAGTGTGTAATTCAGTGTTGTTAATTACGTTCACCTTGTTCAACTGCCATCAGTAAGTCTTGAATTTGGTGATTTTTTTAAAAGATTGTTTGAAAGGCATGAATTGTTTAAATATAATAATTTAAAAGTTAATATATGCAACCGCATCCCATGTAGGAAGGAAGCACAAAGCACAACTCTGGGAAATCTTGATCTGCTGTGGCACACGTGACCCACTCGTGATTTGTTTTTAAAAACAAACCTTTAGCACAGAGCCTCGCACATAAGAAGTGTCAATAAGTGGTAGCATGAAGCTGGAACAGGAGATTTCGGGAGCCCAAGTCCATTGTCTCCACCCCACTCCCAGCAGCTCTCTTGCCTTGGGGGGTGGCCCACTGTGGGTGCAAAGTGGAAAATCATGTCTGGCATAACCTCAGACTTTGCACCTAGCAAGGAATGGTATCCTGGTTTCGTTGGAGTTCCAGACGCCTCAGCCCTCTTCATTTTCTGCTCTGCCTCCACCTGGCTCTACTGACCAAAGTCCACACTTAACAGAGCTGGAGGGGGAAGGAGAGAGGAAGGAAGGTGAAGGGAATAATTAGTGCTTCAAGTGATAGAACACCTGTAAGGTCTTTTTTTAAAAATATTTATTCATTTATTTTGAAAGAGTTGGAGAGACAGGGAGAGAGAGAGAGATATCTTCCATCTGCTGGTTCACTCCCCAAATGGTCACAATAACCAACACTAGGCCACACCAAAGCCAGGAGTCAGGAGCCTCTTCCTGGTCTCCTACATGGGTGCAGGGGCCAAAGCCCTTGCACTATCCTCTGCTGCTTTCCCAGGCACATTAACGGGGTACTGGATTGGAAGTGGAGCAGCTGGGACTCAACAGGCGCCATATGGGTTGCTGGCATCACAGGCGGCAGCTTAACCCTTACACCACAACGTTGGCCCCTAGGACTATATTTCTAAGTGGCTCCAGGAGTCATCCAGAGAGACGTGAGAGACACCAACATTGCCCAGTTCCCAGGCCTGGTTCAAGGGTGGTGATTCATTGCCAGAAAGGAGAGGGGGCTGGTGAATAGAGCAAGTTCTCTGCCATTTAGATCACTTTCCAGACCAGCCCCCAAGGATGCATGCGTGTCTGGAGTCAACCAAATAGAAACATCCATTCAGAGGAATACTGTTAGTATTAAGGGATGAGCTGTTCACAGTAGCCAAAGGTGGAAGCAGCCCAAGCTGTCAAAAGTCAGGGGGCGGATGACAAAAAACCTTAATATGCATTTCTCCAAAGAATATATAGAAGTAACCTGTAGGTACTTGAAAAGATGCTCAAGAACTCTTTAGGACAATGCAAATCAAAATCATGAGATACCAACCACTTCATACCCATTTAGGATGGCTATTATCAGTATCAACAAGGCAATGACAGTGTGTTGGCAAGGATGTAAAATTGAAACACATGTATATTGTTGGCTGAAATGTAAAATGGTACAGCTGCTATGGAAAATAGTGTGAGCCGTTCCCCCCAAAATTAGACAGCAGGGTCGGCAATTTGCCTAGTGGTTAAGATGCTAGTGAAGACACCTGGGTTCCACATTAGAGTACCTGAGTTTGGTACCTGACTCTGGCTCTAGACTCACTTCCTGCTAAAGCAGAGCCTGAGAGGCAGTGCTAATGGCTCAAGTAATTGGATTCCTGCCATCCACGTGAGAGACCTGATTTAATTTCCCAGTTTTGGCTTTAGGCCAGCCCAGCCTCTGCCATTTGTGGGCATTTGGAGATGGAACCAAGGGATGGGAGCTTACTCACTCTGTCTGCTTCTCAAATCGATGTTAAAAAAATTTATTTTAGTTAAACAGAATTATTATATGATCCAGCAGTTTCATTTTTAGTTTTAGTCCTGAAACAATTGACTGCAGGGTCTCTAAGGGATATTTGTACACCCATGTTTATATAAACATTATTTACAATAGTTAAAAGTGTGGAAGCAGGGGCCGGTGCCGTGGCTCACTTGGTTAATCCTCCACCTGCAGTGCCGGCATCCCATATGGGCGTTGGGTTCTAGTCCCAGTTGCTCCTCTTCCAGTCCAGCTCTCTGCTGTGGCCCAGGAGGGCAGTGGAGGATGGCCCAAGTGCTTGGGCGCCTGCACCCACATAGGAGACCAGTAAGAAGCACCTGGCTCCTGGCTTCGGATTGGCATAGCTCCGCCCGTAGCAGCCATTTGGGGGGAGAACCGACGGAAGGAAGACCTTTCTGTCTCTCTCTCTCTCACTGTCTAACTCTGTCAAATAAAACAAACAAACAAAAAGTGTGGAAGTAGGGGCCAGTGTTGTGGCATAGCAGATTAAGGTGCTGGTTAAAGTCCTGGCTGCTCCATTTCTGATCCAGCTCACTTCCCACTGGCCTGGGAAGGCAGTGGAAGATGGCCGGATATTTGGGCCCCTGCACCCATGCGGGACACGTAGAAGTAGCTCCTGGCTCCGCCTCAGCCTGACCCAGCCTTGACCGTTGTGGCCATTTGGGGAGTAAGCTAGCAGTTGGGAGGTCTCTTCCTCCCCACCCCGTAACTCTGCCCTTCAAATAAATAAATAACTCTTTAAAAAGATAACTGTGAAGGCAGCCCATGTGTCCATTGACTGATGAGTGGATGAACGAAATATGGGATATACACATATTGGAATGTTGTTAAGCCTTAAAAAGGAAGGAAATTCTAACAACATGTTACAGTATAAGTGGATCCTGAGGATGTTATGTCAAATGAAATAAGTTAGTCAAGATAAATAGTGTATGATTTTACTTATATAAGGTACCTAGAATAATCAGATCACAGAGATAGAAAACAGAATGGAAAGTTCTAGGGTAGAAGGTAATTGATTAGAATAACGAGGAATTACTGTTTAATAGGTATAGAGTCAAATGAAGAGAGTTCTGTAGATGGATTGCATTGATGCTTGTAAAACAATGTGAATGTACTTATGGCACTGCATATACACATACCATATTTGGATATGGTTAGAATTATACATATTTTACTGCAATTTAAAAAAAATTTAACAGATACATAATCAAGCTAAAGTGTTTGTTCTTTTTTTCTTTTTAAAGATTTATTTTTATTTTTTTGAAAGGCAGAGTTGCAAAGAGAGAGAGAGAGGTCTTCCATCTGCTGGTTCACTCCCCAAATGGCCATAATGACTGGGGTTGGGCCAGGTGGAAGCCAGGAGCCAGGAGTTTACTCTGGGCCTCGCATGTGGCTGCAGGGACCTAAGCACTTAGGCCATCCTTCACTGCATTCCCACACCAATTAGCGAGGAGCTGGATCAGAAGTGGAGCCATCAGGACTGGAACCGGTACCCATATGGGATGCCAGCACCACAGATGGCAACTTAACCCACTATGCCGTAATGCTGGTGCCATCATACTAAAATCTTAAATATGTATTGATAAAAACACCAGTCTGAAAGAGTGCTATATGATTCTATTTATATGACTTTATGGAAAGGGGAAATGATAGAAGTAGAAAACATCATAGGGGTTCCGTCCTGGAGGATTGAATAGGTGAAGACAGAAGATATTTTAGGGTGATGAAACTTTTGTATGATACTGTGATGGTAGATTTATGATGCTTTGCATTTCTCACAACCCACAGAACCTTAATGTTTGCACTTTTTTTTTTTTAAGATTTATTTTATTTATTTGAAAGACAGAGTTACAGAGAAAGGTAGAGACAGAGAGAGAGAGAGAGGTCTTCCATCTACTGGTTCACTCCCCAGATGGCTGCAACGGCCGGAGCTGCTTGCACATTTTGAAAAATAATTTAAGGGCCAGTGCTGTGGCATAGTGGGTTAGGCCTCTGCCTGTAGCACCAGCAGCCCACGTGGGCGCCAGTTCGTGTCCTGACCTCTCCTCTTCTGATCCAGTCTCTGCTTGTGACCTGGGAAGGCAGTGGAGGTTGGCCCAAGTGCTTGGACCCCAGCACCCACATTGGAGACCAGGAGGAAGCTTCTGGCTCCTGGCTTCCGATTGGCCTGGCTCTGGCTGTTGCAGCCATTTGAGGAGTGAACTAGTGGATAGAAGACCTCTCTCTCTGTCTCTCCCTCTTTTTGTCTGTAACTCTGCCTCTCAAATAAATAAATCTTAAAAAAATAGTAGATTACAGTATCCCAAAATGGCACCAGCCCCTATAAATCTCTTTGAAGTCTGTTAAATATAAAACATAGAAATCTATAAAACCTATATACATATATATGGATATATGTATTTGTCTACATGCATACTCCAAATGAAACTTAATGGCCTTGACCAAAGAGTATTTTGTTTTTGTTTGTTTATTGCTTTTTTTATTCACTTGAGAGGCAGAG